TCTAAGGCACTGCAGTGCTTGAGGCATCACTACAGATCCAGGTTTGATCCCGGGCTGTGTCGCAGCCGGCCTCGACCGGGAGACCCATGAGGCGACGGACAATTCTGGGTTAAGCGAGCAGTGTGTCAAGAAGCAGTACGGCTTGGCAGGGTCGTGTTTCGGAGGACGCATGGCTCTCAACCTTCGCCTCTCCCGAGTCCGTATGAGAGTTGCCGCGATGGGACAAGGCTGTAACTACCGATTGGATATCACGAAATTGGGAAGAAAAAGGGGTAAAAAGTTAAAAAATAAAAAAATAAAAGTATCTCACCCATCTACACACACAATACCCCATAATGACAAAGTGAAAACATGTTTTTTGACATTTTTGAAAATATTTTGAAAATGAAAAAAATAAATCTCATTTACATAAGTATTCACACCCCTGAGTGAATACATGTTAGAATCACCTTTGGCAGTGATTACAACTGTGAGTCTTTCTGAGTAATTCTGTAAGAGCTTTGCACACCTGGATTGTGCAATATTATTTTCAATTTTTTTCAAGCTCTGTCAAATTGGTTGTTGATCATTGCTACAAAACATTTTCAAGTCTTGCCATAGATATTCAAGCAGATTTAAGTCAAAACTGTAACTTGGTCACTCAGGAGCATTCACTGTCTTCTTGGTAAGCAACTCCAGCGTAGATTTGGCCTTGTGTTTTAGGTTATTGTCCTGCTGAACAGTGAATTCATCTCCCAGTGTCTGGTGGAAAACAGACTCAACCAGGTTTTCCTCTAGGATTTTGCCTGTGATTAGCTCCATTAAATAGTTATTTTCCTGAAAAACTCCCCAGTCCTTAACGATTACAAGCATACCCAAAACATGATGCAGCCAACACTATGCTTGAAAATATGGAGAGTGGTGCTCATGTGTTGTATTGGATTTGTCCCAAACATAACACTTTGTATTCAGGACAAAAAGTGAATTGCTTTGTCACATTTTTTGCAGTATTACTTTAGTGCCTTGTTGCAAACAGGATGCAGGTTTTGGAAAATGTATATTCTGTACAGGCCTCCTTCTTTTCACTCTGTCAATTAGGTTAGTATTGTGGAGTAACTACAATGTTGTTTATCCATCAGTTTTCTCCTATCACAGCCATTAATTAAACTCTGTAACTGTTTTAAAGTCACCATTGGACTCATGGTGAAATCTCTGAGCGGTTTCCTTTCTCTCCGGCAACTGAGTTAGGAAGGACGCCTGTATCTTTCTAGTGACTGGGTCTATTGCTGCACCATCCAAAGTGTAATGAATAACTTCACCATGCTCAAAGGGATATTAAATGTCTGCTTTTCTTTTTTTTACCCATCTCCCTGGTCTTTCTGGTTGAATCTGTTTGAAATACACTGTTCGAATGAGGGACCTTACAGATCATTGTATTTGTGGGGTACAAAGATGAGGGAGTCATTCACAAATCATGTTAAACTCCATTATTGCATACAGAGTGAGTCCATGAACTGAACTGCAACTTATTATGTGACTTGTTATGCAAATGTTTAGTCCTGAACTTATTTAGGCTTGCCAGAACAAAGGGGTTGAATACTTAATGCAGCGTTTCCCAAACTCGGTCCTCGGGACCTCAAGGGGTGCATGTTTAGTTTTTTGCCTTAACACTATACAGCTGATTCAAATTATCAAGGCTTGATGAATAGTTGATTATTTGAATCAGCTGTGTAGTGCTAAGGCAAAAACCAAAACGTGCACCCCTTGAGGTCCCGAGGACCGAGTTTGGGAAACCCTGATCAAATTGACTGAAGACATTTCAGCTTTTCATTATTAATTAATTTGGCAAAATTTTGAAATATATAATTCCACTGGCATTGTGTGTAGACCAGTAACAAAGAAATCTCTATTTAATCTATTTTAAATTCAGGCTGTAACACAACAAAATGTGGAAAAAGTCAAGGAGGATGAATACTTTATGAAGGCAGTGTGTGTGTGTGTATGTATGTGTGTGTATATATATGTATGTATGTGTGTGTATATATATATATATATATATATATATATATATATATATATATATATATATATAGTACCAGTCAAAAGTTTGGACACACCTACTCATGAAAGGTTTTTTCTTTATTTTTACTATTTTTTTACACTGTAGAATAATAGTGAAGACATCAAACTATGAAATAACACATATGGAATCATGTTGTAACCAAGAAAGTGTTAAACAAATCAAAATATTTGAGATTCTTCAAATAGCCACCCTTTGCCTTGATGACAGCTTTGCACACTCTTGGCCTATATATATATATATATATATATATATATATATATATATATATATATATATATATACAGTGAGGGAAAAAAGTATTTGATCCCCTGCTGATTTTGTACGTTTCCCCACTGACAAAGACATGATCAGTCTATAATTTTAATGGTAGGTTTATTTGAACAGTGAGAGACAGAATAACAACAACAAAATCCAGAAAAACGCATGTCAAAAATGTTATAAATTGATTTGCATTTTAATGAGGGAAATAAGTATTTGACCCCTCTGCAAAACATGACTTAGTACTTGGTGGCAAAACCGTTGTTTGCAATCACAGAGGTGAGACGTTTCTTGTAGTTGGCCACCAGGTTTGCACACATCTCAGGAGGGATTTTGTTCCACTCCTCTTTGTAGATCTTCTCCAAGTCATTAAGGTTTCGAGGCTGACGTTTGGCAACTCGAACGTTCAGCTCCCTCCACAGATTTTCTATGGGATTAAGGTCTGGAGACTGGCTAGGCCACTCCAGGACCTCAATGTGCTTCTTCTTGAGCCACTCCTTTGTTGCCTTGGCTGTGTGTTTTGGGTCATTGTCATGCTGGAATACCCATCCACGACCCATTTTCAATGCCCTGGCTGAGGGAAGGAGGTTCTCACCCAAGATTTGATGGTACATGGCCCCGTCCATCGTCCCTTTGATGCGGTGAAGTTGTCCTGTTCCCTTAGCAGAAAAACACCCCCAAAGCATAATGTTTCCACCTCCATGTTTGACGGTGGGGATGGTGTTCTTGGGGTCATTGGCAGCATTCCTCCTCCTCCAAACACGTTGAGTTGATGCCAAAGAGCTCAATTTTGGTCTCATCTGACCACAACACTTTCAACCAGTTCTCCTCTGAATCATTCAGATGTTCATTGGCAAACTTCAGACGACCCTGTATATGTGCTTTCTTGAGCAGGGGGACCTTGCGGGCGCTGCAGGATGTCAGTCCTTCACGGCGTAGTGTGTTACCAATTGTTTTCTTGGTGACTATGGTCCCAGCTGCCTTGAGATCATTGACAAGATCCTCCCGTGTAGTTCTGGGCTGATTCCTCACCGTTCTCATGATCATTGCAACTCCACAAGGTGAGATCTTGCATGGAGCCCCAGGCCGAGGGAGACTGACAGTTCTTTTGTTTCTTCCATTTGTGAATAATCGCACCAACTGTTGTCACCTTCTCACCAAGCTGCTTGGCTATGGTCTTGTAGCCCATTCCAGCCTTGTGTAGGTCTACAATTCCCTGACATCCTTGGAGAGCTCTTTGGTCTTGGCCATGGTGGAGAGTTTGGAATCTGATTGATTGATTGCTTCTGTGGACAGGTGTCTTTTATACAAGTAACAAGCTGAGATTAGGAGCACTCCCTTTAAGATTGTGCTCCTAATCTCAGCTCATTACCTGTATAAAAGACACCTGGGAGCCAGAAATCTTTCTGATTGAGAGGGGGTCAAATATGCATTTTTCTGGATTTTGTTGTTGTTATTCTGTCTCTCACTGTTCAAATAAACCTACCATTAAAATTATAGACTGATCATTTCTTTGTCAGTGGGCAAACGTACAAAATCAGTAGGGGATCAAATACTTTTTTCCCTCACTGTATATATATATATATATACTGGACTATTTTTACTTTTACTGCACTTCATTCCTAAAGAAAACTTGTGCTTTTTCTCCCTTATATATTTTCCCTGACTCGTTAGATTTCAGATGCTTAGAAGGACAGGAAAATTGTCCAAATCACGCACTAATCAAGAGAACCTATGGTCATCCCTACTACCTCTGATCTGGTGGACTCACTAAACAAATGATTTGTGTGAGTGTTGGAGTGTGCCCCTGGCTATCTCTAAATAAAAAATTACAAGAAAATCATGCCTTCTGATTTATAGCGTTTACTTTTAATTTGATACTTAAATATATTTAAAACCAGATACTTTTAGTCATTTTCTATTAAGCTACTGTATCTTTACTTGTACTCAAGTATGACAATTGGGTACTTTTTCCACCACTGCAAAGACGCTTATTCTTGATAAATATCAGGTGCATTCATAATGGTTGTCTCTAGCCTACTAAATAATTCAAGATGGACTGAGTGCAGTGAGATCTGAGGTGGATATACCCTACCATTACAGATTGCACTTTTTATTGATCATAGATCAGTCTATATTTAGTTTCTACTCCCACCATCCATAGGCCTACATCATCACAGGAGCTGGAGGAAATAGCCTACAATAGATCACTATATCTAACCTATATCCTTTCTATCTCTGTCCCTGTCCCTTTTTAAAAACACCCTAGACATGGCCTTGTCTTGACTATTCATGTTGGTGAGGCACAAACCATTGACATGTTACAGTATTTTGCTTATCTAACAGAACAGCCTATCCTTTACATCCTGACCCGTCAATTCTCATCTCTCGCTTTAACCATTGGGCTCCGGGAGTGGAGGGAGGGGTTGGGGGAGGGGGTAAAGAATGTATGGTATGTGTGGGCGTCAACAAAACGCAGCGTATGGGGAACGATAAATTGATACAATGTATTAATTTGCGTATTACATGCATCTTTCATGGTAGTGACTGGTTATATGTTGTTTGTCAAACATTTAAACGTGTTCTGTATTCAGAATATTAACACTAACCGTACTCAATAGCAAGGTTATTTAATTATATCTTGAAACGCCCCTCTATTGTATGCGCAATGGTTTGGTCTGTAGAGGTGGGACTCGGGAGCGGTCAGTAGGACGTCGTAGAGAATAGATCAATGAACTGAACTGAGTTTTCTGCCAGGGTTGGACAACACTTTGGTAGTATTAAACCATATAGTCTACGCAGTGTAGCCTATGTCAGGTAGCCTACAGATGTGACAACGCGACAAGGAAATTTGGATCATAATCGAAAACGGAAATACCGGAGTTTATTTTTTAACCCGGTCGATATGCGGATTTTTTCCAAATAAACCCACTGGATTCTAATAAACGGGTCCGCATGTAGCTTTATCCGATAGTTTTTTTTGTTGGGAAACAATATTTTTATCTCGGAATAACTGGATTAGGCTATCCAGGATGATCTTTGCAAATACTGCCAACCCGTTGAAGAGCACATATCGGAAGCAGGTAGGCCAAAAAGCCCTGGCTGGGATGGTCCAAAACGGTGCCATAAGTCCCTTGAACGCATCCAATTCGAATGCGCGCACGGCCCACTGTCTTATCACCTCAGCTAACACGGTCACTAGAAGCGACAGTCGTTATTATAATGTTATAACACCGTTCACCGATTGTCGGGTTGCAAAGTCATGTAGTGCGACTGTCCGTAGCGCACTACACTACATTTTGGTCAAGTTTGTTCTGTGCATTAGTGTCCATTTTATATTATCGGCTTTGTCCTTGAATTAGCATTACAGAATAGCCTATCTAGCAGATTTTATTGTATTAGGCCCTAATGGCTTATAACAACCATCATCCAAATATATTGATTTCTTAAATAGGATAACATTTTTAACATTCAGATACCTTCTGAATGAGCAATTCGATGGGTAACTGTTAATGGGATAGGCCTATGTGATTTATGATAGAATTACGGACTAATTTACAGAGGAAGAGGGAGAGAGAGAGACCCTCCATATGGTCCAGGTAACCCAGGTTTAGATGCTGAACATCTATCAGGCCTACTGCTGTAATAACATTGCTATAATGTTCACAAGAAGAATCACCTATACACTTAACCTACACCGTTTTATTTCCCCAGCCGTTCAAATGTAGGCCTATGATATTCTATCTCAACTTCCTCAAGTCTTGGAGGAGAAATACATTATTTCTTCAGCATGTTTTGAATGAAAATAGGCCACAAAAATGTATGGCATTTAAATTGTAGTTCATATGTCCTATTTGTTAGATTCCTTGTAGGACTGAATAGAATAGGAATAGAACAGAATACTATAGAGTAGTTATGATGATGCATAGCTACAGAAGGCCCTGTAGGCCTACTGCATCTTAGATTCCTTGTTGGTATTGTTAGAATAGAACATGTTCTGTATACTGTCGGTCCCGCTCCACCACCTGAGTTATTTAGGTAGAGTAGGCCTTCTGGTGAGTGGCATGCTCAGCTTCTGCCTAATGTGGGTCAGTGTGCTGGAGTGAACATGGGTGTTCATGCACCTATAATGAGCCTTTTCTGGTTTAGCTACTAATGCTGTGGTTCTATACCACTACTCTGTTGTAGTTTACCACTGATTCAGCTGTCTAGTCCACAAGATGGAGGTGACTGCGATTTGTAGCTATATCCACCCTGAACGATTCCAATTAGTACTGCAGTTGTTCTTTACCACTCCACACTATAGTTCACCACTGATTCCAACCTAGAGGTAACATAGTAAAAGTAAATCCGGGACACTCCAATTAGTATGATATGTTATGGTTCGTATGGTATGACTCCCGAGTGGCGCAGTGGTCTAAGGCACTGCATCGCAGTGCTAGCTGTGCCACTAGAGATCCTGGTTCGAGTCCAGGCTCTGTCGCAGCCGGCTGGGAGACCCATGGGCGGCGCACAATTGGTCCAGCGTCGTCCAAGGTAGGGGAGGGTTTGGCCGGCAGGGATGTGGGTTCGTTTCCTACGTGGGGCCAGTATGAAACAAAACAAACAAAAAAACATGTATGCATTCACTAACTAAGTCGCTCTGGATAAGAGCGTCTGCTAAATGACTAAAATGTAAATGTATTAATTTGTGGATGTCCATCATCCATTTCGTATGATATGTTATGAATTGCAAATCGTACAATATGTTACGAATTGCAATTCGTATGAATTTCCAAAACATATGATATGTTACGAATTCCAATTTGTTGTGGCTAACATTAGCTAGGTGGCTAATGTTAGTTAGGCTAGGAGTTAGGGTTACATTTAGGAGTTAGGTTCATTAAGGTTAGGGGAAAGGTTATCTAACATCCTAAGTAGTTGCAAAGTAGCTAAAAAGTAGTAAGTAGTTGCAAAGTTGCTAAAATGCTAAAGTTGTCCGTGATGAAATTCGAACACGCAACCTTTGGGTTGCTAGACGTTCGCGTTATACGCCCTATGCAGAAATCGTTGTGCCATTTCCTGGTTGCTAAAACTCCAATAGTTAGCCTAATTTCAGTTTCTGACTAAATAAACTAGTATAGTGTAGAGAATCATTGTACCATCTAAACCGCTGTGAAATATTTTCCATAAGCAAATATATTGTTGTTTCAGCTGTTTGAAGCTGGGTTACAAAACCGAAAGTAAAAGACGCAAAAACAAAACTTAAGAACGGGAAGCATAGAAATAGTGCACATAGAACATATCTACCGCTTCTTAGACTTGCTTTCAAGTAGAATGATAGATCTATAACTCACATTTCTATGTGAATTTGATCGGGTCGCCCAAAAGTTACATATTGCCGCTTTAAGTAACCTTCTGTCTTATGTAACCATACCAAACTTAACATATACTAATTTCAGTGTCCCCGATTTATATTTACTATGTTACGTCTAGTCTATGAGACCAGGCTGCTGATTCAACCATCTAGTCCACAAGATGGAGGTGATTGTGTGTAGATTCTGTGGGTAGGCTTAGTTTATCTCCCCCCGTAAAAATATATCCATAGGCATAATAATCTGGTGGTTCAGAATTAGTTATGCAATGGTTCTTCATTCTTTGCTTCTTCAGTGATTCTAGTCCACAAGATGGAGGTGATTATGTGTGCATTCTGTGGGTAGGTTTAGGATATCTCTGTCCTAAACATTTACATTTACATTTACATTTTAGTCATTTAGCAGACGCTCTTATCCAGAGCCTAAACGATATCAATAGGCCTAGCCCTAATTCATAGTGGTGGCCATCTTAATGTAATTTAGCTCACCATTTTGTTTTGGTAAATATGCACTCAAATGGTGGAAGGCAGAACATGTTTTCTTAATTCACAGATTAATTGGTCTGCCGCATGCCATTCTAGATTTTTGTAGAGTGGCTTCTGCGGGGTTGGAGCTATTTTAATTAATGAGTAAGAGGAAGGAAATGCCTTGCAGAGGAGGGCTCTGGTTTGCCTCAGAGAATGTGTGGTAGTTTCCCACTGACACACCAGAACAGACTGTAGTACTAGGAAGGAACCGTGCTGGAAGGAGCGTAGACAGCACCCCACGCAAGAATGTCACCAGGGAAATAGCCTAGCAGCAGGTAGCCTAGCAGCAGGTAGCCTAGCGGTTAGACTGAAAGGTCGTTAGTTCGAATCCCTGAGCTGAAAAGGTGACAAATGTGTTAATGTTCCCTTGAGCAAGGACAAATCTGTTAATGTTCCCTTGAGCAAGGCACTTAACCCTAATTGTTCCAGGGTTGCCGTGAATAATGGGGGAGTTGGGATATGCAAAAAAACACATTTTCAAATCACATGTGTATAATACACACTTGTACATGTGAAATAGGACAAATATAAGCACCCATTATTATAACCTATAGTGCATTGTGCTATGCATAGAACCAGGGTAAGTAGTTGTTCCTGACCATGTGACCAGGAAAAACTCCTGCCCCTATTCATCTCACTATATTTCACTGCCGACATCTTGGACCTTGGTGAAATGGAAAAACTCCATGCTAGAAAACTCTAGAAAGAACAGTAGTGCTGAATCTCTTTTCGCCAGGCATAATGGGACCCATGTCATCCCAAAAAGTTATACTTTTGACTCATCTGTCCATAGAACATTCTTCCGAGAGTCTTGATGATCATCCAGGTGCTTTTTGGCAAACTTCAGTAAACTTTTTGGATGAGATGGGTCCCATTATGTCTGGTGAAAACCAAACACTGCATTCCACAATAAGAACCTCATACCAACGGTCAAGTATGGTGGTGGTAGTGTGATGGTTTGGGGATGCTTTGCTGGCTCAGGACCTGGACGACTTGCCTTAATAGAAGGAACCATGAATTCTGCTCTGTATCAGATAATTCTACAGGAGAATGTCAGGCCATCCATCTGTGAGCTGAAGCTGAAGCGCAGCTGGGTCATGCAGCAAAACAATGATCCAAAACATACGATCAAGTCTACATGAAAATGGTTAAAAAGCAACACATTTGAAGTTTTGGAATGGCCTAGTCAAAGTCCAGACCTAATCCCAATTGAGATGTTGTGGCAGGACTTGAAAGGAGCAGTTCATGCTTGAAAACCCACAAATATCGCTGAGTTAAAGCAGTTCTGCATGCAAGAGTGGGCCAAAATTCCTCCACAGCGATGTGAGAGACTGATCGACAACTACAGGAAGCATTTGGTTGCAGTCATTGCAGCTAAAGGTGGCACAACCAGTTACTGAGTGTAAGGGGGCAATTACTTTTCACACAGGGGAATTGAGTGATGCATACTGTAACTTTGTTAATTAAATAAATAAAATAAGTATATTTTTTTTTGTTAATTGTAAACTCAGGTTCCCTTTATCTAATATTAGATTTTAGTTTAAGATCTGATAACATTCAGTATCAAAAATATGCAAAAATAGAGAAAATCAGAAAGGGGACAAATACTTTTCCACGGCACTGTGTGTGTATGTATATATATATATTATTTTGTTGTTCAATGTAATATATATATTACACTGAACAAAAAATATAAACGCAACATGTAAAGTGTTGGCCCCATGCTTCATGAGCTGAAATAAAAGATCCCAGAAATGTTCCATATGCACAAAAAGCTAATTTCTCTAAAATGTTGTGCACAAATTTGTTTACATCCCTGTTAGTGAGCATTTCTCCTTTGCCAAGATAAACCATCCATCTAACAGGTGTGGTATATCAAGAAGCTAATTAAACAGCATGATCATTACACAGGTGCACCTTGTGCTGGGGACAATAAAAGGCCCCTCTAAAATGTGCAATTTCATCACACAACAACATGCTAAAAATGTATCAAGTTCTGAGGGCGCGTGCAATTGGCATGCTGACTGCAGGAATGTCCACCAGAGCTGTTGCCAGAGAATTTAACGTTCATTTCTCTACCATATTCCGCCTCCAACTTTGTTTTTGAGAATTTGGCAGTACGTCCAACCGGCCTCACAACCTTAGACCACGTGTATCCATGCCAGCCCAGGACCTCCACATCCGGCTTCTTCAACTGCGGGATCGAGTGAGACCAGCTTCCCAGACAGCTGATGAAACTGTGGGTTTGCACAACCGAAGAATTTCTGCACAAACTGTAAGAAACCGTTTCAGGGAAGCTCATCTGCATGCTCATCATCCTCACCAGGGTCTTGACCTGAATGCAGTTTAGCGTCGTAACCGACTTCAGTGTGCAAATGCTCACCTTCGATGGCCACTGGCACGCTGGAGAAGTGTGCTCTTCACAGATCAATCCCGGTTTTAACTGTATCGGGCAGATGACAGACAGCTTTTATGGCATCGTGTGGGCGAGCGGTTTGCTAATGTCAACGTTGTGAACAGAGTGCCCCATGGTGGCGGCGGGGTTATGGTATGAGCAGGCATAAGCTACGGACAATGATCACAAGTGTATTTTATCGATGATCCTGAGGCCCATTGTCATGCCATTCATCCGCCACCATCACCTCATGTTTCAGCATGATAATGCACAGCCCCATGTTGCAAGGATCTGTACACAATTCCTGGAAGCTGAAAATGTCCCAGTTCGTCTATGGCCTGCATACTCATCAGACATGTCACCCATTGTGCATGTTTGGGATGCTCTGGATCGACGCGTACGACAGCATGATCCAGTTCCCGCCAACATCCAGCAACTTCGCATAGCCATTGAAGAGGAGTGGGGCAACATTCCACAGGCCACAAACAACAGCCTGATCAACTCTTTGTGAAGGAGATGTGTCGCAAATAGTGGTCACACCAGATACTGACTGGCTTTCTGATCCACGCCCCTACCTTTTTTTAAAGGTATCTGTGACCAACATATGCATATCTGTATTCCCAGTCATGTGAAATCCATAGATTAGGGTCTAATGAATTTATTTCAATTGACTGATTTCCTCATATGAACTGTAACTCAGTAAAATCTTGCATTTATATTTTTGTTCACTGTGTGTGTGTGTGTATATATATATATATATATATATATATATATATATATATATATATGGGGATTAGAAATAAATATATATATATATATATATAGAGAGATATTTTTTTAAAGATTAGTAGTGCTTTTTTCTTTTTAGCTTGACATGCTATTTTAGCCTTTATATTAATCAGTCGTATTAACCCTAACCACATTTTTATTTTTTTATTTAACCTTTATTTAACTAGGCAAGTCAGTTAAGAACAAATTCTTATTTACAATGACGGCCTACACCGGCCAAACCCGGACGACGCTGGGCCAATTGTGCGCCGCCCTATGGGACTCCCAATCACGGCCGGTTGTGATACAGCCTGGAATCGAACCAGGGTGTCTGTAGTGACGCCTCAAGCACTGAGATGCAGTGCTTTAGACCGCTGCGCCACTCGGGAGCCCAATATTAACCACATGACATATAGCTGATGCACTAGCTCAACAGATTACACAAACTCACCTCTACTGTCAGTTGTAGCAGGGCCGTGTAGTGTGACTACTGCTGACAACTACTATATGCCCTCCAGTGGTGTAAAGTACTTAAGTAAAAATACTTTAAAGTACTACTTAAGTCGTTTTTGGGGATATCTGTACTTTACTATTTATATTTTTGACAACTTTTACTTCACTACATTCCTAAAGAAAATAATGTACTTTTTACTTAATACATTTTCCCTGACACCCAAAAGTACTCGTTACATTTTGAATGCTTAGCAGGGCAGGAAAAAGGTCAGTTTACACACTTATCAAGAGAACATCCCTGGTCGTCCCTACTGCCTCTGATCTGGTGGACTCACTAAACACACATGCTTCATTTGTAAATTATGTCTGAGTGTTGGAGTGTGCCACTAGCTATCTGTACATTTCAAAAACAAGAAAATCATGCTGTCTGGTTTGCTTAATATAAGGAATTTGAAATTATTTACTTTTATACTTAAGTATATTTTAGCAATTACATTTACTTTTGATACTTAAGTATATTTAAAAACGAAATACTTTTAGAATTTTACTGGGTGACTTTCACTTTTACTTGAGTCATTTTCTATGAAGGTATCTTTACTTTTACTCAAGTATGACAATTGGGTACTTTTCCCACCACTGATGCCCTCAAGTTAGTGTAGGAGCGATTGTGTGTACCTCCCAGTGGTGAGTCAGTTGATTAGGGCATGAGTCAAATAATCTACACACATACATCCTTGTTATTTCCCTGCTGCACTCACACATTATATCACAATACAAATTAGAATGTCATCATGGTTTAGATATCCAAAACCGGATGGGAAATTGCTTGATAAGATGGAATACACTGTACTTGAAAAAACACATAATGATGTGTTTATAGTTTACGTGAAATAGAATCTAAATCTCACGTCACCAGCTAAGAATGGCACGCGAGCCTATCATGTCATAAGCTTAGGTTGATTCAGTTAAGCTATAGTCTAGCTTGGGGGGAATGCACTGCTTTGCCTTGCGTGCCAGGAAGGTGATGCTAGGTATATATCTGAGCCTTGTTGACAGTCTGTGGGTCTTATCATTGAAGTGCCAGCTACCAGCATCTCACCTTGAGTAAAAGCATGAAGAATATAATGATACTGTGTACGTTTCCTGCCTGTATTGACATGACTTTAGACTGTTATGTGTCTAGGAATCCACTGAGGTTGTTGTGTGCCTATGGGGAGGGGGGATTTCCTAAATTCCCAGATTTATTTTCTGGGTGTGGCACAAAGACCACACTGGAGGCCATGTTTCATATTTGCATAGGCAAGGGACACCAGTTTGTCTCTGTGTGTGGGTGTGTCTTTGTCTGCGTGCCGGTGTGTGTATTTACCGGTGTGTGTGTAGGTGTGTGTGTGTTTAGTCAGTGACATTGTGTGTGCCTGATGTCCTCTCTTGTCTCTCTCCTGTGTAAATACCATATACTGTAGCTACAAATATGTCTGAGTTGAAACTCGTCTCTAGTCTGTCTAGGATTTCCATTTCTTTCCCGGGTTGAGGCACAAACACCACTGTTTAGACGGAGGACAACGGAGTGACAGTGTGTTTACTGTGTACCTGACAGTGTCTTGTCTCTTCCTCCAGTCGTACCCCATGGCTCCAGCCAGCCCCAGCACGGTGAGCACCAGCAGCAACAGTAGCACCACAGGATGGGACCAACTCAGCAAAACGAACCTGTACATCCGCGGCTTGCCCCCAGCAACCACTGACCTGGACCTGGTCAAGCTCTGTCAGCCGTGAGTACACAGTATACACACACACGTCTACACAAGCACTGACTGACTGACACACATTATTATGATGAATTAGAACTGCTTGTACCAACTATATATGGCAATACCATATTAATGTGGACCATGCATGAACCAAGCATACAGTCCACTAGCTAGCACCACTCCAACCAACTAAACCATGGGAACCAAGGATTAACCAACTGTGTTTACATGATACTGTATCTGTAGAGACTAGAGATTAGGGAAAGTGACTGTTTTCTACAGTATTGGGATTTGTGAATGCAGCGATTGTCATGTATGGTTGGGTTTGTCTCTGTGCGCCTCTGGCCTCTGCTGGACCACAAGCATATGGAGCGAAGCGTTCAACCATGTTACCAGGGGCAACAGCCACTGTTGCTGTGTTGTTTGCTTGTGTTTTGCTCCCAACGGTGTTCGCCTGCTCGCTGGCACAAAGCAGAAATGAAAGAACCTTTCATTGCAAACAGGCTAATGTTAGCCAAGCATTTAGTTCAACCAAAGCATGATGCACGTCCTTAAAATACCAGTTCCGCAAAACGGCTTTGCATCATTTCAACTCGGGCATTTCTGTCTGAGTTTGATCATAGTTTCTGGCACAGGCTGTGTTTCAAGTACTGTAACATGGAGTGTTGACATGAACAACTAGTTAGGCTATGCTAGGCATCTATTGTTTTCTCTTTGGACTAACGTTAGGCTACTCTTTGACATAATGTTTATCATCTATTTATATATCTACATCCCACCACACATATTTGACATATTCTGACAACAGGATGTATGTAGCTAGGTCCCTTTGTGGGGAGTCAACTTTGTTATTTTTACAGTGCCCAAAGCTTTCAGAGATTTATACATATATGTGTATGCTACTGTGTAAATACTATAATGTGTGTTTGCATGGATTGCATTAACCTCTTGTCTTTAGTCTGTTGTAATTATTGACATCGTTCAGTGACTCGGCAGTGCCTTTTAGTATGCCAGTTAGTATGAGGGTTAATGTGGTTAAAGATACAATGTGGTTAAAGATACAATAATGAATTGATTCTCTTAAATGAGTCTACTGAAAAAACATGGTGTGCTGTGTGGTCATCTGGCTCAATATGTTCCCTCCAAGCCTCACAACCCGGTTGCCTCACACAGCTTAAATGGCTGCCTTTTTCTTAGCGATGATGTCATGCATTCTTGTGCAAGCTGAGCGTTCTGACTCCCAGCCCTTGTTATATAAGTTTAGCAGTAGATAGACACTGTCTCTGTCTATGATATATGGCATACAGTATTCTTTTAATGAATTTGTATATTAGCAGGCAAAATTAACCCCCCCAGCAAGCAAAACTGCGAAAGTGGTTGAAATGACGTAACTACAACCATATTTGAGTTGTAAACTGATTGTATTGACGTCATTTCAACCAGACTTACCCTTTGGGCCTTCATAACACATACTGTACCAAATAAAGAGGATCGGTAGATTGAAATATAGTTTGACCTTTAAAACAATCATGTATGCATATTGTAATGATAATCAATACAATTAAAGGATAAGAGAGCAACATCCTGTTATTAACATTTGATTCTTCTTGTGTTCATAGATATGGCAAGATCGTATCGGCAAAGGCTATCCTCGATAAAACAACTAACAAATGTAAAGGTCAGTATCATGTATTCCAATATTTATCTCCATTTATCCAATTTATCTAAAGAAATGATATATATTTTACTGTTGTCAGATAGTACCACACACTGGTCTGCTACACAGAAAATGCATTTGCGATGTAATGTAAAGCAAACTAATATCAAGTTGTAGTATTGTGAATGACGGTTGTTTCTGTCCTCCCCCACTACTCCAGGGTATGGTTTTGTGGACTTTGACAGCCCTGCTGCAGCACAGAAGGCGGTCCATGCTCTGAAGACCAGTGGGATACAAGCCCAGATGGCTAAGGTGAGAGGAGCCCTGTGTTCTTCTGGTAGCAGGACAACATTGGCCCCTAGGTCTGTCTCTGCTGTTTTGTGAATTACAATGACAGATAATATGGAGCAGTAGACTGTGAGTGTGTATGTGTGTGTGTGTGCGTGCGTGCATTTGTTTGCTTTCTGTGTGTGTGTATGTGTACAATGTATGTGTGTGTGTGTATGTAAAGCAGAGCAGCAGAGTCAGTCACATGACCCCAGCTGACTGGCTGTTCAGTCGGTGACCCCATTCACGATCTCTACTGAAGCCAGATGTCCTCCCTTCCCTCTCCCGCTCGCTGCCAGAAAACAGTCGGTCGGCACGCACAGAACAGGACGGACAGCTTTCTGCTGCTACACAAATATTATGACTGTCTGTCTCGTCGCACAGCAACTGATCTGGGCTAGGATACTCCCAGTTAGCATTTTATGCTGTGTTATGAGTTAGCATGTTATGCTAACGTTCCATGACCAATTACTGATGTTATGCTTATTAGTTTTTATACTTCTTTGGTGAAATAGGGTGGTATTTTTTTCAGCCTCAACCTATGATTTGAACTACTCCTCTCCTCCAGTGGTGGAAAAAGTACCCAATTGACATACTTGAGTAAAAGTAATAATAGAAAATGACTCAAGTAAAATTAAGTCACCCAGTAATATTCTACTTGAGTAAAAGTCTAAAAGTATTTGGTTTAAAATATACTTAAAAGTACAAATCTCTTCAAATTCCTTATATTAAGCAAACCAGACGGCACCATTTTCTTGTTTTTTTAATTTACAGATAGCCAGGGTCACACTCCAACATTCAGACATAATTTACAAACGAAGCATGTGTGTTTAGTGAGTCTGCCAGATCAGAGGCAGTAGGGACGACCAGGGATGTTTCGTTGATAAGTGCTTGAATTGGACAATTTTCCTGCCCTGCTAAGCATTCAAAATGTAACGAGTACTTTTGGGTGTGAAAACGACTTAAGTAGCACTTTAAAGTATTTTTACTTAAGTACTTTACACCACTGCTCTCCTCCCTCTCCCAGTTTCACCGGTTACACTTTTCCATAGAAATGTTTCTCTGTCAGCACATTTTCTTTTTCTCTCTCTCTCTCTCTCTCTCTCTCTCTCTCTCTCTCTCTCTCTCTCGACCTGTCTAGCTAGCTCCTGTGTTTCTGCCGAGGCCAGCAGAACACAGTGTGTCTGTATGGTAGCTGCATAACTGTACTGCTTAGCTGTTTAGCTCGTAATGCTAACGATGGGAATGGCATAGGGAGAACAGAAGCAGTTGTTAAATCTATGGAGAGGATGCCTAGAAAAAGAGACCAGTCGCCATTATGAGCAAATCAAAGGCCATAGAAACTCAAGTCCTTGATAACGCATTTACAGAGTTGTTGACGGAAGACCCCACATGCCCTGGATGTGACCGTCACTAAGGCAACACACAGCCCTAGCTAACTCATGTTCAGTTGTGTTTTTTTAATCCTGGCTTGGATATCCACAAAGACTCAAATCGTGTCAACGCATAATTGTAATCAGAGTGAAATATTCATGTAATTGTCCTCAAGTGCTATTGTGTTTTAAGTTGGTGTTGCTGTCCAAATTACCTTTGATTCTTTGGAGGAAAATGATCCTAATACTTCTCTATCCATTTCTCTGTCCCTCTCTCTAAGCAGCAACAGGAGCAGGACCCCACCAACCTGTACATCTCCAACCTGCCTGTGTCTGTAGATGAGCAGGAACTGGAGGGCCTGCTGAGACCTTTTGGACAGGTCATCTCCACACGCGTCCTCAGAGACTACAGCGGGGCCAGCAGAGGGGTCGGCTTCGCCAGGTGAGAACATCTCAATGCTCAGTAACAGTTTGACGGAGCACCGTGTTGGTAACTCGAAGGGTTGTGGCTTCAAATCCTGCTACTTTTTCTAATTTAGGTCCCATTCATTTATGTGTGACATATGTCTATTATTCTCAGGATGGAGTCCAAGGAGATGTGTAACTCAGTCATAACCCACTTCAATGGGAAGTTTATCAAGACGGCGCCTGGAACTATGGGTAAGACCTATATTCTCTTATACTGTCTTATGCTTTGGGGTGCAATGCTCCCTTTTTGTTTTTGCTAATGATGATGATGATGGTGAGGATGATGGGTTTTTCCTCTCCAGCTCCATCTGAGCCCCTGCTGTGTAAGTTTGCTGATGGTCAGAGGAAGAGGCACAGCCACAGTCCCTACATTCCCGGCGGTCGCACATGGCCCCGAGAGGGAGAGCTCAGACTTGTAAGTGCCTCTCTGTCCGTCTCGTCTGTCTGGATGTCTCTGTGGGTGGACCCACAACTGCACGTTTTCTCTCCCTGCCAGGCTTCTTGCTCCTGTTGTCAGACACACAGCTGGTGAACAAGTCAGACTATTACAGTATCTAAAAATGGGACGTAAATGTGCAGTAGCTAGTTGAAATACTTCTCCCAAATCACTGACTAAATAATAAAGGCCATCTTAAGAATAAATGCATTACCTAATTTCTAGTGTTGACTGACTTGCCCAGGGCCTAGTGTTAATCCTATCCTGAGAGACCAGTTCATTAGAGAAGGGGTTCCCAAATCTTCTCACTTGCCCCCCTTCCAGCATTCGGGAACATCCCGCGTCCCCCCTGCGCTCGAGCACACGCGCCACGTCTATTTCTATGGGCACAAGCACAAGTTCATGACCAGTGGTGTAAAGTACTTAAGTAAAAATACTTTAAGGTACTACTTAAGTAGTTTTTTGGGGTACCTGTACTTTACTATTTATATTTTTGACAACTTTTACTTTTACTTCACTACATTCCTAAAGAAAATAATGTACTTTTTACTCCATATATTTTCCCTGACACCCAAAAGTACTTGTTATATTTTGAATGCTTAGCTTGACAGGAAAATGGTCCAATTCACACACTTATCAAGAGAACATCCCTGGTCATCCCTACTGCCTCTGATCTGGTGGACTCACTAAACACACATGCTTCGTTTGTAAATGATGTTGGAGTGTGCCCCTGGCTATCCAAAAAAATTAATTAAATTGTGCCGTCTGGTTTGCTTAATATAAGGAATTTGAAATAATTTATACTTTTACTTTCACTTTTGTACTTAAGTATATTTGAGCAATTACATTTACTTTTGAAACTTGAGTATATTGAAAACCAAATACTTTTAGACTTTTACTCAAGTAGTATTTTACTGGGTGACTTTACTTTTACTCAAGTATGACAATCGGGTACTTTTTCCACCACTGTTCTTGACACAAACTGTTCACACCCCTCTTGTTGGTGGAGTAAATTTTGCAGGTTTAAAGCTTATTTCCTGCAATACTACACAATTATACCGGCGCCCCACCTGCCGACCCCAGGGGGGCGCGCCCCACAGTTTAGGAACCACTACATTAGAGCATAGCCCATTACAGATCATAGTACTGATTGAATAGCTGGTATTGTGATGCTAATGTAACGGCTAGATGATAAGGATCTGGTTTTGTGTGACAGTTGCGTTTTGTCCTACCAGGGCGGGATGACTCTCACCTACGACCCCACCTCAGCTGCTATGCAGAACGGCTACTATGCCTCTCCCTACACCCTGACGGCCAATAGGATGATGGCTCAGCAAGCCATGTCTCCCTACATGTCTCCTGTCACCTCCTACCAGGTAGGCACATCATTAATTAAATATAAATGATCAAATAAAGATGATAGTCGCTTTGGATGAGACCGTCTGCTAAATTACTAAAATGTAAATGTAATGTATGTAAAAATGAAGAATGTGGCATGAGGTTAACCCTACCCTTTCATGTTCTAGGTACAGAATCCTTCCTGGATGGCCCACCAGCCATACATCATGCAACACCCGGTAAGAGAAATGAAACGATGTCTGTCTTACTCCACACACACAGTGCTAGAAAATATGGAGTGTCAGACATAATTTGACCACAAATGGAGTACTACTCTACCCTGGTACAAAAACACAGTGAAAGAAACTATGTCTTACTCAACTCACAGCACTATACATACTGCAAGTAAGCATTTAGTTGGATGATGTATACCGTGCGTATCTCGTACATACGACTAATAATACTTGAAACTAAAATATGTTACCACAGTTAGTCGGCTACTTCCCTGGTACAAAAACATAGTGGAAAACAATATATATACAGTACCAGTCAAAAGTTTGGACACACCTACTCATTCAAGGCTTTTTCTTTATTTTTACAATGTTTTACATTGTAGAATAATAGTGAAGACTTCAAAACTATGAAATAACACATATGGAATCATGTAGTAACCAAAAAGTGTTAAACAAATCAAAATATTTTTTTATTTGAGATTCTTCAAATAGCCACCGTTTGCCTTGATGACATCTTTGCACACTCTTGACATTCTCTCAACCAGCTTCATGAGTAGTCACCTGGAATGCATTTCAATTAACAGGTGTGCCTTCTTAAAAGTTAATTTGTGGAATTTATTTCCTTCTTAATGCGTTTGAGCCAATCAGTTGTGTTGTGACAAGGTGGGGGGTATACAGAAGATAGCCCTGTTTGGTAAAAGACCAAGTCCATATTATGGCAAGAACAGCTCAAATAAGCAAAGAGAAACGACAGTCCATCATTACTTTAAGACATGGTCAGTCAATCCGGAAAATTTCAAGAACTTTGAAAGTTTCTTCAAGTGCAGTCGAAACTGGCTCTCATAGGACCGCCACAGGAATGGAAGACCCAGAGTTACCTCTGCTGCAGAGGCTAAGTTAATTAGTAACCAGCCTCAGAAATTGCAGCCCAAATAAATGCTTCACAGAGTTCAAGTCACAGACACATCTCAACATCAACTGTTCAGAGGGGACTGTGTGAATCAGGCCTTCATGGTCGAATTGCTGCAAAGAAACCACTACTAAAGGACACCAATAAAAAGAAGAGACCTGCTTGGGCCAAGAAACAAGAGCAATGGACATTAGACCGGTGGAAATGTGTCCTTTGGTCTGGAGTCCAAATTTGAGATTTTTGGTTCCAACTGCTGTGTCTTTGTGAGACGTGGTGTGGGTGAACGGATGATCTCCGCATGTGTAGTTCCCACCGTAAATCATGGAGGAGGTGGTGTTATGGTGTGGGGGTGCTTTGCTGGTGACACTGTCTGTGATTTATTTAGAATTCAAGGCACACTTAACCAGCATGGCTACCACAGCATTCTGCAGCGATACGCCATCCCATCTGGTTTGGGCTTAGTGGGACTGTCATTTGTTTTTCAACAGGACAATGACCCAGCACACCTCCAGGCTGTGTAAGGGCTATTTTACCAAGAAGGAGAGTGATGGAGTGCTGCATCAGATGACCTGGCCTCCACAATCCCCTGACCTCAACCCAGTTGAGATGGTATGGGATGAGTCGGACGGCAGAGTGAAGGAAAAGCAGCCAACAAGTGCTCAGCATATGTGGGAACTCCTTCAAGACTGTTGGAAAAGCATTCCAGGTGAAGCTGGTTGAGAGAATGCCAAGATTGTGCAAAGCTGTCATCAAGTCAAAGGGTGGCTATTTGAAGTATATATTTTGATTTGTATAACATTTGTTTGGTTACTACATGATTCCATATGTGTTATTTCATAGTTTTGATGTCTTCACTATTATTCTACAGTGTAGAAAATAGTAAGAAATTAAGAAAAAACCTTGAATGAGTAGGTGTGTCCAAACTTTTGCCTGGTACTGTATATATATATATATTTTTTTTATCCAGTCGAATAAACACTCCAAACAGCCTACCCGAACGCTCGGAGGCGTCCGCATGGTCCTAAAGCACACCGTTACCTGGTTTTCTATCACATTCCAATGATAAAACTGGGGGGGGGGGCGCAAAAATGCAATTTCAGAATGTGGCGGGGACATGTCCCCAGTGAAAGTTGCACCCCTGTATATATCTTATTCCACTGATAAAATATGTTGAGAGGCAGACATATCACACATTACCTCAGTTAAAAATACCCTGAATCAAAAACAGAATGTGTTACTTTAATCAACGAGTTCTGCTGACGCTGCAGAATAAACACCCCCAAAATCTGTGTGGGAAGAGAAGAGATCAGAACAAAACCGAGCCGAGCCCAGTTCTGGGAACCGGAACATTCCCTCATATTTCAGTGAGGGCGGAACCAATCAATTGTTTTGATTAGGATTTAAAGGGGAACCTCCCCTGGTGAGTTTAAGCTCTTGAGCTCTTTTCCTTTTATCATCTGGATGTGACACGGTGGATTAAGGTTGTGTCTGAATTTGCACCCTATTCCCTATATAGTGCACTACTTTTGACCAGAGCCTGAGACAAAAGCAGAGAGCTCTCTTTTCCTGTAGCTAACTGGGCTCTGGTCAAAAGTCGTGCACTATGTAGGGAACAGGACAGGGGTATTCAACTCTTACCCTACGAGGTCCGGAACCTGCTAGTTTTCTGTTCTGCCTGATAATTAATTGCACCCACCTGGTGTCCCAGGTCTAAATCAGTCACTGATTAGAGGGGAACAATTACAAATGCAGTGGAATTGGCTTTGAGGTCTAGCGTTGAGTTTGAGGGAAATAGGGTGTGATTTGGGACCGAGATACGACTGTGCCTCTCTGGCCTCTAGCTCTCTGCTCCCACTGCCGTATGGAGCCAACAGGAAATGCCTGCAGCAGACAGGGTCTTATGACTGAAACCATTTGCATCTCTTAGCAGATGGTTTTAAGTAGAACAAGTGTCTGTGTCCGTTTCCCCCCATTTTGACAAGGAAATGGTACATTCCCTCAAGGCGTTTTGGCTTATACAGATGGCCTAAGGCCTAAAAAATATGTATTTTCAGGGGGTGCAGCGGGCGTTACATTTTTTTAGCTGAGCCTGTCTGATTAATCGAACTAACTTAAAGTCACATGTTACACTTGATTAGTGCTTTTTGAGGTCGATTCGGTTTCTGTTCGATTCAACAACAAAAAAATCACGGTTTTCGGTTTCTATTATTTATTTTTACATGAAATGCACTATGCAGTATGTGGGTTGAATGCTGTAACAACACAGAATAAAACTATTAATAAAAGTCCCATGATGGTAGTGACTGACCATTACTGCTTATCTCTTATTAACCATAATTTATTCAAATGACTAGAGTTTAATAAAATATTTTATTCGATTACTTTATTATTTTATTCCAAGTCACTATCTCATCTCTATAAATCTGCTACCTATCCTTTCTGACAAAACTATTTTAGTAGTTCTTCAAAGTAAATAAGGCATACTTTTATGACTGCTGAAAACCAACTATCAATCACTAAGATCATGCATTTTCAATCTTGCAAAGCAACTGATTTCTATCCCTCTCGTTCTCTGTTCTCTCTTCTCTGTCTCCATGTCTGCTCCGCACAGATCGGACAAGTTTAAACCTGGCACGCAATGGATTATGGTCATTGTAGTTAATTACCATGTTTTCTGCGCTAAACTATGTAGAATATTGGCCTGTTGGAAACTACAACTCCCTACTACATCGCACAGTTCAGGCTTGATCTGATTTATCTCTACAGAAACTGCACTTCGAGCTCACAAAAAAAACGAATGAAATGGAATTCAAATAATTGAACCAACGTCGGTCAATTAGTTGTTTAAAAAATAAAAAATTACCGACATTTCGGTTAATCGCTCAGCACTACACTTGGTAGTGTAATTACGTCTAACCAGTCCCTATTCAGCCCTGTACAGAATCAGTGTTATGAATGATTTATGAATCAGTTATTACAGTTAAACCTAACCACAAATTCCAATCATTTTAAAGCCAGGCATTTTTACCTACAGACCTTCCATTGATCCTCAATGTATTTGAGTATAAGGATGACCTTGTATTGATACTAGAATTATAATCTCTCTCTCTCTCTCTCTCTCACTATCCCCCCCTCTCTCTTTCTCTCTCTCTGCTACAGCAGGCTGTAATGTCACCCTCTATGGACCACTCCATGTCAATGCAGCCCACTGCCATCATGACACAGCAGATGGGCCATCTGTCATTGGGCAGCAGTGGAGCGGTGAGGGGGATTCTGGGAAGGGGGAGGTGCAATTTAGTTAGTCTCATATTACCTGATGCAAACTCAGATCTAAACAAGTGCACAGAGGCTAAGGACTAGGGGGAGATTTGGGATTGGGTGAAAATGAGTTGGCTACCTTCCAAGGGGTTCAGTATCCCTTAAATCACGATTTGAGCTAATCTAAAATATTGTTTTTTTTCTTGTGACAGCAGTATATTTCAGCCAACGCTGCAGTCCAGGCAGCCTATATCCCTCAGTACGCCCACATGCAGCAGACAGCCGTAAGTTCTGAGGTTTGTCTTTGCCATCTCATCGGGTTGATCTCCTCTCATTCATTCATGTCTCATCATGAGTACAGCCATTTTACATCAAATGTTACATCCAATACCATTACTTACTTGATGGTGCTAATACCAGATATTAAGATGTGAATTTACACAGTTTGTCCCTCTTCAGGAAAATGGTTCACAGCAGCAAGTGGATTCGTCCAACAATTCGTCTCCCTACAGTCAACAGAGCAAGTAACGATAAGGTATGTGCTTCCTTATGAGTCCCTTTATGAGATGGAAGTGATCGTTTTAGTGGTACTGTAGCACTGCTAATAGTAGGAGTCACAAGAGGTTGGTGGCACCTTAACTGGGGAGAACGGGCTCGTGGTAATTACTGGAGCGGAATCAGTGGAATGGTATCAAAAACATCAAACATATGGTTTCTAGGTGTTTGATGCCATTCCATTTGCTCCGTTCCGGCCATTATTATGAGCCGCTCAGCAGCCTCCACTGGTAGGAGTAGTGATCCTGATTGTGTTGTGTGTTGTCAGGTGACTTCTGTGAGCAGTAATGGATGCTGTGGGCACTGACTCATGATGTCACAGCCACTCCTGATTGGACCAGACCAGACTTCAGTAAGAACTCTTTTGCACAGCTTCAACCAAACAACTGTGTATGATGGAACCAACAGCAATGATACTATGGTGTGTAAAACGACGATAAAGGTGTAAAAATGGACAAAACCAACAATTATTCCCCCCTTCAAAAAACAGGAAAAAATAAGTTTTATTTTGATAAATGAAAAGACGTGTATTTTTTACCACGGATTCTCCAAGTGGATGCAATGGGGCAAGTAGCCTACAGCGTGATGTTAAAAGATGCATGAGATTGTTTTTGTTTTTTTTAAGAATCTGTTGATTTCCAATGGGTTTAATAGGTAGTTTATTAGTCAAGATATATGATGAAAAAGATGTTGCTTGCAAAAAGTGTTCATTTGGTGAGGTGTTACTGGTTTATATTTTTGGTCTTTATAAGATATTTTCTTTGAAATTAGGCTTTTAGGGTTAATGTCTGACATGATTTTCTGTATCAGATTAAATATGTAGGATTGGCCGTTTGGCAGCTGTCAATCAATATATGGATAGAGAACTGATGAAGAAGTAGACATTTTGCCAAATAGATGATGGGTTGGATAATGTGCCTTCCTCTAACATCATAATAGTCATTGAACATAGCCTGGCAGAATCCAAACTGATTCACTGTTTCACTTCATTGTGATCACAGTATTCAGTCTGGTCTAACCAGGCTACATTAAAAAGAACACCCACTCTTAATTAGAACTACTGTCAGTCCATAGGAAGTTCTCTTTAGATTTGACAGTGTAGGTGTCTTGTTTTAATTTGTCATATTTCACACACAACCAGGGATGTGGACCTCCATCAAATGCTACACGTACTGATCTCATCTCCCCAACTAAGACAATATAGCCTACAATCGAAATAAAAAGCACAGACAGATTTAAAAGAAGTGCAAGCTTGAAATTGTGAGGTAACATCAAGACGGTTTTATTTTTTCTCTGCTATTTTTTACTTCTACAGATACAGTAATATTAATAAAAAATGCTTAACTTTAATGATGAAATTACAATCTGTTTTACTTTACGCTAAATTGATGGGGTTGTCTTGAAAGAAAATACACATTTTTGCTCTAATGGTCATCTTGACCATGTGTGGTCATGTGTGACTGGTTTTATCTACCTCAGAGTTCTGTCTGGGCTGGTATGGTTGGGTTTGCAGGTCCAGCCCGCCTCACCAGAGAAGAACACAAAGGCCTGCGGACCAAATCGCACCCTTTTCCTTATGGACTGCATTACTTTTGACCAATAGGCTTTTCCCATAGGGCTCTGGTCAAACATAGACTTAGATAGACATCACATCATTGTATCTGTCCCATTATGGCGTCTGTGAAAGCACGGGCAGCGCCATTGAGGCCATCTCCATTTTGAAGTACATTTTCTTCTTCTACTACTTCTAAGTTGTTAAACAAACTGAAAGAGTGCACACTGCCATCTAGAGTGTGTTGTTTAAACAGGTATAAAGACAAGGTTGGCGATTTACTGCCACCTGCAGTTATGGAATATTTACTCACAAGTATAATTCATTGTGCTGATACCTCCTGGTGACCTGGATGGAATTATGTGATCCTTCCTTAAAGGGATACTTCGGGATTTAGGCAATGAGGCTCTTTATCTACTAGCATGCTAGCAGATACCAATAGACTTCCAGTCATTGTGCTAACGCTAGTTAGCATTGGCTCGCGAAACTACCTCTAACTTCATGGATACTGGACACAGAGACATAAAAATGTCTACAAATTAATTTGACTCTGGGGAAGTAGATAAAGGGCCTCATTGCCAAAATTCCGAAGTATCCCTTTAACCCATTGGAAGTCCCACCCAGTTGACTACTTCAAAATGGTGAAAGTCCTCAATTGCGCTGCCAGTGCTAAAATAGGCTTTTGGGCACTAGAGTCCTCTATGAATCTCTATGGGTCAAAAGCATTGCACTATAAAGGAAATAGGGTCCGATTTGGGACGCATCCAAAGCCAAGCTCAGGAGCTGGCCAATAGCAATTTTTACATTTATCTCATGATGAAATCTGCCTCCTACTACTCTGTCCTCAAATAAAGAAACATCCTGTTTTGTTTAGTAAAGTATCATGCTAAATCTTGTTTTTGTTTAGTTTTCCCGATATGAACATTGTTACAGGTGGAATATGGTTTTAGCTCCGCCTTAGTTTTGGAGTCTCCAAAGTTAAAAGAAAAAACAAAGTGCTGCTTGTCGAACTGAGGTTCCAATAGGCTGGGAAATGAGGTGTTTTTTATAAAAGAGGAATGCAAACCCACCACGTGGTAGTGTAGGCCGGCTTGACTTTATCTATTCTTCCCTTGAAACACACACACACCTTCTCTGTATGGGACTTTGTGTTGGCAGTCAATGTGGTGACGGGGTTGCAGAAGTCTGAAAGATGGAAGTTTAAATTGCAACCATGATATTTTTAGTCTTGCATAGTTAGCGATGTCTGAACCAAGTGCAATTCTGTGTCTGGATCAATAGGCTAGTTGTACAGCAAATTCAACCAACATTGTGTGATATAGAATGGCTGATGACAATAAATACAATGAAATAGTAGTAATTTATGCAGAAAGAGAGATTTTTTTGTTTTACATGTCCGGGTGATGATGCTGCTGGGTATCATCAGGTAGAAAAAGAAAAAAAGACGCTCATTTTGTATTTTTGTTTCCTTATGTATGTTACAGTCATTGTTTTCTATGTCGGTTTCACCAGATTGTTCTACCAATCTTATCCTTGTGCTTTCCTTTATAAAAACATTTGAATAAAACCCCACCATGAAGCCTATGATGTGAGTCTGTTTAGTCATTTATGTCTCATATTTTATTTTATTTTGATGTATTTGTTTACTAAATATTAACTGAACCCCTTCAGTTACAGCTATTGTGGCAATGTTTTGTTTAGAACAGGATATGACAAGAAGCATGTCGTTTTACATAGTACCCTCCAAGCTCATCATTAAGCTCGGGGCCCTGGGTCTGAACACCGCCCTGTGCAACTGGGTCCTGGACTTCCTGATGGGCCGCCCCCAGGTGGTGAAGATAGGAAACAACACCTCCACTACGCTGATCCTCAACACAGGTGCCCCACAACGGTGCGTGCTTAGCCCCCTCCTGCACTCCCTGTTCACCCATGACTGCGTGGCCACGCACGCCTCCAACCCAATCATCAAGTTTGCAGACGAGACAACAGGCCTGATTACCAACAATGATTAGAGCCTACAGGGAGGACGTGAGGTCCCTGGCGGTGTGGTGCCAGGAAAATAACCTCTCCCTCAACGTCAACAAAATTAAGGAGCTGATCGTGGACTTCAGGAGACAGCAGAGGGAGCACGCCCCCATCCACATCGACGGGGCCACAGTGTAAAAGGTGAAAAGCTTCAAGTTCCTCGCCGTACACATCACTGACGATCTGAAATGGTCCACCCACACAGACAGTGTGGGGAAGAAGGTGCAACAGCGCCTCGTCAACCTCAGGAGACTGAAGAAATTCGGCTTGGCCCCTAAGACCCACACAAACTTTTACAGATGCACTATTGAGTGCATCCTGTCTGGCTGTATCACTGCCTGGTACGGCAACTGCACCACCTGCAAATGCAGGGCTCTCCAGAGGGTGGTGGGGTCTGCCCAACGCATCACCGGGGGCACACTGCCTGCCCTCCAGGACATCAACAGTACCCGATGTCACAGGAAGGCCAAAAAGATCATCAAGGACATCAACCACCCGAGCCACAGCCTGTTCACCCCGCTATCATCCAGAAGGCGAGGTCAGTACAGGTGCATTAAAGCTGGGACCGAGAGACTGAAAAACAGCTTCTATCTCAAGGCCATCAGACTGTTAAATAGCCATCACTAGCTGGCCTCCGCCCAGTACCCTGCCCTGAACTTAGTCACTGTCACTAGCTGGCTATCACCCGGTTACTCAACCCTGCACCTTAGAGGCTGCTGCCCTATGTACATAGACATGTAATCACTGTTCAATTTAATAATGTTTACATACTGTTTTACTCATTTCATATGTATATAGTGTATTATACTGTATTCTAGTCAGTGCCACTCCGACATTGCTTGTCCTAATATTTACAGTCATATGAAAAAGTTTGGGCACCCCTCTGAGGCTGCATTAATAATTTACTCTGTTGTCACAGAAAATGATCACAGTGGCATGCCATTCATTTTCTAATAAAAGCTGAGTACTGGGGTATTGTCCAGACAAAGATTTTTAGTGTAGCAATATTAAGTTGTATGAAATTAAATCAGATGTGGGCACCCTTGTCATTCTGTTGATTTGAATACCTGTAACTACTTGGCACTGATTAATTGGAACACACAATTGGTTTGGTGAGCTCATTAAGCCTTGAACTTCATAGACAAGTGCATCCAATCATGAGAAAAGGTATTTAAGGTGGCCAATTGCAAGTTGTTGTTCTCTTTGACTCTCCCCTGAAGAGTGGCAACATGGGGGCCTCAAAACAACTCTCAAATGACCTGAAAACAAAGATTGTTCAACATTATGGTTTAGGGGAAGGCTACAAAAAGCTATTGCAGAGATGTAAGCTGTCAGTGTCCACTGTGAGGAACATAGTGAGGAAATGGAAGACCACAGGCACAGTTCTTGTTAAGGCCAGAAGTGGCAAGCCAAGTAAAATATCGGAGAGGCAAAGGCGAAGGATGGTGAGAACGGTCAAAAACAGCCCACAGACCACCTCCAAAGACCTACAACATAATCTTGCTGCAGATGGTGTCACTGTGCATCGTTCAACAATTCAGCGCACTTTGCACAAGGAGAAGCTGTACGGGAGAGTGATTTGGAAGACTTTTCTGCACACACGCCACAAACAGAGTAGTTTGAGGTATGCAAACGCACATTTGGACAAGCCAGCTTCATTTTGGTATAAGGTGCTGTGGACTGATGAAACAAAGATTGAGTTATTTGGTCATAACAAGGGGCGTTATACATGGCGGCAAAAGAACACAGCGTTCCAAGAAAAACACTTGCTACCCACAGTAAAATTTGGTGGTGGTTCCATCATGCTGTGTGCCAGTGCCGGTACTGGGAGTCTTGTTAAAGTTGAGGGTCGCATGGATTCCACTCAATATCAGTAGATTCTTGGGAATAATGTTGAAGAATCAGTCACAAAGTTGAAGTTACGCCGGGGCTGGATATTTCAACAAGTCAACGACCCAAAACACTGCTCAAAATCTACCCGGGCATTTATGCAGAGGAACAAGTACAATGTTCTGGAATGGCCATCCCAGTCCCCAGACCTGAATATCATTGAATCTGTGGGATGATTTGAAGCGGGCTGTCCATGCTCGGCAACCATCAAACCTAACTGAACTGGAGATGTTTTGTAAGGAGGAATGGTCCAAAATACCTTCATCCAGAATCCAGACACTCATTAGCGGCTATAGGAAGCGTCTAGAGGCTTATTATTATTTTAGCAAAAGGAGGCTCTACTAAATATTGATGTGATTTTTCTGTTGGGGTGGCCAAATTTATGCACCTGTCTAATTTCGTTTTGATGCATATTGCAAATGTTCTGTTAATCCAATAAACCTAATTTCACTACTGAAATATTACTGTGTCGATCAGTTATTTGATAGATCAAAATGAAATTGCTGATCCAAACACCCAATTATTTATAAATGGAAATTGTCAGGGGTGCCCAAACTTTTTCACGACTGTATAGATTTCTAAATTCTATTATTTTACTTTGAGATTTGTGTGTACTGTTGTGAATTTTTAGATACTACAGCGCTGTTGGAGCTAGGAACACAAGCATTTTGCTACACACGCAATAACATCTGCTGTGTATGTGACCAATATATAATTTTATTCGATTCACCTTAAGTACCTTCAATCAACAGCAGAGGGGGCTATGCATTCAGCTCAGTAGTAGATGTCCAAAATCATATACATATAATAATGTATATTTTCAAGATTCCACTTTAACTCGTTAGTACTGTCTTGATAAGATCTTGATGTATCAATGTACTTGCTAACCAATTATGTATATAAACATGAGTATATGTGGTCCTCTGTAGCTCAATTGGTAGAGCATGGCGCTTGTAACGCCAGGGTAGTGGGTTCGATCCCCGGGACCACCCATACCTAAAAATGTATGCACACATGACTGTAAGTCGCTTTGGATAAAAGCGTCTGCTAAATGGCTTATTATTATATATGTCTATGGCGCTAACCTTGCTCTTTTTGACACTATTTCTAGAATCCGGGGGTTTCTTGTAATGTATCCTTTGTAATATCAGTGTCTTTATGGGGCTTCTCTGTTAAAGCCAGCAGCTTACTTGAGCTGATGCCATAGACACAAAGGCACCATGTCCCATATATCTTACCAGTAAAGGGATCAAAAAGAACTGGGGAGCAAGATCACCCATTACCACACACACACGCCCCGGACCCCACCCAGCCAGACCGTAATGCCAGGCATATGCCCCCACACCACGCAAGAAAATCGACCCTTGGAACATAAGGAGCAAATGATGGAGGATTAGCGCTCTCTCTCTCTCTCTCTCTCTCTCCTTTCTCTTGCTCTTTCTGATGTCTAATTCTCCACAGCTGAAGGGACACATGGCACTATTCCCTAAAGTGGGGCCAAGGTCAGATTGGGGGTGCCGGTGCAGACATCGGGGGTGCAGACATTGAGAGGGTCTGTGGTATCTAGTGTGTCATTCACTCATTTCTGTTCAACGGTATTTAATAGGGAAGGGGCTGATTGACCTTTAAATAAACCTTTCTGGCACACGTCTTTATGGGGCTACAGTATAGCCTATGGACACATTTTACAATGGCAATGTAAAAAGTGACTAATGTGTTTTACTCTACAGTAGTAGAGGTTAACTGTACCACATGGCAAAGAGTCAGCTTGATTAGCCTGGTTGCCATTTTGAACCAGAATGGTTACCACATTGACTTCTGGGAATGATGCCTTGCCTGAATGTGCAGTTTTACTGAACTGATACTCTCATTCCTACGATGTACGTCTGTTACCTTGTCCATCTCCTCTCTCTCTCTCTCTCACGCTCACTCTCTCTGTATCTCTTTTATACACACACATTCCAATCATACCACCATAGGGAAGGGACAACATTGATACAGGGTCACTCATTTAATCTCTGACCCTCCTCTGCACTTGATTCAATTAACTCACTGGGCTTGATATTCACTACCAAACACAAGACAGCGACAAAAACAACACACACAGACACACATTGCCCTAAATATTTGTGCTTTACATCTTGTCACAAGTTCCCCACAGGGAGCTGTAGCCTACTGCCTCAACCAAGAGAGGGCAACAATAGCACATTTGGCCTGTCAGTCAATCTGGATCACTGCTACTCTGCTACCATCCCTCTCTAATGAAGGCGGCTGTTATTTGTATGTCTCAGACCCACCAGCAGTTGCTGCTATCACTCATCACCACCCCCATCAGCCTGGGAGCATGCTTCATAAAGCTCTCTGTTACTGTAGGTTTATAGTTACTCCTGCCCAGGGCTGCAGTTGGAACTGGACTTTTTGAGGGCCGGCGGCAGCGGCGGCGTCTCCCTGATTCCTCTCCCCTCATTTTTCAGGCAGTGACAAGGACACAGCGCCCCTCTGACAGGACAGCATGGTACCAGAGGCCCCTATAGGTGAGTTGTCTCATTGCAGTGCCGACCGTTGTAATGTACTGTGTGTTGACATGGCCTGCCCGACACACACACACACACACACACACACACTGATATATCCGTGATATCATATCACATAGCACTGCGTACAATCCGGAGCAGGAAGCTCATTGTAAGGAATGACTAGGAATAATGACTAGGATTCAGTTTCTTAAAATCCCTTAACTTGACAAAGCCAATATCATGTTCATGTCTCAACAACGGGTGTAGAGGTTGGAGTCTAGTTAGGAATGCTGGCAGGTTTTAGGTTTTGTGTGGGAGAGTCTTCCTTCACTCACAATGGGACGGATGGTGGGAATGAAACATTGGGAAAGCAACATTGAAGATGAAAATAAGCTTTTTCTATTTCTCTCTGCATGGTTAGACATGACCATCTGACCCAGAGATTGGCTAAGGGTTTATTGACATGCTGGAGAACACTTTTTTGGGAATCTGGGCTGGTTAAGTAGGACACTTTGAATGAAAGAATGGATATCTGGGCTGGTTAGGTAGGAAAATGTAATGAAATAATGATTATCTGGGCTGGTTAGGTAGGAAAATGTAATGAAATAATGATTATCTGGGCTGGTTAGGTAGGACAATTTAATGAAAGAATGATTATCTAGGCTGGTTAGGTAGGCCAATTTAATGAAAGAACGGATATCTTAGCTGGTTAGATAGGACAATTTAATGAAAGAATGGATATCTGGGCTGGTTAGGTAGGACAATTTAATGAAAGAATGGATATCTAAGATGGTTAGGTAGGACAATTAGGTAGGACAATTTAATGAATGAATGGATATCTAAGATGGTTAGGTAGGACAATTAGGTAGGACAATTTAATGCAAGAATGAATATCTGAGTTGTCAGATAGCAACAGATAATATTTTAAAAGGTCACACTTGTGTATGTTTTAAAGATGTTTATGGGTGGCCTGTGTGCTTTCTCTGAAAGACTGCGGCACAACTGTACACATGTTTGCCCTCTAGGGCAGATAAAGAAGAAAAATAAGAAAATAAGAAAAATAATAATAATAAACTAAATGAAATGAAATTATGAAATTGAATTTTAAAAAATGAAAAATTGAGTTTAAAAAAAATGAAAAGAAAAAAAAAGAATGGAGGGAGCTGCAGAGTGGCAGAGGACAAGTGCTGTAGTTTCACCGTCACTCCATCCATCAGCTTAGATGGGATGACAGTGGGGATGACAGACAGCTGGGTGCCTCTGGGGGTGGAGGAGGAGAGGAGAAAGGATGGAGAGAAGAGGAGTAGAGGAGAAGAGAGATTATATAATGGAATAATCATATGGAGAGATTAGTAAATATGAGAGGAGAAGTGGAGAAGGGAGAAGAGGAGAGGGGGATAGTAACAGAGAAGGAAAGGAGGGGGTTTGGAGTAACAGATGAGGGGCTTACTGCGATTCGGAGGGGTGTGATGCTGCTTTAGTAGGAGATTCTGTCTGGAACGGACGAGCTGAGAAATCCACACTGCAGCTGTGAATTGTTCACCACCTACACACACCGCCTGTTGAGACACACACTCCATGTGCTACGCACACACACACACATTCACCGCTCATTCACTCGCAGGTTAGATACGCACACACACGCACAAACACACACACACGCACACACATGAACATAAGCTTATGAGGATATTTGTATTGAGCAATAGACTACTTTTCAAAAGAGCCTGAGACGTTGTTTTTGTCCCTACGTTAATCATTAAAATGAAATGAACCCTTGAGATATGTACATTTCTGAGTGGTTGGTCATGTTAAATATTAACATATTGTTTCAGTTGCAGTGTCTCTCTGGGTAATTCGGGGATATTGACTTATGGTGTGGCACATCTGGACAATTGGATTTTGTCCCTATCAACAATGGTTATCACGTTGGCCTACATCCCCTTTTATACACAGCTCAATAATAGACCCAGTCAAATTGCTACATGGATCAATACAACATAGAATAGAATATGATGTTATAGGCCCGTGTAGCTCAGTTGGTAGAGCATGGTGTTTGCAACGCCAGGGTTGTGGGTTCGTTTCCCACGGGGGACCAGTATGAACAAAAAAAATGTATGCACTCACTAACTGTAAGTCGCTCTGGATAAGAGCGTCTGCTAAATAACTAAAATGTAAATGTAATGTTATAGCCTATAAACAATGGTTGAAGGAGATGTGTTATATGGGTAAGTGTTCTGTTGCATATTCTGGAAGTTAGAAGGTGTGATGTTTTGCAAGCACAAGGATTTGACTTGATTCAAATAATTTGGTCCTGTGTGGATCAGTTGGTAGAGCATGGCGCTTGCAATGCCAAAGGTTGTGGGTTCGATTCCCGCTAGAGCCACCCATATTTAAAATATATGCACGCATGACTGTAAATCGCTTTGGATATAAGTGTGTGCTAAATGGCAAATAATATTATATTAATCTGTGATCACTAGGAGTAAGGCTACTGGCCTAGGTATTTATCAGGTTGTCATTATAGGTCATGAGGCATTAGAACAAGTTAATTACCCATTTATAAGCATAAGGCAATTTACATGTACATTTTTAGTCATTTAGCAGACGCTCTTATCCAGAGCGACTTACAGGAGCAATTAGGGTTAAGTTCCTTGCTCAAGGGCACAACGACAGATTTTTCACCTAGTCGGCTCGGAGATTAGAACCAGCGACCTTTCGGTTACTGGCACAACGCTCTTAACCACTAAGCATACCTTACAAATACTATGGCCTTCATAAATGCATCAATACTCATATTCAAACTTTCTAGTGGTTAAGAGCGTTGTGCCAGTAACCGAGAGGTCGCTGGTTCTAATCCCCGAGCCGGTTCTAATCCCCGAGCCGACTAGGTGAAAAATCTGTCGATGTGCCCTTGAGCAAGGCACTTAACCCTAATTGCTCCTGTAAATCGCTCTGGATAAGAGCGTCTGCTAAATGACTAAAATGTAAATGTATATATTTTGCAGTGAGATTAGAGGTCCAGTATAGACGGAATTATTTCTGTCATGGCAGATTGAAAATGAATAATGATCAGTCCTAGGACACATAACAGGGTTATTTAGAAAGGCAGAATGAAACATGCTATTTCCCAATTTTGGAAATATTGGTGAACGTTTGAAACAATATTACAAAGTTATTCATTTGTGTGTACAAATAGTTACATGGATTTGATCATTTATCCCATAACCTGCACTTCAATATTTGTTATTACAGTTTAAGATTGCAGGCTTACAAAATAACATTGATTTAAAAAATATATATATGTAAAAATAAAAGTTAATTTCGGTTATATTTCGATTATCAAATAATCTTCCATTGAAATCTCGATAAAACCCAGTTCAATGTACCTGTTGTCTGGCCTCACTTCGCCGCTCATTGCTCACACCCGCCCTCTCACTTCTCACTCACTCACTCTGTAGTCCCGTTCGGTTAATGTTCTCACCTGTACGGAAGTGAACATAAAAGGCTGGGCAGGTAAGAATGTCTGAACCAAGCAGGCACTCAACGTCTTTCCTGCCAGGTAAGAAAGACCGCGCACTCTCTTGTCCTTTAGCCTAGACAGTGATACCAAGAAAAGCTTGCTAAGGCTGGAATACCTATTTGTTTGGTTACTTTTACTGTACATATGTGAGTACCAGAGAATGTTTTGTTGTTCTTTCATATCCCTATAGCAGTAACCGCGAGGACTAATGGGGATTGCAGTACTTCTGGTCCTGATTCTTCGGCATTGGATCAACAACGTGGAGGGTAAGGCTAGAGACCGAATCAAATGGCTTTGATTAAATAACTTCAGTAACTTCTCCTTTCAAGGTTACATGTAACTGCAGTATATCCAGATTTTCCCCTAGATTATAATACCTTTAGTATACTTTTATAGAGATAAATATTCCACTTCATACATGAATGCAATGTATTGCTTACATTTGAATTAGTTTATTTGATCCAGTGGTTTTTATATACAAATATTTATTTATTTACAAATTATTATTGTGATTTATCATGATAACATAACCGATCGTTTGCTCTAGTTATTCATGCGCAAGTTAACCAGGCACATCACAAAGACAGAGGCACTAAACAATCACTCATATACTGATATACCGTATTACATGCCAGGCAGTGCAGTGCCGTGAGACAGTATAACCTGTGTTAGACAGGGCCAACCACACTGACCACTTCTCTATTCTATATTCCCCGTGTGGTGTCCATGTAGGAACATGTTCGGTTGGCAGTGCAGTGACTTGTGATGAGTGTCTCCAGCTGGGTCCCCACTGTGCATGGTGCACACAAGAGGTAGGCTATACATCTAGGGTAGGGGAACCCAATTATATTCAGCTGTGGGCCGATTGTTCCTTGAGCGGATGGTCGGGGGGCCGCATTATAGTTATAAATAATTTGGGCACGGCAAATTGACCGCAAGAATCCCAAACAGATACAATATTTGACAAAAACTGAATAATTTCAAACCTTGATTATATTGGGATACGATCACATATGCCTCTCTATTTATGCATGGGAATACTTAGGAACATATTTCCTTTAATACAAATAACTTTGAGGTCATTTCCTGGTGATTTTACAGTCTTTTATGTCCAAGAATGAAATGTATATATATATATATATATATATATATATATATATATTGCACAGAAAACTTGGGGGCCAAATATAATCACTGCCTAAATGATCTTCAGAAGTTGTACCTTTCAGTTAGTACTACAGTATGAATATGACTATTGACTGACAAAACACAAATATCTGTGTCAGATTGGTTGTAATGTGGGAGTAAAACCTTGTGGTGTTTTTAACCTCTCAGAATTTCACAGACTCGTTTTTAATCAGTGAGCGATGTGACACGCCATACGTCCTCCAAGAGAGGGGCTGTCCCCAGGACCAGGTAGAATTCCCTGTGACCATCTCCGAGGTCCACCGGGACCAGCCTCTCGGGAAGAAGACGGGGAATACCAACAGCACACAGATATCGCCACAGAAGATGGCCCTCAAACTCAGAACTGGTAAACCCTTATTTATACAGTTATTGATGGAGACCTGGGGCAGTCGCTGTGTTCATTATTTATACAGTCATTGGGTACACTGCCTACTGCTCACAATGTGAGTACATGTTGGCCTGGCGGTGATTTGAAGTTGATTTAGAAACTATTTTTGATGAAGGGAGGATGTTTAATGAATATTTTCACACCATTTTTCACATAAAGATAATAATATGAATATCATTTCTCACTAGCATGGTCAGCCCTTGAACTGAACGGAGCCCGGATAGAGAGACAGAAAACACTCTCCTATTTCTTGTTTTTTTTTGTTCAGGCAGTGAGGTGACCTTCCAGATCAGTGTGCAGCAGACAGAGGACTACCCTGTAGACATCTACTACCTGATGGACCTCTCAGCCTCCATGATTGACGACCTGGAGATGATTAAAGACTTGGGCTCCACCCTGTCCAAGGAGATGGCAAAGCTCACCAGTAAATTCAGACTTGGATTCGGGTCCTTCGTTGAGAAACCAGTCCTCCCGTTCATTAAGATCACTCCTGGAGAGTTGGAGAACCCTTGCAGGTAGGGTACAGTATGGTTGGGAGAAATTAAATGAAAACCATTTGTAACACCACATCCTCTATGGTTAAAGTACAAATGAAGACCACTTTCTTTATATAATAATATAATATATGCCATTTAGCAGACACTTCTATCCAAAGCGGCTTACAGTCATGCGTGCATAAGTATGGGTGGTCCCGGGAATCAAAACCCACTACCCTGGCGTTACAAGCACCATACTGAGCTACAAAGGACCAGCTTTCTGTGGAAGAGACAGATTTTCTCACTGAAAGAGCTTAGTAAACGAGTCTGTTTATAACAAGCTTACTTGTTCTTAGTAATGGTAATAGCTAGTAATAATTCATTAGTTAAACAGTGATGGAAATTCTTATCTGTAGACATGGAAAGTCATGTAAAGTTATTTTATTTGTAATTTGTCTAAGAGTGGGAACCCTGGTCATAGATGTAATACGCTATGTTTCTCTGTGGTATTCCCGTGCAGGAGTGTGGATGAGAGCTGTCTGCCAACGTTTGGATACAAACACGTCCTGCCCCTCACCAGCAGCACAGAGAAGTTCAACGACATCATCACCAACCAGCGTGTGTCTGCCAACATCGACCTGCCGGAGTGTGGCTTCGATGCCATCATGCAGGCTGCTGTCTGTGGGGTAAGTGACAGAGTCTGTGGTTCAGGTTTGATTTGATTTGTCCCCATTTTAATAGAATAGAATAGAGCTGAATATAAAATAATACTGTAGAATAGAATGTAAGGGAAGGGAATGGAATGGAATAGAATATCTTTATTTTTCAAGGGAACTTCAGGTGTGCTTTGACATCGGACTATTGGATTATTCCGATATAATAATCTCTCATCTCTCCCTGTTAGGACAAGATAGGCTGGAGGAACGACTCCATGCGTCTGTTGGTGTTTGTGAGCGACGCCGACTCTCACTTTGGGATGGACAGCAAGATGTCAGGCATCGTCATCCCTAACGACGGGGAGTGCCATCTGGACAGCAACAATGAATACTCTATGGCTGCCCATCTGGTAAGGGGACAGTCACATCAGATCCATTCATTATGTCTATGACTGGGGTTGTAATACTATGATTCACTATTTATGATACTATAACATGGCTTTCATTCCTATACATGGTGAAAGAGTGTCCCTTTACTGTAAAGACTACTGGCTCTTTGGGGTCTAGGCCGGGTGACTGTAAAGCACTTTTTATTACTGTTGATGTGAAAAAGGCTTTATAAATACTTTGAATTGTTTTATTAATTGGTATGAAATACGATGGTCTGAGGTTTTAAAATACTGACTTTGTCCTCCCAGGAATACCCAACTCTGGGACAGCTGATGGATAAACTGGTGGAGAACAATATCCTGCTTATATTCGCTGTGACGGAAAATCAGAAACACAACTACGAGGTGAGAACTTCTCCTTCTCCCTCCATTGTCTTTTTCCCAACAGCAATGTGACATTTACCTGTTAAAAAACACCGGGTTGAAATGAGGTATGTGGTAAGCCGGTTATGGAATGGAGAAGCAAAATGTATCTCTATGTATCGTTGAGGTTAGCATATTTGATTCATTAAGTACTCTCAGTGGACGTGTTGGAACAAGCGCTCTTTTCTTCCTGTTTTCGGTAGAGCTTATTTCCTTATGAGGTTGCTGTGACTGGACGACCGACCTACATAAACAGTAACAGTGTATATGTTGTGTGTTTTATCTCAGAACTATGCACATTTCATACCTGGTGCCACGGTGGGGGTTTTGGAATCAGATTCAAGGAACATCCTGGAACTGATTGTGACAGCGTATAAGGTAAGAATACGCTCCTGTCACTGTGGGTGTACAGTGTGTTTGTTAGTTAGCTAGCAGGACTATTGAGACTTGCTGAGTACATGGCCATAGTGACCTCTGCCTAGCTGCCTCGGCCTAGATTATTCCTTTCTGTTTATCTCTTCTCTCTCCCTCCTCTCTTCACCACCCCTCTCTCCCTCCTCTCTCCAAAACCCCTCTCTCTCTCCTCTCTCCACCACCCCTCTCTCTCTCCAACACCCCTCTCTCCCTCTCCTCTCTGAACCTCAGTATGCTGTCAGCAGGTCTGTACTCGCCCCTGCTGTTTGATCCTCTGTGGCTCTGTGTTCCTCCCTACAGTCTAATCCCTATTGGCTGCACTCCTACAGCGTGTGTGTGTGCGAGTGTATACACGAGGGTATGCGCGAGTGGTGTGAGTGCGTGTGTGTTGAGGGAGATGAGAGCAGACCCACAGCCTCTAATCACTTCATCAGACACTTCCTGAACAGCCTACCATAGCCAAGTCACGTCTGGCTCTGCTAGCTATGCCAAGGGGCTTCACTGAGAGCTTTATTCAATACAGAGCTAATGGCAAAGCACTTAGCATCTAGCATCTAGCATAATAAGAAATGTACAGGACATACTTTATGTGAAAGTTATTAAGATGTCAGCCACGTTACCAATGTACCTTATTTGTGGGATAACTAGATATTGATCTAGTGCTCCTCATAATACACTGTACATGAGTACAGTACTGCTCCAGCTGTGTCTCAGCTCAAGCTTTTGGCTAAACATCTAGCTTTGTATTCTCAAGCATCACACAGCCCACATCTTCCCCAAAGGCCTGAAGGAACTAAAGGATAAAAAAATGCCAAGTACTCTGTCAACACTGTGCTCACTTAGAGAAAGAGTCCCAAGAGTCTGCTCTGAGGTCAGATCTATCTCACTATACCCTGTGGTGATTGGCTACTAACACCTGGAAAACCTGGGAGCTTGACGGAATACCTGGGAAGTTACTGGGATCATGACTCACACCACTCAGAGAAAGGGACTTACCTATATACTGGAAGACTAGAAATGAATAGGCACAGCTGGGTAAACCTTATCAGTGTTGGAGCATACTGTAGACTTAGAAAGTGAGTAATAAGTCAGTGGTTGCAGAAGCTTATTATGGTTCCCTTTCACACACACAAACACACACACACACACACACACACACACACACACACACACACACACACACACACACACACACAGGACTAGCACCTGACCACGGCCCTGTTATAGGTTCACTTTCTGTTTCCAGGAGCTGCGGTCTGAGATAGAGCTGGAGATACTAGGAGACACTGAGGATCTACAGATCTCCTTCACAGCTATCTGTCAGGATGGAACGGTACTACCTGGACAGAAACTATGCTCCAACGTCAAAGCTGGAGACACGGTTTGTTCCTATTTTGCTTGTCAATGCACAGTAATATTTGCAAATATGAAGCAGTTGGTCCGTGATATTCAAGAACAATATGTCAAAAGGTTCCTCTTGTCATAACAATACAGCCACCTCAATACATGTATGCTATAACATTCACCCTTCAATCTCTGTGATTCCCAGGTCTCCTTCAACGTGACTGTAGAACTCTCTGAGTGTCTCGACGGTCCCCAGCACTTCCTCATCAAACCGGTGGGCTTCCAGGACCCCCTGGAGTTAGAGCTGGAGTCCCTGTGCTCCTGTCCCTGTCACCAGACCCCCGAGCCCAACAGCAGCCACTGCAGCCTGGGCCGGGGATCTCTGGAGTGTGGCTCCTGCCTGTGTGATCCAGGGTACATGGGGTCCAAGTGTGAGTGTATGGAGGAGAGCACCCAGAGCAGTAACTGCAAGGCCAGTGGCGATGCAGAGTTGTGTAGCGGACAAGGGGAGTGTTACTGTGGCCAGTGTGTGTGTCAGCCGTCGAGTTTCGGACGCATCTACGGGGCCTACTGCGAGTGTGACGACTTCTCGTGTGTGAGGTTCCGAGGGGTACTCTGTGGAGGTGTGTACGTACGGTCGAAACACGGACTCTCATGACAGGCATTGTGGTTTCACCTATTCCACTTTTGATGAAAACAACTAATGACTCAGTAATATAACATATGACTTTAGAATATTGCAGCAAGATACACTGTAGTCACTTTCTTGCATGCTAATGTGTGTGTGTGTGTGTGTGTGTGTGTGTGTAGGTCACGGGGACTGTGACTGCGGCGAGTGTGTGTGTCTGAGCGGCTGGACGGGGGAGTACTGTAACTGCAGCAGCAGCAGGGACACGTGTGTGTCGGAGGACGGAGCGCTGTGCAGCGGACGGGGGAAGTGTGTGTGCGGGAAGTGTGTGTGTTCCATGCCCGGAGCCTCTGGAGACACCTGTGAAAGGTGCCCTACCTGTGGAGACTCCTGTAGCTCTGCTAGGTAAGAAGAGCACACACCTGTCCAGTTTCCCAATGGGTAATATGTACAGTGCCTTCAGAAACTATTCAGGCCCCTTGACTTATTCCACATTTTGTTGTGTTACAGCCTGAATTCAAAATGGATTAAATAAATAAAAAATATCACCCATCTACACACATTACCCCATAATGACAAAGTGAAAACATGTTTTTAGACATTTTTGCAAATGTGTTGAAAATTAAATCTAGAAATATATAATTTACATAAGTATTCTCACCCCTGGGTCAATACAGTACATATAACAAATGTGAGTCTTTCTGGGTAAGTCTTTAAGAGCTTTGCACACCTAGATATTTGCACATTATTCTTTAAAAAATTATTCAAGCTCTGTCAAGTTGGTTGTTGATCATTGCTAGACAGCCATTTTCAAGTCTTGACATAGATTTTCAAGCCGATTTAAGTAAAAACTGTAACTAGGCCATTCAGGAACATTCAACGTCGTCTTGGTAAGCAACTCCAGTGTATATATGGCCTTGTGCTTTAGGTTATTGTCCTGTTGAAAGGTGCATTTGTCTCCCAGTGTCTGTTGGAAAGCCGACTGAACCAGGTTTTCCTCTAGCATTTTTCCTGTGCTTAGCTCTATTTCGTTTCTTTTTATCCTAAAAAAACTCCCTAGTCCTTGCTGATGACAAGCATACCCATAACATGATGCAGCCACCACCATGCTTGAAAATATGAAGAGTGGTACTCAGTGATGTGTTGTGTTGGATTTGCCCCAAACATAACATTTTGTATTAACAGTTTTACTTTAGTGCCTTATTGCAAACAGGATGCATGTTTTAGAATATTTGTATTCTGTACAGGCTTCCATCTTTTCATTTAGGTTAGTATTGTGGAGCAACTATAATGTTGTTGATCCATCCTCAGTTTTATCCTATCACAGCCATTAAACTCTGTAACTGTTTTAAAGTCACCATTGGCCTCATGGTGAAATCCCTGAGCGGTTTCCTTCCTTTCTGGCAACTGAGTTAGGAAGGACACCTCTATATTTTTAATGACTGGGTGTATAGCTACACCATCCAAAGTGTAATTAATGAGGCATTGGAAAACCTCCCTGGTCTTTGTGGTTGAATCTGTGTTTGAAATTCACTGCTTGACTGAGGGACCATTCAGATAATTGTATGTGTGGGATACAGAAATGAGGTAGTCATTAAAAAATTATGTAAAACACTATTATTGCACACAGAGTGAGTCCATGCAACTTATTATGTGACTTGTTAAGCACATTTTTACTCCTGAACTTATTTAGGCTTGCCATAGCAAAGGGGTTGAATACCTATTGACTCAAGACATTTCTGCTTTTCATTTTGAATTAATTAGTAACATTTTGTAAAAACATAATTCCACTTTGACATTATGGGGTATGTGTGTAGGCCAGTGAACCAAATTCAGGCTGTAACACAACAAAATGTGGAAAACCTCAAGGGGTGTGAATACGTTTTGAAGGCACTGTAAGCCATCTGTTTCAGGAATGGCAACAGCGACTGTAGACAGGACAGCAGACAAATACAGTACTGAAACTGATGAGATGCTAACACTTATAGCAAATGTCTAGGCCACACTAGCCCACATCCTGTGAAACTGGGTCATGTTCCACATTAGCCCACGTCGTGTGAAACCTTGGTCATGTTCAGCAGAAAGTTTTTGAGGTCCAATGAAAACAAATTACGTTTACCTACAGTATTGAGAAGCCCTTTACCCTTTATTTGACTAATTGATTCTTGCCCGTCTTTACTTTGATGAGGAGAGAGAGCGAGAGAGCGAGAGAGAGAGAGAGAGAGAGAGAGAGAGAGAGAGAGAGAGAGAGAGAGAGAGAGAGAGAGAGAGAGAGAGAGAGAGAGAGAGAGAGAGAGAGAGAGAGAGAGAGAGAGAAGCCTTAGGAACAAACTGAAATCTGGCCAAGGCTTCTTCTGTTCACTCTTTATCAGGGAACACAAATACCCCTCCTCTTGAGACCAGCACTCAACGCGTGACAGATTGTGTGTGTGTTCCTCAGGACCTGTGTGGAGTGTCATCTACAAGCAGAAGAGGAGGCCACAGAGGAGTGTGTCCAAAGGTGCAGCGTCTCTCACGTCTTCATCAACAATTCCACAGGTTAGTTACTCCTGCCTGTCTGTCTTTCTGTCTGATCTGTTTATAGACACGAGTAGCCGAATCATGACTGATAAGATTCAAATCAATATTGTGAAATGAGAACTAGAGAATGTGACAGCAGAAACAGCATTATAACCACTTGTTTTAATCAAATGTGTGATTGCTAGGCTTGATGCCAGACTATTTCTGCATCCAACAATGGTACATTGTTTCCTTGCCAACCCTGATGAAGAAGTTTCTGGGGGAACTTTCCCTTGTCTGGCCCTTGCTTTTACCTGTTTAATATGATCACCCCACGTTGTTTGCCCTGCATGGGTAATAAACAGACTAGCATGTAAAGTTCCCCCATGGGTCAGAGATCTGGAGGTATGCTGGCCCGTCCTGCATCAAGTGTCTCTCTTTGCCCCTATCTTCACTCTCTTCAACCCTTTCCCTCTCCCAACAGAACACTGTCTGGGTCCAGTGTTAACCTGACACTAGACAAAGGGGAACATATTATTTACCTTGTTCTACAGACGGGGCTATTGTGGTGCTGGTTGAAAATACAAGGACCTGGCTTTGCGGGTTTGTTCCTTTAAATGGGAGCTTATTTTGAACCCGTTCACACTAATGCAAGCTGAGAGGTGTATCTGATCATCGCACCAGATCTTCAGGACTCAGATGTGAAATACAATGGTGTGACACACACACACACGCACACACACACACACACATTCACACAACATAGATCTTGGCCTTTGATATGGAAATCATATTGGCAGCAGAATAGAGAGGAGGGTATCCTCTTACGTCCTCTTACAATGCAGAGGGAAGTTGATATATGGCTTATTCATTCATTCCATCTTCATAGATGTGTATGTGTCCACATTGCTTTTCAGAGTACGATGAGAGCCAGTCCATGCTGTGTAACCTAAAGAGCGAGAACGAGTGCTTCATCTCTTTCAATGTGGTGGCTGGGGACACAGGGAGCACTGTGTATAATCTAAAGATGTACGGTAAGGTCAACACCACACCTTGGGCCAGATTCACTTAAAGGTTTTGAACATCACATAAAAGTATGAACAGTGAGAGAACCTGGAATTAAAATAGATTTTTGGGGGGGGTTTGTATCATTTGATATACACAACATGCCTACCACTTTGAAGATGCAAAATATGTTTTATTGTGAAACAAACAAGAATTAAGACAAAAAACTGAAAACTTGATCGTGCATAACTATACAAAGTCCAATACTTTGTAGAGCCACCTTTTGCAGCAATTACAGCTGCAAGTCTCTTGGGGTATGTCTCTATAAACTTGGCACATCTAGCCACTGGGTTGTTTGCCCATTCTTCAAGGCAAAACTGCTCTAGCTCCTTCAAGTTGGATGTGTGCCGCTGGTATACAGCAATCTTTAAGTCATACCACAGATTCTCAATTGGATTGAGGTCTGGGGTTTGACTAGGCCATTCCAAGACATTTAAATGTTTCCCCTTAAACCACTCGAGTCTTGCTTTAGCAGTATGCTTAGGGTCATTGTCCTGCTGGAAGGTGAACATCTGTCCCAGTCTCAAATCTCTGGAAGACTGAAACAGGTTTCCCTCAATAATTTCTCTGTATTTAGCACCATCCATCATTCCTTCAATTCTGACCAGTTTCCCAGTCCCTGCCAATGAAAAACATCCCCACAGCATGATGCTGCCACCACCATGCTTCACTGTGGGGATGGTGTTCTCGGGGTGATGAGAGGTGTTGGGTATGCGCCAGACATTTTCCTTGATGGCCAAAAAGCTCAATTTTAGTCTCATCTGACCAGAGTACCTTCTTCCATATGTTTGGGGAGTCTCCCACATGCCTTTTGGCAAACACCAAACGTGTTTGCTTCTTTTTTCTTTAAGCAATGGCTTTTTTCTGGCCACTCTTCCGTAAAGCCCAGCTCTGTGAAGTGTATGTCTTAAAGTGGTCCTATGGACAGATACTCCAATCTCCGCTGTGGAGCTTTGCAGCTGCTTCAGGGTTATCTTTGGTCTCTATGTTGCCTCTCTGATTAATGCCCTCCTTGCCTAGTCCGTGAGTTTTGGTGGGCAGCCCTCTCTTGGCAGGTTTGTTGTGGTGCCATATTCTTTCCATTTTTTAATAATGGATTTAATGGTGCTCCGTGGGATGTTCAAAGTTTCTGATATTTTTTTATAACCCAACCCTGATTTGTACTTCTCCACAACTTTGTCCCTGACCTGTTTGGAGAGCTCCTTGGTCTTCAGGGTGCTGCTTGCTTGGTGGTGCCCCTTGCTTAGTGGTGTTGCGGACTCTGGGGGCCTTTCAGAACAGGTGTATATATACTGAGCTCACGTGAAACTTAGATTGCACACAGGTGGACTTTATTTAACTAATTATGTGACTTCTGAAGGTAATTGGTTGCACCAGATCTTATTTAGGGGCTTCATAGCAAAGGGGGTGAATAAATATGCACGCACCACTTTTCCGTTATTTATTGTTTAGAATTTTTTGAAACAAGTTATGTTTTTCATTTCTCTTCACCAATTTGGACTATTTTGTCTATGTCCATTACATGAAATCCAAATAAAAATCAATTTAAATTACAGGTTGTAATGCAATAAAATAGGAAAAACGCCAAGGGGGATGAATACTTAACAGGCAGGGGTGAGAATCTCAGTGGGAAACATTGGAAACGGAATGGCCAATGATCTGCTTGCCAGACAGATTTTTCACACCTGTCAATATATAATATATATTCATAACATTAGCATAAAAGGACTCCATATCTATCACAACCTGGGTAACAATCACTATAATGTTCAGATAATTTATCTCGAAAAGTGTGCTAACAAAACTTGCTATTACAGTTACACCTCGAAAGCGTGTCTCTGTGATGACTACGGAAGTAACTGTGTTTGTGTGTTTGTCTGTCTCTCTCTCTCTCTCTCTCTCCCTCCAGACTGTCCTGAGCCCCCAAACATAGCTATGATAGTACTGGGGGTCTCTCTGTCCATCCTCACCATCGGCCTCATCCTGCTGGGGGTGTGGAAGCTGCTGATCTCAGTCCACGACCGCAAAGAGGTCGCCAAGTTTGAGGCCGAGAGGGCAAAGGCTAAATGGCAGTCGGTGAGATGGTGTCCTTGTCCTCATTTGCTCTGTGTAATGTCAATTACTCTGAAATTCTTGTATAATTTACTGTTAAACTGTTTTTTTTCTTTCTCCACAGGGTACAAACCCTCTGTTTAGAAGCTCGACGTCAACGTTTAAAAATGTAACTTATAAAAGCGCAGGGGGACCGAAAGTTGATATTCATTCAATGGATGGCTACTGATGATGACATCAGCTTTTATATATCAAATATTTACCCGCAGTTGAGTGCACTGGATGTCCGTTGTAGAGATGTTTATGTTGTATAGGACCTATGTGTGTGTGTGTGTGTGTGCGTGCGTGTGTGCATGTGCATGCAAGTGTGTGTGTGTGTGTGGTGTAAGGAAAAATTGTAAACACCACAATGTACAACATTGTATCACTCCAAAAGGAATGTATTTTCTTCAGGGATGCTATCTCATATCAGCAGACAGACAATGGAATGTCAAGCTATGAATCATCTCAAAGTGAAATGACTTCGATTTTGCTGCTGTTAAAGTTGTCTCTGGTACAAACGCTCTGCTGAACTGAACACTGGAATTTCCCATTTAGGTTGTTACAGATGTAGGATCTTAATTTGATCACGCTGTTGCAGGAGAACTTTCCTGAAATGCAGGGAATGTCAAACGTATAGGGTATTTTAGGTTTAAACAGGTTTCTGAAGATTGTAATTTCTGCTTTGAAATTTCAGACTTGATTTTCCCTTACGAAAAATATATCAACCCCTACAAAAATATCCATTAATTGTAATCCATATAATCATTTACATTTCTTGTTGCTGCAGGATTATTTTCCTGCTGTAGCAAACTGGCTCAAATTATGATCCTACATCTGTACTTTTTTTCATAGACTTTGGGTTGGGACATAGGTAGCCTACAACTGAGAATAAACTGAGTAGGCTTGATACTACTGCAATAATGTTTTATGTTTTATGTGTTATGAATGTTTTATTTGTGGTTTTGAATCGAGGCTGAGCCTTGAATTATGTAATCTTGATTGGAATAATTTTGAGAAGAATAATTGATTAACTTCAATGTATGGCGCAAAAATAAAGTTGAACTTTTGAGTTGTTGCCACATCATCATGCATAGCCTATTGTTTTGATTTATTATCGATTGTCAATTAGTGTAAATTATGTAGGCCTATTGTTGAGTATTATTTGAAATAGACTATCAATGTTCTTCTAAAACGTGTGTAAAAGCCATAAAAACCGACCCCCGCCCAAAAATTGTCTGGAAGAAATGTAGACTATGCTGTCTTTACTACCCCGCAGAGACCTTGGGCCGTGACGTCGCGATTACCCAAACTTTCGGAAAGTTCTTCAGGAGAAAAACAACCACGGAATGTTCGAACTCTTGCCTTTTTATTCCGCAACTTGTCGTCGAAATGAGAATATATTTATCACGCTGTACAGAATCTTTAGGAGTGCTCTTGTTAATCTTTGCAATAGTCTTTGTGAATAGCTGCGACTGTGTGATTGAAGACGATGTTGTGTTGGAGAAAAAAGAACTTTCCGAACTCTACAGTAAGTTCAGCTCAGACTGCATCGAACATCAAAATGTGTCCACTAGTAGCCTACTCTCCAGGTTGTTTTTACATAATTATTAATGATAGGTCAGTCATGCAAATCAGGACAAGAAAGTCTACAATAGGAAAAACTGATTGTTGCCCTGTGTATGCAAGTGTGGTATACTGTATGTGCAAGACAAGTCATTTGCATAGGCTTCTGTAGGCTACAGTGCTGCGCGGCTCGATGCATGGCGGGATGCGTTTTATTATCCTCGGGTTCGATTATGGAAAAATACAATAAACAGTATAAGAAAAGGTTGTTGTGTAATCTGGACTGGAAGAACTGCAAAATGCTTTCGTAATAAGAACACGTTTCCCTTATTATGCATGATCAGTTAATTAATTAATTGACTCATCATGTGACCAACAGGCATCTGATGCGCATAGATTGGACAGGTCAGAAAGAATAAAACATCGTTATTGATGCTGTTATGGGTAGCGGGATGAACAGCTTAGGGTCAGGTAAAGGTAACCATGGATAAACTGTATGCACAGTATAGTAACTGTAGGCTGTAGAGGGCATGTTTCCCTGGTGTAAACAGGAGTGAGCTCAAATGGGGTCATACAATTATGCCAACGGAATGACAGGAGGACACACACACACACACACACACACACACACACACACAGAGAGAAACAGGCTAAGACATGTTGTTTGGTTGGGCACATGCTGTGCTTGTAAAACAGAGTAGGCCTGTCAGATGACCTAAACTCCAGTCTCCAGTCTCATTGAATTTAAAATGTTTATCGGATATGACAATGTAGGCTAGTAGTAATGTTGTAATAGTAATGTTACTATGCATAGGCCTAATAATACATTTTAGCAGACTATAAACATTCACACTTGTTTCAGACATGTGAATAGGAGAATGACATTATTAAATTAAATTAATATTATTAAATTAAATTCTGAACAATAAACAGTTCAGAACAGTTCGTGCATATATTATGACGATATTTTGTGACGTTTTTATTCGTTTTGGTCTTCGGCAAGGGTTTTTTCGGCTGTTCGTGCAGACAAAACATTTTCTCGAGGCAAGCCGAAGTTCGGAGCCGAAGTCTACGCCCCTTCGTCGGTCATTGGTCAACAGTAGAGATTCTTCAATAAAGTGTTTGTTGCCATTCAACAATAGATTACTCATTTTCATGCAAAAAAATTTAACTTGAGAAATATTGCACCAAACATCTTAGTTAGATGTAAAATTGCGCGACTAAGATCTCGGCAAAAACGTAAAAATTAATGACAGATATCTTATTATTTTAGATTAATTCTGACTGTTTTGAGGAAGTGTATACTGGCTACGACATCTCAAGATGGACAAACTGTACTTTTTCTTGTTTTTCAAGCAAAGGTCTTTTATGGGAGTATGCGAGCACACTCGTTCGGCCCAGCAGAACCGAAGCATGCAGAAGCCTTAATGGAGCACCTTTTAGTGCTCAAACACCAATATTAGTGTCCTATAGAGAGCATAGTAGAGTTTACAGTGGAAGATGCTATTATTCTTCACCTCTACCCTACTTTTCCATCCATCAATCCCTCTATTCCCAGAAAAGGGTCTGTTCATCATGGAGAGTACCCAGCTGAAGCGCTGCATCTCCTCCTCCTCCTCTAACCTGGTTCTGGAAAGCTGTGAGAGACCCACCCGCCGTATGCTGTGGAAGTGGGTGTCTCGCCACCGCCTCTTCAATCTGGGTAGCAGCCTCTGTCTGGGCCTGAACATCAGCGACGCCACCCAGCCCCTGGGCACCTTCGAGTGTGACTCACCCCTCCAGACCCTGTGGTGGAGGTGCAATGGGAATACGTTGTACGGGGCGTCCCAGCTGAAGCTGTCCGTGGCTGGACGCCTGGTGGTGGTCAAGAGGGCCAGTTATCATCAGTGGAGGAGGTACTCTACACCAGGGGAGGGGCCATGTGCCTATCCTTATGAGGGTAAGTAGTAAACATTAGTGATGCGCGGGTCAGCTGTTTGTTCACCCGCACCCGCCCGCAATTGCTAATAACCCATTTTCTCTAGCCTCTTTCATTTCTGCTTCTCTTGCACAGCAAAGACGTTTAGGGACCGGAGAGAAAATAGAAGAAGAAAAAAAGAACAGGAAAGATTTCCTATGCAAAATCTCCAAAATTGACCTGTTTTAAGAAAATTAAAAGCTGTTAAAATGACCCAACATGTTTTTGATACGATTTCAGTTCGTCTTGGATGCATATTCTATGTGGTTGAAATACTATCAGCTTTTATTATGCTGATAAAGATAGCACCTTTACAGACGGTCCCTAACCGCTCATTCTCTCAAGATGCTGAATGAAATCAATCTTATTTCTCCACTCCTGTTTACATTTGGTGTTAGGGCTGAGAATTGCCAGGGACCTCACGATACAATATTATCCCGAAACGTAGGTGCCGATACGATATGTATTGCGATTCGATACTGTGATTTTATTGCGATTCAATGTTCAAAAAATATTGCTTACGATACGATATATCGTCATAAATAATATGTAACTATCGATTTTTTCCCCCATAACTATTGGGGTATCATTTTACTGCAATAAATAATTAATTCTGCAGAAGTTAATATTATTAGGCTATATGAGAAATTATAGACCTACAGTCAGTGTCCAGATTTCAATTAGGCTACTATTCCATTTAACCCATCTGAACAGTAGCCTACAGTTCCCTTGACATGCCATTTTGAAGTCCCTGTCTTGTGACTCGAATTTGTATAGAGCCTCACAATCATTACGCATAACATAGCCGGCACTGCTTTAATCCTCTTTTAACACTTCACCAAATCTTTCCCAAACATTAGACTACTGTTCTGGCCCTCCCTTCTATTTAATTTGAACTCTCCATTTCGCAGCTTTTGTCTTATTGAATTAAACTCTGACATTGTTCCAAAAAGCATTTGGCAGTTGGTGTGTATTTGGCACGCTGCGGTTAGGCCCTAAAGTTGAAGCTTAGGCTTAGGCTAGCCTACGCACTGCCAGATAAAACGAATGAAAGAAAAAACGAATTGTAGCCTATAGATATGAATTGCATAAGAATGATACATTTATGGATTTGTTATGCATTGTTTTCTCTTTATTCAACCTGCCTGCCATCCACCCGTCCTTCGTCCACACAATATTTCATGACCCTAAACCCGCCCGCCCCGCGGATATAACCTTGGAGACTGCGGGTTATGAGTCAACCCGCGCATCACTAGTATACATAGTATATTATAGTAGTGACAGGTACTGACTGACCTCTTTCTACACAGACAGTTTCATTGAGACACAGTTGGTTTGATATTAATGCAGCCATGCAAATGCTAATCATCACTTACATAAGAAAACGAATAGACTGGCTCACTATATGACCGTGAAAATGAGCCCAAAGAAGGTGGTAGTGACAACGTTTTTCTCTGTAGAGATCCACACACTGTTGGGTAATGCCCACGGCATGCCTTGTGCCCTGCCATTCAAATACAACAACAAGTGGTACTCGGAGTGCACAGCAGAGGGGCGCGAGGACCACCATCGCTGGTGTGCCACCACCAGTCGATACGACCAGGATGAGAAATGGGGCTTCTGTCCCAGTCAAGGTGATGCACACACACACACACACACACACACACACACACACACACACACACACCCAACGGTATTGTTGTACAGTGTGGGTTTGATCGAATGTCTTTGAAACAACACGACCATGATAATAGTAACATTTATTTGTCTCTGCCTCCAGAGTTGAGTTGCGATACGTTCTGGGACTCGAACCAGGAGAGCCGTGCGTGTTACCAGTTCAACCTCTACACCATCCTAACGTGGAGCCAGGCCCACTCCTCCTGCCTGGCCCAGGGAGGAAGTCTACTCAGCATCACTGACCTCACTGAACAGAGGTACATCAGAGGTATGACAACTCGTCTCTATAACTATTTTATCACTATATTTAATAGTTCTATTTAAACATTTAAAACTTTATTTGAACTTTTAGTCAGGAAAGGAGACAAGGTGGGGGGTGTGGTCTGAGCTACACATACAGTATATACTCTATAAACTATAAACTCTTGGGTGCAGTATTAAAACAGACTTGTGTTCATAGGTTTGCTTATTCAGGTTGGAGAAAGGACAAGATGTTTTGCCCAGAGTTAGTGGTGTTCATGTGTGTGCTTCTGTGTCTTTCAGAGCGGTTGGCTGACGTGGGGGTGATGGTTTGGATTGGACTGAACCACCTGAGTGAGAGAACAGGGTGGCAGTGGTCTGATGGAGCTCCTCTAGCCCTGGTCAACTTCACCTCAGGTAAGAGAGTTGGGCTGCTCCAACCTTTTCACTCCCACTCCAAGGCACATATTCCTCCTTTAAGATCAGAATGAACAGCATTGGCATTAGCAATAATATGTAATAGCTTCATGTAGCCCTCTGAAGTGGAGTTTCTGGCCATTTTGCTCAAACCGGTCCAGTCCATTTGGATCTCAGCATTGGGAATCAAGAAGTACTTGCTGTAGCAGTAGTGGGAGCCAGAGATTTGTGTTTGAAACTAGGCCAAAGTTTCTCTCTTTCTACCCGTAACTCCCCCCTACCCCTGTTGGTCTCTCCCAGGCCTATCATCCAGCCCTCTGCAGGACAACAGGCAGTGTGGGGTGTATAACTCAGCCTCGGGGGGGCACCAGTGGCAGAGTCTGTCCTGTGAGTCTGCTTTACCCTACATCTGTAAGAAGACCCCCAATGACACCAGGAGAGCTGAGCCTCTAGGTAAGACATCAATGGCCATATATGTTTCTTATTGTGGCCCTAACCTGGTCCCATATCTGTTTGTGCAAAACAGTGTTTGTCATGACAATGAGTGACAAAGAGTTGGCATGATAGCACAAACAGACTGGCGCTCAGGCTATTATTGTCCTAGTGCTCAGCCATTGTACTACAAGAAATGATTAATAATCTGCACTGTAACGGAAAACTGTAAATTATACGGTAATTTGGTGTATTTTCAGCAGTAAAATACTCTGAAATGTTTTACTGCAGAATACTGTGGGCGGGGCATACAATTGCTGTATTTCGAATGGTACTGTAATTCCAACCCACAGAATACAGTACCGTACCTAATATTTGGAGCACCAAAAACCTTTTGACCACTAGTGGGTGCATGGTATTGTTGTTTCTGGCTAATTAACATATTTTGAGGGGTGCCTTGTAATAGGCTATATTTGTTGCACCTGTGAGTGAGAATGCTGTAGCAGTTTAACTCCTATGTGGTTATAGTGCCCCATCAATATGTATACTGTAGGGGACAGATTGGAGTGGCAGCAAGTCTTAAACCTTGTCTTCTTGGTCTGTTCTGCCCTGTAGTCGTTGCCAGTTTGGAAGCCTTTGTTAAGGCCACTAGAAGTGCAAGTGATATAAAACACCAAATATTAATTAATATACTGTAATGTGTAAACACTTTACCTAGCAGCCAACCTGCTTGCTAATGTAAAATACTGTGACATTTCATTAATTCATCCATTCATTAATTCATTCCAATTATGGTAGCATTGACTTTTTTTTAACAGTATAATACAGTAAATGTTAAGGTATTGTACTGTGTGTTATTACACAGTACTTACTTTGATACCGTATTTATATTACAGTAGGTGTACTGTTATATGAAATACCGAATTTTACTTGCCACCGAGCTGCCTGTAAGCTACTGTCAGATTCACAGTAACCCCTTTACATTGTTGTTTATAGGAAGTGATTACATGTAGATACTGATAAAAAGGCCAGGTCAAGGTCCGTCTGGCTCTAGGGCCTAGGGAACTATTAATACCTATGTCCCAAATAGCACTCTATTCCCTATATAGTGTACTACTTTTGACCAGTGCTCATAGGTTTCTGGTCAAAAGTAGTGCATTATGTAGGGAATAGGGTGCAATTTGGGACAAATGCACAGAGTTTGGTTGTGTTTGGTACTTGAGTCAGCTGTCTGTCTGGCTCAAGAGGGCTTGGTGAGCTATCCCATTTGCCATATTCTTATACACAGTCTCCAACTAGTACTTGTTAGCAGTTCTGAACAGCCCTTTCTAATAGGTCAAATTGCATAAACATGAGCAACGTTTGGCTGTTTGTTTTGTTTGATACTGATGACTCAATTGTTTCTGTCTGGCTCGAGAGTCGTCTGGTGAATTATCTATTTGTAATGTTCCAAAACGATGTTCTCTCCAACAAGAACTGTTGATTGGAACTGAAAAACCTTCTCTAACAGGTCAGCATTTGGGCACAGCTTGGTTGTTTTGTCCTGATGGTGTTCTTGTTATTTATTCCAGTGCCAATATAAGTCTTGTTATTTTATTCCATTGGCAATAGAACTCCTGAGTCACTCCAGTGAGTAATGTCGGTTTGAATGATTCTACCAATAGAATGGGAGAGGAGCTTCAGCTAGCAGCTAGCTACAGGGCTCAACAGCTGGGTTCCACCTCGAACATGAACTCTTGACCTCAGATTCTTCCAAGCTATAACAGGGCTATAACAGAAAACATAGGTTGTGTATGGTTCAGTAGGCATGACACTGGAAATGTTTTAAAATGGATGATGAGCGTTCTTATTAGACAAGTTCAAGTAGTACACCTCCATTTGAGAATGTTTTCAGCTAGGACCGAACTTTGATTTACGGCTTTCTTTCGTTTATTGTTCTCCAGAGTGATGAACGACTCTTGGAAGAGTGACAATGCTCTGACATTTTCTCTCTTTACCCCTAAATCTTAGAATGACAGGTGCTGATGTTTTTGTGCTGAATTGGACCGTTACCTCTCATCCTTTTTCCTCCATTACCCGCCCCCAGATAACTGGCAGTACTACCGCACGGTGTGTTCCGAGGGCTGGCTGGCCCACAACCGTTACTGCTACAAGGCCCTGGCAGAGGCTGAGGCAGGGAGCTGGAAGGACTGCTCCACTGCCTGTGACTCCGTAGGGGCCAACCTCACCAGCCTACACTCTCTATCTGAGGTAGAGCTGCTACTGAACCTGCTAGCTAACGGTGAGTCTGGATCTGGGGTTCTATAGTCTAGTATGGATGTTAGTTACTTTATGTGGTGTATAGTGTCTTCTATGTTCTGGGATAGTGTGGACATCATAAAGGGTCATGGGAGGGTAATGTCTTTTATGTGGTTGTTTTTTAAATGTTGACAAATACAGTGGGGAAAAAAAGTATTTAGTCAGCCACCAATTGTGCAAGTTCTCCCACTTAAAAAGATGAGAGAGGCCTGTAATTTTCATCATAGGTACACGTCAACTATGACAGACAAATTGAGGAAAAAAAATCCAGAAAATCACATTGTAGGATTTTTAATGAATTTATTTGCAAATTATGGTGGAAAATAAGTATTTGGTCACCTACAAACAAGCAAGATTTCTGGCTCTCACAGACCTGTAACTTCTTCTTTAAGAGGCTCCTCTGTCCTCCACTCGTTACCTGTATTAATGGCACCTGTTTGAACTTGTTATCAGTATAAAAGACACCTGTCCACTACCTCAAACAGTCACACTCCAAACTCCACTATGGCCAAGACCAAAGAGCTGTCAAAGGACACCAGAAACAAAATTGTAGACCTGCACCAGGCTGGGAAGACTGAATCTGCAATAGGTAAGCAGCTTGGTTTGAAGAAATCAACTGTGGGAGCAATTATTAGAAAATGGAAGACATAAAAGACCACTGATAATCTCCCTCGATCTGGGGCTCCACGCAAGATCTCACCATGTGGGGTCAAAATTATCACAAGAATGGTGAGCAAAAATCCCAGAACCACACGGGGGGACCTAGTGAATGACCTGCAGAGAGCTGGGACCAAAGTAACAAAGCCTACCATCAGTAACACACTACACCGCCAGGGACTCAAATCCTGCAGTGCGAGACGTGTCCCCCTGCTTAAGCCAGTACATGTCCAGGCCCGTCTGAAGTTTGCTAAAGTGCATTTGGATTATCCAGAAGAGGATTGGGAGAATGTCATATGGTCAGATGGAACCAAAATATAACTTTTTGGTAAAAACTCAACTCGTCGTGTTTGGAGGACAAAGAATGCTGAGTTGCATCCAAAGAACACCATACCTACTGTGAAGCATGGGGGTGGAAACATCATGCTTTGGGGCTGTTTTTCTGCAAAGGGACCAGGACGACTGATCCGTGTAAAGGAAAGAATGAATGGGGCCATGTATCGTGAGATTTTGAGTGAAAACCTCCTTCCATCAGCAAGGGCATTGAAGATGAAACGTGGCTGGGTCTTTCAGCATGACAATGATCCCAAAAACATTGTCCGGGCAACGAAGGAGTGGCTTCGTAAGAAGCATTTCAAGGTCCTGGAGTGGCCTAGCCAGTCTCCAGATCTCAACCCCATAGAAAATCTTTGGAGGGAGTTGAAAGTCCGTGTTGCCCAGCGACAGCCCCAAAACGTCACTGCTCTAGAGGAGATCTGCATGGAGGAATGGGCCAAAATACCAGCAACAGTGTGTGAAAACCTTGTGAAGACTTACAGAAAACGTTTGACCTGTGTCATTGCCAACAAAGGGTATATAACAAAGTATTGAGAAACTTTTGTTATTGACCAAATACTTATTTTTCACCATAATTTGCAAATAAATTCATTAAAAATCCTACAATGTGATTTTCTGGATTTTTTTCTCTCATTTTGTCTGTCATAGTTGACGAGTACCTATGATGAAAATTACAGGCCTCTCTCAATCTTTTAAAGTGGGAGAACTTGCAAATGGGGTGACTAAATACTTTTCCCCCACTGTAAACTAAGATCTGTGTGTGTGGTGTGTGTATTAAGTGCCTGCAAAAGTATTCGCCCCTGGCATTTTTCCATTTTGTTGCATTACAACCTTAATTAAATGATTTTGTATTTATTTTGTAATGGACATACACAGAATAGTCCAAATTGGTGAAAAAAAATAAATGAAAAAAAATTCAACTGAAGTCTGTATATCGTGCAAACTTCCGATTCCTCTACACAGCTGGTTGTTGTCCGAGGTGTTGTATTCCTGCATAGATCTTGTATTATCCATGGCATAGAACTCTGAGTACTCATGAGTATGTCGGTTTGAATGATCTACCAAATAGAATGGGAGAGGAGCTTCAGCTAGCAGCTAGCTACAGGGCTCAACAGCTGGGTTCCACCTCGAACATGAACTCTTGACCTCAGATTCTTCCACGCTAGGCTATAACAGGGCTATAACAGAAAACATAGGTTGTGTATGGTTCAGTAGGCATGACACTGGAAATGTTTTAAAATGGATGATGAGCGTTCTTATTAGACAAGTTCAAGTAGTACACCTCCATTTGAGAATGTTTTCAGCTAGGACCGAACTTTCTTTCGTTTATTGTTCTCCAGAGTGATGAACGACTCTTGGAAGAGTGACAATGCTCTGACATTTTCTCTCTTTACCCCTAAATCTTAGAATGACAGGTGCTAATGTTTTTGTGCTGAATTGGACCGTTACCTCTCATCCTTTTTCCTCCATTACCCGCCCCCAGATAACTGGCAGTACTACCGCACGGTGTGTTCCGAGGGCTGGCTGGCCCACAACCGTTACTGCTACAAGGCCCTGGCAGAGGCTGAGGCAGGGAGCTGGAAGGACTGCTCCACTGCCTGTGACTCCGTAGGGGCCAACCTCACCAGCCTACACTCTCTATCTGAGGTAGAGCTGCTACTGCTGGGGTGTGTTATGTAGTGTGGGTATGATACTATGCCATTGCAAAAGTTTTTTTTATTACTAAGATGCTGTTGTGTGTGTATGTAATGGCCTTGCAAACGTAATCAGCCCCCTGTGGCATTTTTCCTATTTTGTTGCATTACAACCTGTAATTTAAATTGATTTTTATTTGGGATTTCATGTAATGGACATACACAGAATAGTCCAAATTGGTGAAGTGAAATGAAAAAAAATAACTTGTTTCAAAAAAGTATAAAAAATAAATAACAGAGAAGTGGTGCGTGCATATGTATTCACCCCCTTTGCTATGAAGCCCCTAAATAAGATCTGGTGCAACCAATTACCTTCAGAAGTCACATAATTAGTTAAATAAAGTCCACCTGTGTGCAATCTAAGTGTCACATGATCTCAGTATATATACACCTGTTCTGAAAGGCCCCAGAGTCTGCAACACCACTAAGCAAGGGGCAACACCAAAAAAGCAGCACCATGAAGACCAAGGAGCTCTCCAAACAGGTCAGGGACAAAGTTGTGGAGAAGTACAGATCAGGGTTGGGTTATAAAAAAAATATCCAAAACTTTGAACATCCCACGGAGCACCATTAAATCCATTATTAGAAAATGGAAAGAATATGGCACCACAACAAACCTGCCAAGAGAGGGCCGCCCACCATAACTCACAGACCAGGCAAGGAGGGAATTAATCAGAGAGGCAACAAAGCGACCAAAGATAACCCTGAAGGAGCTGAAAAGCTCCACAGCGGAGATTGGAGTATCTGTCCATAGGAACATTTTAAGCCGTACACTCCACAGAGCTGGTCTTTACGGAATAGTGGCCAGAAAAAAGCCATTGCTTAAAGAAAAAATTAAGCAAACACGTTTGGTGTTTGCCAAAAGGCATGTGGGAGACTCCCCAAACATATGGAAGAAGGTACTCTGGTCAGATGAGACTAAAATTGACCTTTTTGGCCATCAAGGAAAATGCTATGTGGGGATGTTTTGCATCGGCAGGGACTGGAAAATTGGTCAGAATTGAAGGAATACAGGGAAATTATTTAGGGAAATCTGTTTCAGTATTCCAGAGATTTGAGACTGGGACCGAGGTTCACCTTCCAGCAGGACAATGACCCTAAGCATACTGCTAAAGCAACACTTGAGTGGTTTAAGGGGAAACATTTAAATGTCTTGGAATGGCCTCGTCAAAGCCCAGACCTCAATCCAATTGAGAATCTGTGGTATGACTTAAAGATTGCTGTACACCAGCGGAACCCATCCAACTTGAAGGAGCTGGAGCAGTTTTGCCTTGAAGAATGGGCAAAAATCCCAGTGGCTAGATGTGCCAAGGTTATAGAGACATACCCCAAGATACTTGCAGCTGTAATTGCTGCAAAAGGTGGCTCTACAAAGTATTGACTTTGGGGGGGTGAATAGTTATGCACTCTCAGGTTTTCTGTTTTTTTGTCTTATTTCTTGTTTGTTTCACACACAAAAAATATGTTATTATATATTCAAAGTGGTAGGCATATTGTGTAAATCAAATGATACAAACCCCCCAAAAATTTTTAATTCCAGGTTGTAAGGCAACAAAATAGGAAAAATGCCAAGGGGGGGTGAATATTTCCACAAGCCACTGTATGTATGTATATTTACATGTATGTGTGTACTCTAGTCTCATTGTCTGGCTCAGAGGTGTGGATCGGCCTGATAAAGAAGCTATCGTCTTCAGCTGTAGAGTGGTCAGACGGCTCCCCGGTCGACCTCACTCTCTGGCACAAGCACCAGCCTACCCATAGTAACAGTCAGCTCTGTGCCAAGACTGACATAAAGGTACGGTCAACTGAATCCTTTTGACTTTGATGATTACAGTTTGTGGTTGGTTCATCGTCTTTATTTGAATTCATATAGTAAATTACTCAAATGTGTGTGTGTGTGTGTGTCCGTCCTAGGAGGGGAACTGGCTGTTGGCACCATGCGATGAGAAGCTCCCTGCAGTGTGTAGGAGACCCGGCCTTCTGCCCCTACACCCCACTGGAGCATGGGACGAGAGCTGTCCTGAGGTAGCCTCATACACACACACACACACACACACACACACACATACACACACACATAGATGATCTGATGAGAAACCCTACAAGATATCATCGCTGCATGTGTCCTAGCCCTGAGCAGAAGAATGCAAAACTGCTCTTATCTACATCAATCTAAACCGAACTGTTTCCATAACAACTTATTTCATGGCACCATGCAGTGTTGATTCGATACATTCTTTGTCAGACAGAGGTTCTGTGGCGTGCAAACTGCTGACATTGAGCAGTGTGGTCAGAATAGTGCCATTCTACATATCCAGACCTGCATTACCATTACAGTAAAAGAGCCTGGTTGGGTTCAGATCCTGAGTTAGGGAGAGTCTGCTCTGCATTCAGTACAATGAGCTGATTCAACAGCCAGATGACGTATTGTCTGACTGTCATGTGGAGCTGTCACTGTTTACGAGGACATAAGCAGATTGACTCATAAGGGCTGTTTCACTGTTTCACCATGTCCTAAAATGGACAGGAAATGGTCCTGGGGGAGTACTATCAATGGACACAGACACTAACTAAGAAGTATAAATAAATAAATAAATGGGGACTTCACAGAATAAAGACTTCTTTCAGGGACTGTGTTTGATTGTTTTCAGGCCATGTTGTAAAATTCACACAATCACCCTAGCTATGTTCATTGAAAAACGGCCTTCAGTTGGAAAGGGATTTGACAACAGAAAGAGAGAATCTCCTCCATCGCGGAGGCACTGGTGTACATTCCTTCCACACGCACGTGTTGGCTGCCATTGGTCCTCAAGTGTGTATGGTGAGGTGGGGGTGAAATGTAGGAGACTTGTCAAAACACCACTACTTCCTGTCCCTAAGACCCTCCCCAAAAGTCCCCCCCAAGCCCCCTCCAGTCCTAACAGATGGGCCCAGTCATAGCCCTAACCCCCCACCCTCCCCATTCCCCTAACCCCAATCCTCCACGTGTGTTTGCTTGTATTAGCCACTGCAGTCTACTGCTAATTCCAAACTATGCGGCTCTTACTGCCAGAATGTTTGGAGGGTAACACAATCCAGTCAGCTTGGCCTGCTCTGCTGAGCTTGTTGCTATTCTTGTACACCGGCCCAAACTCTTTTCAGGTGTCTGTGTGTATAGACATGGAGTAATGTGTGAACCTGCAGTATATTCAGCGCATTGTCTTGGCTGCTCTCACTCTTGGACGGTGTCTGCAGTAGAAGAATCCAGTCATATAAAGTTAAACGTTTTCTATTTGTTTAATCTAACTGAGCTACAGATGTAGGATCTTAATTTGATCACTCTTTTGTTCTTTAGAATTTTCTTGAACAGCAGGAAATGCTAACTTGTAGTGTATTCGAGGTTTTAAAAGGTTTCTAAAGTTTTTAATTTCCAATATCAGACTTAACTTGCCGTAACAAAAAATTTATCAACCCCTACAAAAAATGTCCATTAATTAATAATCCACATAATAATTCAAATGTCCTGCTGCTGTGCAGGATTATTTTCTTGCTGTAGCAAACTGGCTCAAATTAAGACCCTACATCTGTATGTCTTCCCCACAGGGTTGGAAGCGGAAGGGCCACTCTTGCTACATGGTGACGAGCCACGAGCAGAGCTATGAAGACGCTGTCAAGGGTTACTACTGCAAGGCTCCTCTGGTCACAGTGGAAAACAGGTCTGATTTCTGATTCAGACTTCTCATCTTAATCATTTCTTACACACTGCACCTCAAATGGGAACTCCCATATTTCATAGTGGCAAGAATACATTCTTATGAATGATTGTTGATTTCTCTCCGTGGCAGGTTTGAGCAGGCCTTTCTGAACAGCCTGGTGAGTGAGATGGGAGCCAATGGTAGTATATATTACTGGACGGCCCTACAGGACCAGGGTAACCATGGAGAGTACAGCTGGCTGGGAGGACACAATGGATCCACCCTACCGCTGCTGTATACCAACTGGAACAGGCATCAGCCAGGTAGGGAAGGGAGACGTGGTGGGGTGGGCTGTAGCATCCTATACTCTATGTTCCAGGTAGAAGTTGCCCCTTAACCACAGATCCAGGGTCAGATTACCCAACAATGTATCCTAACGGCTATCAGAAGGGTAATGAAAAAAGATCTGACCCTGGATCAGTGCATAGGGACAAACTTCAACCTACTCTATGTCAATAAACAATAGTCTCCCTGTTAAACTATACTGTTTTGTCGTAGTGGATTGAGTGATACAGTATATGACAACTATGTTGTTCCCTCTATTCACATGTTTTTCCAGACCACTCCACTGTCAACAGTCTTCCTTCTCTTCCCCACTGGCATGTAGTCTCGATGACACAGACCAGCTCCACTTAGATAGCAAACAATAGGGCTGAGACAGAACAGACAGACAGACAGAAAGACAGACATAGTTGTGGGTTAGTTTAGCCCCAGGTGGATGTGTCTGCTGTCTACTGTCCTTCATTCAACCCCCCCTCCTTCACTTCACTTCACACTGTGGCTTCGTCCCAAATGGCATCCTATTCCCTATGCAGTGCTCTACTTTAGTAGTGCACTTTGAAGGGAATAGCCAAATAGAGTGCCATTTCGGATGCAGGCTATGATTAATGAGTTCAAGTGTAATTTAGGTTTCACAATCTCAGCTTCCTTCAGTCAGGATGAGAGCATCATAAATCATGCTGTTGCTATGGTGAAATGGCAGGACAACTTTGAAGTAGAAATCCAATCATTTAGTTAATAAATCACAGCTCACAGTCTCTCTCTCTCTCTCTCTCTCTCTCTCTCTCTCTCTCTCTCTCTCTCTCTCTCTCTCTCTCTCTCTCTCTCTCTCGCTCTCTCTCTCTCTCTCTCTCTCCCTCTCTCTCTCCTCCCTTCTCTAGTCAGTGCAGGTGGCTGTGTGGCTATGACAGGTGGCCAGGCCTTGGGTCACTGGGAAGTGAAGGACTGCAAATCCCAGAAGGCGTTGTCAGTGTGTAAACAGAGCATCAGTGGTTACCAGGAGGTCCTGTTGCCTGCAATCCATATTGACGCTTATGCCCCCTGTCCTCCAGGCTGGGAATCACACACCGGCCTGCTCCACTGTTACAAGGTCAGCTGCCTTTCCTCCTCTTCTCCCCCCTCCGTTCTGTCTCTTCTCCTTTATCTATTTTCCTGTATTTCGCCTGTCTTCCTCAGTTATTAACTCATTGTGAAAAGTAATGCTTATGCTACCACTCTGAGAGAGTATGACATGATCACAATTCTCTAAATAATAGAGGTTGTCCCATTAGCTGTCACTTGAAAACCAATGCAGATAAGGAGATGCTGTAGTCAAGGCGACGTAGTGTCATTGTTGACTGTGGTCCTCAGGCGTTCCACAGTGAGAAGGTCCTGATGAAGAGGTCGTGGGAAGACGCTGACTTCTTCTGCCAGGCTCTAGGAGCTCAGCTGGCCAGCTTCCACCACTACGAGGAGCAGGTCTTCGTCAAAGGACTCCTCCACTCCATGTTTGATGGGTTAGTTAGTGCCACCTAGTCCAACATCACTACTGTTCATTTGTCAAAAGTTAAAAGTGTGTTTATCACCTACACCCCTGTTTTTGCCTTTTTATAATATTGTGTTGTCCCAGGGAATCAAGCACACACATTTTCTTCAGGAAATGCAGTTTTACCTGTGATTGTGGATGACTTTTATTCATTATGTCAAATCTATTCCCTCTCTCTCTCTCTACTCTACTCCTTCCTCTTTTTCAGAACAGAGGGTCGTTGGTTCTGGGTGGGCTTGAATAAGAGAGACCCCCAGTCAGCAGGAGCTTGGGGGTGGTCTGACGGGACCCCTGTGGTGTCCTCCTTCATCGAGGATAAGAACCAGGAGGATGACAGACATAACTGTGCTGTGTACAGTGACCTGACCAACGCCCTCCTGCCACAGCCCTGTGACACCAAGCACGAGTGGATCTGCAAGGTTCCCAGAGGTGCTGTATGACTGGATGAACGTTTTGAAAACATAATTTTTTTATTGCTTTTTGCTGTACAGTGTCCTTGTTTAAAAAAAAAGTTGCTTTGAATCCAATGTATTTTTATTATTATTAAAATTGCTTGTTGATTTATCCGTATAGATTGTATAGGTTTATCAATAAGAGTGTCTGTCTTATATGTCTCCTAGGTATGGAGCTGAACAAACCCTACTGGTATAATAACCGTAAGTACATTTATTCATGTGTATGTATTTTATTATATTTGATATTTCTTATGTATTTTATTGAGTTTTTATTCATTTATTGATATGCTTATTTGTGATATAAATTGCAGTTCCTCTGTCCTGTAGAGAATGAGCCCTGGGTGTTCTACAGAGCAGCAGAGTATCTGTTGGCCAAGCAGCCTTTTCCCTGGGAGGATGTAAACCTGGCCTGTATGATGATGGGAGCCCACCTGCTGTCTGTCCACTCTAAAGAGGAGCTCCGATTCATCAGAGAGCGCATGGGGAGGGTCTGTACACACACACACACACACTAACACACGGGCCGACACACACACACACGTGCCGACACAAATTCACACACACTTACACACACACACATTCAGACACACACGAGCCGACACAATCATACACACACAATCATACACACACATACACACACACAAGTTCACACACACTAGCCGACACATTCACACGCGAACGCCCTCATTCCCACACGCGCCTGTAAATTCACAGTTCACACACAAGTGCCCTCACACACTCTCTCTCTTACACACACATACAAACACACGCCGACGAGTTCGCACGAGTGCCCTCGCATACAGGAACCAAATAAAGGGCCTTGTTTCACCACAGCACAGCGTCTTGGATCAAACCGAAGGGCCCTCTGGTGGAGAGGCTTTTGAAGGCTATAAAAAGGACGGAGCTGTGGATAAAACAGCAGAGGCTGGGGCCAAGGCCAAAGAGAGGTGTTGAATGAGGCCAAGGCCAAGGAGAGGGGTTGAATGGGCTCTCGTGGCGTGAAAGAGGCTGAATGGCTGATCCTTCACTGGAGCGAGGGCAGAATGCAGGAGGAGGAGGATAATAGGTCTTGAATGAGTGAGCTAAGCATTTATTTTCTTCTCTCGGTTCTCAGCTCTCTCTGGGGTCAACTGACTGGTGGATAGGGCTGTCCACAGACCTGGTGAGGGAAGAGTTCAGGTAAGTGGGGCTTTTGAGTTTATTGAATGCTCTATTTTACCTCACACTCAATGGATAATGCTGTTTATTTCGTGTGAGGGGGTGTAATAGGAGTGTGTGTGTGTGTGTGTGTGTGTGTGTGTGTGTGTGTGTGTTTGTGTGTGTTTGCGTATGTGTGTGTGTGTGTGTGTGCGTGTGTGCAGTTGGAGTGATGAGTCCCCTGTGGATTATCAGAATTGGGCAGAAGGAAGCTCCCATGATGCCCCAGTGAAACAGAAACAGTGTGTGACAATGTCCTCTCTTTCAGGTGAGCACACAGGCACACACACACACACACACACACACACAAAAAAAACACCATGACCGAGTCCTCTTTGACGTGTTTTGACCAACAGGTCAGTGGTCGGCGGGTGAGTGTGGCGGTCTCCACGCTCACGTATGTAAGCGCCGGACCGTGTCCGTGGTGGAGATTCCCAGAGAGCCTCACTACATCGGAGGCTGTCCAGAGAGATGGCTCTACTTTGGACACAAGGTTTACCTCCTCTCCCATCCTTTGATTCATTTAAAAGCTTCTGCATAGTAGGGCTTAAATGGAAGTTTGTATAGTTTAGTACCCATTATTATATATCCTGATTGCCTAGTCACTTTTACCCCTTCCTACTTGTACATACTGTATTACCTCAATTACTTCAACTACCTCGTACCCCTGCACATTGACTCAGTAACACAGGGGTGTCAAAGTCAAATGGACGGAGGGCCAAATAAAAAATTTAGCTACAAGCCGAGGGCCGGACTGTTCGAATGTTCATTGAAAATTTTTTAAATGACGCATATAGTCTAGTGAACCTAATTGAACCTACTGAAAACCTAACAAATATATTCCAATATGATCAGATAAATAAAGCAATATTTTCTTATGGCTCTGTCAGTAATCTTTAATTTTCAACAGACACAAAAGACAAATTTCCTTTATATAAAAATCCCCATAACATGAACATTAAATGAAAGAAACCGGTATTCAAGGCACCATCAGTAGCCTATATTTTCTATTTTAGCAAAAGTGGGCTAAATTTACTTCAAAGAAAAAAACAATAATAGCAATTTTCTATCATCCACTCAACTGAAATATTTTTAAAATATAATTGGATTGAAATACAATAAAATAAAGTGCAAAAATCTATTAATCAAAAACAACACTTTGTTTAAGGAGAAGTAACATGCAGTGAAAACAAATATTAAACTTTAACTTTTAAACTTGAACTGAGTAAAAACTCTAAATATGTGATTGCACAGTAATGTTCACTTGTTTGAGGTTGAGGGTGATACTTGGTGGTGTCCCATCTTTTCCACAAGTTCATCAATGTTCGGGGTAAGGCTCTGAGCTGAGGAAATCCTCAGAATTGAGTGGAGGTGTTCAGCAGTAAGTCGACTTCTGTGTGATGTTTTGTTCAGGTTCATCAAAGAAAACAGTTGTTCACACAGGTATGTGCTGCCAAACATAGACAACGTTTGAGCAGCCTGGATGCGCAGCTGGGGCATTGTGTCGGGGAGGAAACGGGCGAACTCCGCAGCACCCACTGCCGCATATTTTGCCCTCAGTGCATCATTGCATTGGAGGTCAATCAACTCCATTTGGAGGTTTGGTGGTGAGCTTTCCACGTCAACAGCAAATGGGTTACCGAGCAGTTCCAACCTGCTTTTTTGTGCTTCAAAGTCAGCAAATCGGCGTCGAAAGTCAGCGGCAAGCATACCTATTTTATCAGCCAACTGTGCGCTCGGGAACGCACTGGTAGAGAGCTTCTCTTTCATGGTCTGGCAGCTGGGAAAGTGGCTCAAATTTTCTTTCCGCATCTGCGTCTCCCACAGAGTCAGTTTGGTTTTAAATGCCTTCACTGTACTGTACATATCAGAGATGACATGATCCCGACCCTGCAGCTGCAAGTTCATTGCATTCAGATGACTCGTAATGTCACACAGAAAAGCCATTTCACACAGAAACATTTCGTCTCGGAGTTGTGTTGTGTCTTTCCCTTTGCTGTCCAAGAACAGACAAATCTCCTCACGAAGCTCGAAACATCTTTGAAGCACCTTTCCCTGGCTTAGCCATCGCACCTCTGTGTGATAAGGCAAATCACCATGCTCCGTTTCTAACTCCGTCAGAAATGCCTTGAACTGGCGGTGATTCAAACCTTTGGCTCTGATAAAGTTAACTGTGCGCGTGATGATGCTCATTACATGCTCCATTTTCAAGGCTTTACCGCACAACGCTTCCTGGTGTATGATACAATGATAAGCTGTCAGCTCACCTGTCGCGTTTTCCTCTTGCATCTTTTCCCGTATCTTCGCCACCAGTCCGCTCCTGTGTCCACACATCGCAGGTGCTCCGTCGGTTGTCAAACCCACGAGTTTTTCCCAAGGCAGCTCCATCTCATTTACACATCTTGACACCTCTTCATACAAATCATGCCCCGTAGTTGTGCCATGCATAGGACGTAAAGCCAAAAACTCCTCTGTCACGCTTAGGCTGGAGTCCACTCCGCGGATGAAAATTGACAACTGGGCAATGTCAGAAATGTCGGTGCTCTCATCCACAGCCAAGGAATATGCAATGAAATCTTTTCCCTTTTTCACAAGCTGCTCTTTTAGATTGATGGACAACTGGTCTACTCTCTCGGCAATGGTGTTTCTGCTCAGACTCACATTTAAAAAGAGTTGCCTTTTTTCTGGGCAAACTTCGTCACAAACTTTAATCATGCAGTTTTTGATGAAATCCCCCTCTGTAAATGGCCGGGCTGATTTAGCGATCTCTTCTGCCAAAATAAAACTGGCCTTGACAGCAGCCTGGCCTTGTGATTTGGCTTTTTTGAACAGAGCCTGTCGAGATTTGAGGCCTCGTTTTAATTCCTCTGCCTTTTGTAGCCTTTGTTCCATGTCCATATTCTTGTTTTTGTCCGCGTGTTTCGTTTCATAACGTTTCATAATGTCGTACTCCGACTCCCACCTTGTTTGAAACCCCCGGTTCTCAGTGTCCACCTTCCGTTTTGCCATTTTTGATGGGTATCTGAAAGTTAATTTTACTGTGATGCTGACGACTGCTGTGCCAATAAATATTGAAATGAAGCAGCCTACTGCTCGGTGCGTCACCGTTGCATTGTGGGAAATGTAGTATTGGTGCGTGTAAAAGATCTGCGGGCTGCCGGCTTGCTGCGGTCTGCGGGCCGGTTCTAATAATAAATCAAGATCATCCCAGGGGCCGTAAAAAACCTTCTCGCGGGCCGGATGTGGCCCGCGGGCCTTGACTCTGACATATGTGCAGTAACAGTACTCCTTGTATATAGCCTCGTTATTCTTTTGATTGTGTTACTGTTTCCTTTTTTATTTAGCAAATATGTCTTACTTTTTAACTCTGCCTTGTTGGGAATGTACAGTCGTGGTCAAAAGTTTTGAGAATGACACAAATATAAATTTTCACAAGGTCTGCTGCCTCAGTTTTTATGATGGCAATTTGCATATACTCCAGAATGTTGTGAAGAGTGATCAGATGAATTGTAATTAATTGCAAAGTCCCTATTTGTCATGAAAATGAACTTAATCCCCAAAAAACATTTCCACTGCATTTCAGCCCTGCCACAAAAGGACCAGCTGACATCATGTCAGTGATTCTCTCGTTAACACAGGTGAGAGTGTTAACGAGGACAAGGCTGGAGATCACTCTGTCATGCTGATTGAGTTAGAATAACAGACTGGAAGCTTTAAAAGGAGGGTGGTGCTTGAAATCATTGTTCTTCCTCTGTTAACCATGGTTACCTGCAAGGAAACACGTGCCGTCATCATTGCTTTGCACAAAAAGGACTTCACAGGCAAGGATATTGCTGCTAGTAAGATTGCACCTAAATCAACCATTTATCGGATCATCAAGAACTTCAAGGAGAGAGGTTCAATTGTTGTGAAGAAGGCTTCAGGGCGCCCAAGAAAGTCCAGCAAGCGCCAGGGCGTCTCCTAAAGTTGATTCAGCTGCGGGATCGGGGCACCACCAGTGCAGAGCTTGCTCAGGAATGGCAGCAGGCAGGTGTGAGTGCATCTGCATGCACAGTGAGGGGAAGACTTTTGGAGGATGGCCTGGTGTCAAGAAGGGCAGCGAGGAGGCCACTTCTCTCCAGGAAAAACATAGGGACAGACTGATATTCTGCAAAAGGTGCAGGGATTGGACAGCTGAGGACAACGGTAAAGTCATTTTCTCTGATGAATCCCCTTTCCTATTGTTTGGGGCATCCGGAAAAAAGTTTGTCCGGAGAAGACAAGGTGAGCGCTACCATCAGTCCTGTGTCATGCCAACAGTAAAGCATCCTGAGACCATTCATGTGTGGGGTTGCTTCTCAACCAAGGGAGTGGACTCATTCACAATTTTGCCTAAGAACACAGCCATGAATAAAGAATGGTACCAACACATCCTCCGAGAGCAACTTCTCCTAACCATCCAAGAACAGTTTGGTGACGAACAATGCCTTTTCCAGCATGATGGAGCACCTTGCCATAAGGCAAAAGTGATAACTAAGTGGCTCGGGGAACAAAACATCTACATTTTGGGTCCATGGCCAGGAAACTCCCCAGACCTTAATCCCATTGAGAAATTGTGGTCAATCCTCAAGAGGTGGGTGGACAAACAAAAATCCACAAATTCTGACAAACTCCAAGCATTGATTATGCAAGAATGGGCTGCAATCAGTCAGGATGTGGCCCAGAAGTTAATTGACAGCATGCCAGGGCGGATTGCAGAGGTCTTGAAAAAGAAGGGTCAACACTGCAAATATTGACTCTTTGCATAAACTTAATGTAATTGTCAATAAAAGCCTTTGACACTTATGGAATGCTTGTAATTATACTTCAGTATACCATAGTAACATCTGACAAAAATATCTAAAAACACTGAAGCAGCAAACTTTGTGAAGACCAATACTTGTGTCATTCTCAAAACTTTTGACCACAACTGTAAGTAAGCATTTCACTGTAAAGTCTACACCTGTTGTATTCGGCGCATGTGACCAATAACATTTGATTTGATTTCAGTTTCTCTTGGCCATCTGACCGTACAAGGAAAAAACTCACTGATCTAGGAACTATACCAAAACCTTGCTAAATTTCTGTCCTGTGTTTTATGTGTATTCTGGCAGTGTCTCCTGCTGCACCTCCCCAACAGTTCTGAGGAGGGGAAAAGCTGGAGAGACGCCCAGTCTATCTGCTCCTCTTTCCAAGGCACGCTGGTCGCCATCGAAGACGAGATCGAGCAAGCGTACATCACCATGCTGCTCCAGGGCGGGACAGTGGGCATTTGGATTGGTCTACGGGATGAGGACACCATGAAATGGACCAATGGGAAACCTGTCAGCTACACCAACTGGTCCCCTGTAGAACCCAAGAACCCTCTGACGGTAAGACCTCCTCTAGGGAGATTGTAGGTTAAATGCAACATCAAATATTGACATTGTCTTTGTGCTTTGGGGATGTTCTCTGTATAGTGTATTGATTAGGGTGGGGGGGGTGTTGTGTGTTTGTCTATGTGTGTGTGTGTCTGTGTGTGCCTTTCTGTGTGTGTGTGTGTGTGTGTGTGTGTGTGTGTGTGTGTGTGTGTGTGTGTGTGCACGTGGGCGCCCCTCCTCTGCAGGATGAGTGGCTGAGCGGGCCCCTGGGCGGGGACGATCCTCTGTGCACGGTGCTCTCCAACAACCACAACTTCCACCTGACAGGGAAGTGGTTCGATGAAAAGTGCACAGAGAGTGGGTATGGCTTTGTCTGTCAGAGACCCCAAGGTAGGACTCCCCTCTGTCTGCATGCATTCTGTGTCACGCACTCACCCTCATTCAGGCTCTCATTGACACATTGGGGCCTATTTTCAGAGCACAGAGCTGAGATATTACCAATCATGTCTGTATTACCTCATCAATTAAACTGTTGTTTTTGGTTATAGCTTCCTATTTTGTGCTCTCAAAATGAGAGAAATCCCCTTCAGGAATTGTTGAACAAAGAAATTAGTGTTTCTGTTGATTTTGTGACAAATCGATGCCCTTGCTTCCTCCTGAAACAATCTCTCTTCTCTTTTCCTCTCCCCCTCTCCCTCTCTCTTTCCCTGCAACAGACGCAACTAAACCCCCATCCCACTCCTACCTCCACCCTCTCCCTGACAATATTGAGTACAAGAACCGCAGCTACAGGGTTGTCCGTGGCAACATGAGCTGGTACGAGGCGCTGCATATGTGCTTAGAGTCTGAGTCTGAGCTAGTGAGCGTTACCGACCCCTTCCACCAGGCGTTCCTTACTGTCCTTGTCAATAGATTGGCATTCCCCCACTGGATTGGACTGTATAGTCAAGACGTAGGTATTATACTAGACTGCTGAGTACTGCTACCTGCCTGGGCTGAGTGTGAAGTGTGTGTGTGTGTGTGTGTGTGTTTGTGTGTGTGTAGATAATGCTCATTAACAAGCATGTTGAAGTTGGTGGCATGAATTGACCTTTGATGATGTTAGGAGTATGTATAGTAGAAACAAGGAAACAGCTAAGCGCACTAGCTAGAGGTCTTTTATAAACAGCATGGCCACAATGAAGTCATGTTGAAAATACAGAAATGCCTGAGACCATGTGCATCTGACAGTCTGTTTACTCTGATGCTTTCGCTTTCTCCCTCTCCAGTCCATGTCATTCTTTCGAAGCATGGTGATTTCATCTTTGTAATTATTCACAGCATGTTTGCACCATATCATAACCAAATGTATCTGATCTCCTCAAATCAGAAGTAGGCCTACTAAGTCCCATTTGGGCACTTTCTATTCACAGACACGCATTCACATTTCTACAACTCTTATATGAATATGTTTGGTGTTTATATACCAATATATGGCTTATAGCTGATATCCTGTGACAAACAGAGATATTTATCACACTGGCTTATAGATGTAACTTATCCCATTACTGCAGTTGTCCAGTGTGCTTCCCAGAGCTTTCCTTCTGGCCCACAGCCCGTGCATAACTATGGTTGTGTCCCAAATGGCACCCTATTCCCTTTATAGTGCACTACTTTTGTCCAGGGCTGATAGGGCTCTGGTCAAAAGTAGTGCACTATGTAGGGAATAGGGTGCCATTTGGGGCGGAGTTTTGTGCTTCACTTACACAGTATGGGAGTTGTTTTTCTCATCTGCCGGCCCGGCTGGGAGGAATTCTAAACCACTCACAACATGTGGATCGAAGAATCCCAGAGGCTCAAGGAATGTCTTACTCGTGAAATATGGAATGAGGACAGGAAAGGAGAGAATTGATTCACTTTGTTCTACACAATGCACGCACACACACACACACACACACACATTGGTATATAGACACCACACTTCCCCCAAGCCAAACCTTTTAACATTGCCTGCTACACTCTACTCTTCCTGCTCCGTTGCATAACATGACCTACAACCCCGTCCTCTCCCTTAGCAACCCGCCTTAGCAACGTAGGCTCACCTTAAGAGTGTGTGTGACCCCCTTCCTGCCTGTGACTGTACGCCCCTACAGGATGGGATCAACTACCAGTGGTCTGATGGCAGTGACACGGTCTTCACCCACTGGGACGCGGCCGATGATGATGATTTCATCCTGGGGGACTGTGTGTACATGGACGTCACCGGGGGCTGGAGGAGGGCCGACTGTGAGATGCCGCTCCAGGGAGCCCTGTGTCATGTCCCACCACCTAGTGAGTATGGCCTAGGTCCTAGCATATTATAAAGCAGTGGCTACTAAAGCTTACTGTGCTGTTAGTCCCTCCTCAAGAGTTTCAAATGCACAATACTGCTTTTCATCATTTTCTCCCATAGAGAGTAATGCATTCACCACCTATGAGGTTGTGTGTCCATCGACGTGGGTGAGGTTTGGAGCCAGCTGCTACAGCTTTGAGCCTGTAGTCCAGAGACTGACCCTGGATGAGGCCAGAGAGCACTGCAGACACAAAGGTACAGGAATTCTGGGCAGATGTTGCCCTCAAGCACAGATTTAGGATCAGATTCCCCTGTACAAATTCTAACCTTAATCCATAATAAGAAATTGCAAAACATTCCTAACTTCAGCAACTTCATCCTACTGTGGTAGGTCTCCAGTACACCATGGAGGTCAATTAGGTCTCAATTAGGTCTCATGCTAGGATGGATCAAGGATTTTATGGATCTCTGTTAATGGGAATTTCCTTGTGATGACTCCCTGTTGTAATTGTCCAAAATGTAATGTTTGGTGAGAGCTCCCCCTATGGGATCCATGTATTAGCTCCATTCTAGTAGTTAATACTGTACTGTAGCTATAGATCTGAGGGTGCAAAACGTTCACAGAGTATTGCCTTCTTTATGCTCTGTAATAAACATATAATAATGAAGGTTTGGTGGGTTTTTCCCTCTTCCAGCAAACACATCAGATGTCCTGACCATAGAGACAGAGACGGAAAACAGGTTCGTCCTGGAGCAGCTGTGGTCGTATGGCTTCCCACATCAAATCATCTGGCTGGGGATGTTCTTCAACACTGACAGTAAGCACACGCTTCCCCCAAGTTTCCTCTCTTTTCATCAAAATAAGCAGCCTTGGCGTACAGTATAAACCAAATGCTGGCAAAAGACAGACAATGTAAGTGCTTCGGACAGAACTGGGATAAGACACAGCTTAATAGGTTTAGTAACATTATGAATTTCTAATTTTTAAAGTAGTATTTTGATACTATTTATTTACTTGGTGTTTTACCTGCTGAGTTGATTGAAGCACTGAAAAGAAAACACCATGACCTGGGGCAGAGTTGCAGGGGGAAGGAGAGGGGTCAAATGAACCAATTCACAACTTCTTTATTAAAAATTGTATCTGTTTGTCTGGTCCAATTTAGCGGACTCCATGGCATGGTTCGATGGTTCTCCTATGGACTACTCCAACTGGAACTTCCAGGCCCCAGACCCCAGCCTGCTGACAGCAGACACCTGTGTGTCCACCAGGGTGTCTGATGGGATGTGGCTTCTCTGTCAGTGCACTGACAGACTGGGCTTCGTCTGCAAAACTAACTTAGGTGGAGTAGAGACATTCTGGCTGCATTTACACAGGCAGCCCAAATCTTTTGCCACGAATTGGTCTTTTGACCAATCAAATCAGATCGTTTGCCAATAATTGGTCTTTTGACCAATCGAATCAGATCTTTTGTCAATAATTGAAAGAAATATCAGAATTGGGCTGCCTATGTAAACGCAGCCTCTCACTAACCTCCAACTGCTATTATGACAATGCTTTGTGTTATACATTTGTACAGTGTACATGTATGTATATATTCCACCTATGTCTTACTCGTGAAATATGGAATGAGGACAGGAAAGGAGAGAATGGATTCACTTTGTTCTACACAATGCACGCACACACACACATCTATAGATCAGTCAAGTTAAACAGATCGTCTTCTTTGCAGATACGATCCCTGAGGTAGAAGTGGAGCCACTAAATGGTATGTATGTAATTGAGGCTATTGACAGTTATGCGTTTTTTCTCATTTACATTCTCATAATTTGGCAACAAAAAGGTATCTTGGGAGCAGCCTCCATGACTAACAGAGCCTTCAGTGTCCAGTAAACTTCCCGAGTGGCGCAGTGGTCTAAGGCACTGCATCGCAGTGCTAGCTGTGCCACTAGAGATCCTGATTCGAATCCAGGCTCTGCTGTAGCCGGCTGCAACCGGGAGACCAATGGGGCGGCGCACAATTGACCCAGCGTTGTCCAGGGTAGGGGAGGGAATGGCCGGCAGGGAGGTAGCTCAGTTGGTAGAGCATGGCGTTTGCAACGCCAGGGTTGTGGGTTCGATTCCCACGGGGGGCCAGTATGAAAAAGAATAATGTATGCACTAACTGTAAGTCGCTCTGGATAAGAGTGTCTGCTAAATAATGTAAATGTAAACTCACCCCTCTGTGTCTCTCCCAGGGTTGCACCACGGTATCGTCCCAGCCGCGGTCCTGGTGGCCATGCTGATCTTCGCCGTGCTGGTGGCGGTGCTCTGGCTTGTCTACAAGAGGAACAGGACACGCTTCCGCAGACTACCGTCCCTGGGAAACGCCTACTACAGACATACTAGTTCCCAGGCCACAGACTCCGATGGAAACGTTCTCATCACAGACCTGGAAGCTCACTCAGGAGAATAGGGTGGTGTCCGAAATGGCACTCTATCCCCTATATAGTGAGCTTCCAGATCTGTGGTGAGAGTGTTTCCATCGGAGTCTGGTCAAAAGTAGTGCACTATATAGGGAATAAGGTGCCTTTTCAGATGCACAATAGGACTGCAAAATGGTGGTGTTCTCTAAAGTTGGTTAAAGCATGGGAATGGGCCGAACTCTCTGTATGACTGTGAAGAATGGTACGTCTCTGTGGGGTCTGACATGGACCACAGCAAGGGAACTTAGAAAAGGAGGTGAGAGCCCAATGAGCTTTATCCACTTTATACCACAGGAGGCTGTTGAGGGGAGAATGACTCATAATAATGGCAGGAATGGAGCAAATGGAATGGCATCAAACACCTGGAAACCATGTGTTTAATGTATTTGATACCATTCAACTCCAGTCATTACCACGAGCCCGTTCTCCCCAATTAAGGGGCCACCAACCTCCTGTGCTTTATACAAGTAGTTGATGAATCAGGGACCAATCATGTGGCTGAGAGTGAGGGAGTGCACCTTGGTAAGTTTTGTCTACAAAGGATTAGAGCTGTTATCCCAAGTGCTTTGAAAGGGGCTGACATTCTAATGTATGCATTTGAAAATCGATAGATATTCTTTGCACTGCAAGGTTGTTGTTTTGTTATTGCGGTACAATGCCAACTGCTCCCACTAATGCTGGTACCAACTGTATTTGTGAGTACAAGTCTTTCACGCAGTGAAGACTAGTTTTCTGTAATGCCTTCTACAGGACCAAAACTATTTAATTATTGTTTAAAATAACAATGGGCGTGATTCAGTTGTTTACAGCAAAGACAAAGTCATACTTTTGCAATACATTCTGAAGTCATCTTATATGTATTTTCTTTATGAACAGAAATAAGAAAATAAGACCCCAAATCAATTCCAGTTATGTTTTTTAAATCTATAGTGTCATTAAAGGACAGTGTTTCTTTGTTAGCACTTTATTGCACCAAACTCCATCAATGCAATACGGAAAGATTATGATGTATGTTTTTTTAATGTTTTTTTTTTGTATGTTTATTTATGTGTGTTCGTATTGTGTATTTTCCTACGCACAGAACACACACTCACACCCTCACAGTATTTTTTAAGTAGCCTATAAGTACAAACATGATATTCATAAGAGGAAGGGAAGAAAATTCAAGAGAAAAATGCAGGCATTTATTTATGTTTTATTATTTATCATTACGAGAAAAATTTGGTCCACAAATCAGTCAAAATGTAGGAGTAAAGAAACTTTTATTGATGAAACAAAAATGATGTAACAAAGTACTGTTATGTAAATGGTAGCTCTTTGAGAATTAATTAAGTATTCTGAGTAGACTTATGTGTTGGTTGTTTTTAATGAGGTACAGTATTTGCTGTGTTACCTGTTGTAGTTTTTGTATATTGGGTACACAGAGTTATTAGATATGAAATATGTTGTTGTAGTTTTTTCTATTGTGTGGAAAGAAATACATGCAAGAGGATATCACAGATGCTTGAAAATGTTTACTGTCTCTTGATATTTTGTATTGATAATGTTCATAACAAATAATATTTGCCTTCGTGTAAATAAAATTAAGCTGTATCCAAGTTGTATCTTAATTGTGTCTTGCTATACAACGTTTGCTTGTAAATGTGTCATCTGCATTGAGATGGTCTGCAGTGCACTGTGGGGGTGATATCCAAATATGGTCTATATCTTGTTAATTCTTACCATGTTTCCTTTGAAATTAGTCATTTGCATTGAGATGCTCTGAGTGGGACTAGGGCAGGGGTGACATCATGTGGATGAGGGAGACTGAGTAGGATGGACTGTTTACTCGTGGGGCTCTCAATACGTCCCAAATGGCATAATATTCCCTATTTAGTACACTACTTTTGAAGAGGGCCCATAGGGCTCTGGTCAAAAGTAGTGCACTACATTGGGAATATGGTACCATTTGGGAGGGATCCTTTGTCTGGAAGTGGCCTCGACTGACTGGCCTGACTGTTGTTGTTGGCTGAGATGGTTGAGATGATTCACTGCATGATGTTTCACTGCTGCTCTTATTTGCTTGTCTTTGAGAGAATTGACAGTGGCTTATGCTAGTTGGAGACGCAACATCAACATACTTTTATTTATTTATCAGTGTATTTTGTCGATGACTCAGCATATGTAATGTGAATTGTGTATTATATTGCAAAATAACATAAATAAAGTTGTCATTTTCAGTTCTCGGACTGGGAGTGGTCTGTGATGCGTTGTCGGCTGTTGGCGAATCACAAGCTCGCAATCTTCCATGGGGAAATGCAGCCTAGGGAAGGAACTTGAGGTTAGTCATAGTCAGCTGAAAGTGAAAGTAGGCTACTGCTACTCTGAAACGCAGAATTGGGTTTGCGCAAACTGTAGGCTACTGGAAACGTATGAATCCGAATAGAGAAGCCGTGGTATTATAATCATGAAGAATATTCCACTCCAAGCGACAGTTTACCTATGTGTTTTCTTATTCGTTTGGGATAAAACTATTTGTTTTGGAAGTTGCGCATCAACTACATATTCCGGTAAGTAAGGTGCTTTCCATTTTCATTATTAGGCATGCCTGCCCCATAGCTGGCTGTACTCGTTGAAAGATTATCGCGTTTCCTTAGGCTCTACTGCTACTTAGACAGTCCGTGGTAGCCTATTATTGTTTTGAATGGGGGTTAGGTTCAATAATGGGACGTCAAGCCCCTTTGTTCAATTTGAAAAGCAGGAACTAACAAACGTTTGACGTATAATAAACTCGTTTTTTAAACCACATGTGGACTTTGGTTTAATTTAGTTTATGGCCCATCAAATTCCTCATCTGCTTTCAAAATGTGTAATGCCCATTATAAAGTATATCCATCAGAATTAAAATAATGACCTCTTGAAACTCCTCTCGCGCATAAAATGTGCAGCCCTATTGAGTCTGTTGGTACAATGTTGCAAAGTCATTGCTGCAAGGTTGCACGCTGTTGAAGTGATCCAAATGTTGCAGAATGTTGGTATAACTGTAAAAACAGTTTGCATGATCATATCCCCATGGTCAAGTACTGTTCTCTCTCTCTCTCTCGGTTAGCCTCTCTGTAATGAGTGTAGGCCACCTAATTAGACATACACAATGTTGCTGTACCAGCCTATAAATAGCTTGAACTCAGAGATGCAGTCTGTTATGTTTCTGAGTTCAACTGCTATCCTATTATACAGTACACATGATATCATTTATGGTTTTACATTTACGATTACATTATCAGCAATCAGTGTTGGCGACCATGATAAGCACAGGCCCAAAAGACCCCTGGCGTTTCTAGAGATAGTTTTTTGCTTATCTGATTGTTGTTGATTGCCTTGAAATGTAGTCTTGGTCCCCTGCCTCCATGACAAGCTGAACTATTTAGGCAAAGATAACCAGCAGCTAAACTGACATTTAGATGGGACGTTGTAGATATCTACCAAACATTCGAATGAAAAGTGATACCAAATATATTGTAAACATATACAAAATATTGTGTTGAATGAACTTATATCGTTGTAGTGATGTCACTATATTTACTAACACTTTATTATCACTATAATATCACCATATTTACTTGTAATATGTTCATGATCATTTCCAGGTAACGACACCTTCACCATCCAGCATGTGAGCACAGGGAAGTGCCTGGTAGCTATGTCCACGTCTGGGACTGGAGTTTCCAGGATAGCAGGGGCTAAGTCTGGAGGGTTCGGGTTCAACGTGACCCTGGGGGAGTGTGACGGCTCCAGGGGGTCCCAGTGGAAGTGGGGTTCCAGCCACCGTCTCTTCCACGTGGGCACGTCCCAGTGCTTGGGTCTGGAGGAGAAGACCAAGGCCCTGTCTCTGTTCAGCTGTGGCTCCATGAAGGACACCATGCTGGGGTGGCGCTGCCTGGATGGGGCCGTCTATACATCGTACCAGATGGGCCTCACGGTGACCGAGGGGCTGGTCAGTGCCAAGCGCGACTCCTCAGACGCCTGGAGGAGGGATGGGTCGACCGATAATATCTGCCAGCGGCCGATGCGCAGTGAGTGTGTTCTGTCCTCTGAGCGGCTTATTCTCCTAATGGAATAGAATAGAACAGAATAAACTTAGTTTTTCCCATCTCATGTAGGCCTATCTATGCTTATTTACATGTATAAAACCTCTAGCCACATTTTACAAGAATGCATTGAACTTTGATATACCTATACACTCCCATTGATATCTTTATGAACAACATCCTGTATCACTTGGAGACAATATATTTGGCATGGTCTGTTGTATGCTAATGTGAGGTGCACTGTACAGAGCTCTGCTTGGCAGCCACATGTTTTATCAGTTCCGTTTGGAGTTGAAGGGGAATCCTTCCAACCAGAATTAGCATGGCCTTCCTTGTAACTGTTGTTGTTAACAAGGCCAGTATGGACACACTTACTTTCATTTTCACTTAACTACATCACGCTTGCACAGGGGCATCATTTCAACTAAGTTATTTTTTATTAAGTTTAAGCTCATTTGCTGCATTTCTACACAATTTAACAACTCTTAAAATGCAATTAGGAGAACAGCAAAAACAAGCTTAATTGACTCCAGCCATAATCACCTTGGCTGCTGTAGCTTCAGTCGATAGGGGACTTAACATTCTACAAACACATGTCATACAGCAGTTAGCTGCTACACACTAGCTCTCCACCGGGAATAACAACTCTAGTTTAGTTTCCTGTCAAGTCAAACATCAGTCACTGCAGCCTTCTCTCCCGCGCCGAGGCATCCTAAAACATGCTCTCTACTACCAATAAACAGCCTGCCCCAGAGCTGTCCACATATTTCTAAAGCTAGCCCGCTAATATCGCTAAACTGCATTTGCCTTTTAATTCTGGATTGGAATGATTTTAGTAGCCTATTTTAAATAGTTGGTGTTGAACTAGGGTATGGTGACTGCCATACTGTGCCATACCCAATTGTCACCCCCTGTGCATTACATCAAATACCCTTGACCCTGTTCCATTTGAAATCATATCAATGGCACTGTATGCCAGTTGTTTGCCAGTAGCCTTGTGCTAAATGATACTGTTTCACATTATCTAAGCTCTCTCTCTCTCCATTGAAAGCAGCAGCTTTGGTATTCAATGAATGTGTTCTGTGTACAGTTCCTAAATCCAGTTGAGTTGACAGTCAAACTGTGCGAGGTCATATCTTTAGATGTGTCCAGATTGAATACTAACTCCAATATTCCTAATAAACTAATTTGAAATGGGTGTCATGGGATTAATTCTAATTCTTTCTCTCCTCTACCTATAGTTGTCCACACCACCAATGGGACCTCGACCGGGGAGCCCTGTGTGTTTCCCTTCCACTACAACGGCAGCTGGTACCACGAGTGTCTCCCCGACGACCAATCATCTGAACTTTACTGGTGTTCCACAACCTCTGACTATGACACTGACAAAAAGATGGGATATTGTCTAAAATATGGCACGTTTTCTTATTTTTATTATAGATACAAATCATGATTCTGGAATGAATCTACTATTAGTCTTCTTGTACCGTTTCCCTTCACATATAATGATTACTGGAACTAGTACTAGTAGAGTACTTAAAGGAAAACTGTCTTTTGGTATTTGTTTCATTAGTCTGTTGTTGATTTAATCCCAAAATGTTTTGCATGTCAGCAATCAAGTTTTCATGATATGTAATTTTTAAAATATGAAAAATTATTGCTGACATGCAAAACATTTTTGGATTTGATCAACAACGGACTAATGAAACAAATACCAAAATGTAGTTTTTGGGTGAGTTTTCCTTTAAGTACTCTACTGGTCTGGGTGGAGTTTTCCTTTAAGAGAAGGAAGTAGAAAGATCATTGCATCAAGATTGGGCTCAATTCTATTTCAGTTCCCGTCAGTTGAATTAAGGATGTGGAATTTGTCCATAGGAGTGCAAATAGTTTTACGGAATTGACTGGAATTAAATTAACTTGATCCCAACTACACTCTGAACCTAGTCTCTCAAGTCAGACGCCTTGCTTCCACAATCTTTGAATGCTTCAGTCTGGCTACGCGAGACTGCTCTGAACCCACAAAGTCCTTTGCTCCTTCACTTTGGCATGTTTGATGTGATATTTTCCAGGCTGTGTAGGGGCTACTGACTTAGTTTAAAAAAACATGTATGGAGCTCAGACACTGTTTTTATTTGGCATATGTTCGACGATAATTTTCTCTGAAATATAGAACGATAAATTTGTCTGTTCGGGGCTAGTTGAGAAATGCTTTAGCAATACAAGTACTGCTGGTTACGCATAACCCCCCCCCCCCCCCCCCACCCACCCACCACACACACACACACGCATCCTACCTCCATGCTGAATCCCATATCTAATCTCTCTCACAGAGGAAGGCTGCAAGGCCCTGTTTGATGGCCCTGAGGGGGGACCCTGTTATGAGTATATATCCCAGGTCGCGGTGACATGGCAGGAAGCACTGGACTCGTGTCGCAGCCAGGGAGCCGACCTGCTCAGCGTGTCCAGCTCAGAGGACCAAGCCTTCCCCATCTGTAAGACTGCCTTCCACTATAGTGGCTATCTATGGACGCATTCAAACAAAACAAACCTCCCAAACCTGCATTACAGGAACAGTAAGATTAATCATGTACTGCAAAGATGCAATACTTGGAACTACTTGGCACATACTACTTACTTGGAAGTACTTGGGACTAAAGTACTTGGGACTACAATACTTGGAACTACTTGGCACAAAAATAGTATTGGAGTATTGGAGTTTATAGTGTAGTATTTGTGCCTGTACTTTCAGGATTAGACACACTGGAATGTCCCTCTCCATAGTTTAGAAAGAAAAATACATACATTTTACGTGTCATTGTCAGTTTTCATACTTTCACTTCAGTTTTAGCAGCAGCTGCGGCTTGAGCGCACCAACACACAGGAAAGGAACTTTGTGTTCACTGTAGGATGGTGCACTTTGCAGATCTCATTTGATCTCATTGTATTACAGAGAGTGAGATTTATACAAGGAAGCTTTTAGACTAGAGACACTGCACAGCAGACACAACTGTTATTGTTCATAACCATTACCATCCATCATTATTACTCTATTACCATCACAGTTTAGAAGACACAGGGAACCTATTTCACTGACTGTTAAGAGGGGAACAAAACATAGCCATTTTTTATTGACTAGTTGCCAATATGACATAGGCTCGCAAGGGCAATAAAAAGGAATATTCTGTCATTTACTTTGTAGCTCGATTTAGCTTGTCTAATCTGGTCTGGTCTCTGTTCTGTGTGGACTGAAGTGGACGTGGCCCATGACAGCAGGCCAGACAGGATGTGGATTGGCCTTCACCAGCTGGACACGTCTCAGGGCTGGCAGTGGTCAGACGGCTCACCCCTCAACAACCTGCGCTGGGACAACGGTGAGGACACGACACAACACACACAGACACACTGCTTTAGCATGGTACTTAGTACAAATGTGGTACAACTTTGTAACAACTATGGTACATATATGGTTATAGCAATGTCACAACTAGGTTACAACTATCTATAGTACAATGATATAGCCATAGCACAAATACTGTATAGTACACGCATTGGTTGGTACAGGTATGCCACAGCCATACCACCCTACTGCCTGGTACCCATCTCATTCTCCAGCCTGTGCCACAATACCACCAGGGAAACAAAGAGGCCAGTGTTGTGTTGTGAGCAGGCAAGCAGGGTCATTGTGACTGACTGGACTGGACGCAGCACTGCACAGGGCCAGGCAGTGTGTGTGTGCTTGAGGATTGTTGTGAACGAGCTTGAATAACAAGTCAACCGGCCTGAATGGGCCTCTGTATATAACCATTAGCATGTGGCCTGGTCAAAAGTAGTGCACTGTATAGGGAATAGGCTGCCATTTGGGACACAGATTTGGACTGGACTGCTGTGTCAGAGTGGTGATGACGTCACTGTCCTTACTTAGAGCCCTTTGACCTCTCTGGGTTGTGTTTTTGTTAACCGTCAGTACCAAGGGGTGTACTACAAAGCAGGATCAATGAGTAAGCCTGATAACTTTTGATAAACAAACAGAAATAACTACTGATTTTCTGGTTCCGTAGGAAAGCTAAACTAAGATTGTGTGTTTGTGTAGGGATGCTGAACAATTCGATCCTAAGGGAGTCAGACTGTGGATTGATGAATTCGAAAAACTACTACGAGAGTGAGATCTGCGATAAAAAGCTTCCCTACATCTGCAAGAAAAACGTCAACGTCACCCAGTCAGAAACAACAGGTAGGAGTTGACCAGTTGATCACATTAATAGGGAAGGTCTTACTCGTTTATCCTCCAATTAGATATACTGTATTTATGTCCCCTGCTAAAGGGATTTATGGAACGCTTTTCCAAGGTGCTGAAGCACTTAAAATTTTAAGGCCATCCAAGCTTTGCATCTCAACTACTACAGTGCTATGAAAAAGTATTTGCCCCCTTTCTAATTGTCTCTACTTTTGCATATTTGTGATACTGAATGTTATCAGATCTTCAACCAAAACCTAATATTAGATAAAGGGAACATAAGTGAACAAATAACACAATAATTACATATTTATTTCATAAACAAAGTTATGCAACACCCAATTCCCCTGTGTGAAAAAGTAATTGCCCCCTTACACTCAATAACTGGTTGTGCCACCTTTAGCTGCAATGACCTTTGGTATGATGTTCTTACTGTGGAATGCAGAGTTTGGTTTTCGCCAAGCATTACTGGAACCATGTCGTCCAAAAAGTTATACTTTTGAATCATCTGTCCATAGACGGTTCTTCCAAGAGTCTTGATGATCATCCAGGTGCTTTTTGGCAAACTTGAGTCAACTTTTTGGACGAGATGGGTCCCATTATGCCTGGCGAAAACCAAACACTGCATTCCACAGTAAGAACATCATACCAAAGGTCAAGCATGTTGGTGGTGGTGTAATAGTTTGGGGATGCTTTGCTGCCTCAGGACCTGGACGACTTGCCATAATAGAAGGAACCATGAATTCTGCTCTGTATCAGAGAATTCTACAGGAGAATGTCAGACCATCCATCTGTGAGCTGAAGCTGAAGCGCAGCTGGGTCATGCAGCAAGACAATGATCCAAAACACACAATCAAGACTACATGAAAATAGCTAAAAAGCAACAAATTTGAAGTTTTGGAATGGCCTAGTCAAAGTCCAGACCTAATCCCAATTGAGATGTTGTGGCAGGACGTGAAACGAGCAGTTCTGCATGGAAGAGTGGGCCAAAATTCCTCCACAGCGACGTGAGAGACTGATCAACAACTACAGGAAGCATTTGGTTGGAGTCAATGCAGCTAAAGGTGGCACAACTAGTTATTGAGTGTAAAGGGGCAATTACTTTTTCACACAGGGGAATTGGGTGTTGCATAACTTTGTTTATGAAATAAATATGTAATTGTTGTGTTATTTGTTCACTTATGTTCCCTTTATCTAATATTAGGTTTTGGTTGAAGATCTGATAACATTCAGTATCACAAATATGCAAAAGTAGAGAAAATTAGAAAGGGGGCAAATACTTTTTCATAGCACTGTATATTTTTGCTCTTCCAAGTGCTCAATTGTTTTATTTACATTGTCAGGCCATCCTTTTAATTCACACAATATTTGTTCTCTCTCTCTCTCTCTATTCTTTATCTTGTTTTCCTTTGTCTCTGCAGAGCCTTTGGTGTATAAATCCACCATATGTGACGAAGGCTGGGCCCCTTGGAACATGTTCTGTTACAAGCTGGTGAAGGATAAACCAAAGGGGTTTGCTCAGGCCGAGGAGTACTGTAAGGTCATCGGAGGAGGCCTGGCTAGTCTACACAGCCTGGACAGCATGGAGATGATCAGCACTCAGTTCCATGCAGGTACACTACACACTCAGAGAAACCAACCCCAATTATCATGTATGGCATAGTCTTGCCCTGAGGCATGGCTATAGACTTCTAGTGATAGGTAGCAGTCATGACTCAAGGTAAGGCATTATAGTGCTTACACTAGGCATCTAAAGCATTTTACAGTGGAATACTGTTAGATAACATCGGTTCGGTTGTGCTGTGTGTGGAAGACATGCCATTGGTCAGAGATGCGTACATAGTTGAAATGCTATGTTATCTTCTGTGAGAGGCTTTGGCTGTTTATGTATGTTCGGTCATCAGAATCACTCAGTCAATCAATGATCAAGCTGCTGTACAGTAGTTAAATGGAGTGTTATGTTGTGGTGGTCTCCTGTAAGATGGTGTGTTGGACGTGTGGATCGGTCTGATGGGGACAGGGAACCCAGCCATCCTTCTCTGGGCTGATGAGACCCCAGTCTCCTTCACCTACTGGGGCAGGACTCAGCCTGTCCAACCCTCAGGAGACTCTGGCTGCGTCTTCTACTCTGGAAAGGTGTGTGTTGTGCGTGTGTGTTCATTCTTGCTTGGCTACTTTTGGATATGTTGTAACATTAGCTTTGACAGGCTAACAATTTGCTAAGAAATAGACAGCAGGTCCCATTGCTCACTTAATGCATTAACTTGACATTGTACTCATAGCAGACCTTAAATCAAACATTTAAATGTTGGGCATTACAACCCCTATAGGAAGTCTATGTACTGTATCTCTAGACCCATGCCTTCATCTCCTTCCTCTGTTGTCCAGTCTCATGGCTGGAGCGTTGGGAGCTGTAACCAGAAGCTGCCTTTCATGTGTCAGAAGAAAGGAGAGGTGAATGAGTCTCCTACGGCAGGATGTCCTAAAGGGGTAAGCATTGTTCCCCAGCCCCAACCTCCTCTTCCCAGGACAAGCTGTACCTTATCGAGTTTGTTGAGCTCTTTTGATTGATTTCATTTGTTTGATTTATTCATTTTGTTTTCATTTCTGAGGACAAACAACAAACGACGTCTAGCTGTAGAGTAACAGTTCAATTATGATTTATTTCATTTATTGGTTTTGTTGACATTTCTTCCCCTTCTTAAAGGACTGGAGGAGACATGGGAACTCGTGCTACAAAGTCATCCCTAAAGACGTGTCGTTCAAGGACAGGTGTGACCTCACCATAAACAACAGGTACAGTCATTCTTCCTTTTAACTCTTTCTTTTCCAGTCACTGGAACGTAAACGCTGTATTTCTGAGAAATTGCCTTGGAAGGGTGCCAAAACCCAACAGCATCCCACATTAACTCTCAACACTCAATGTTGCCGCTCTAATCGTCTTGTTCCCTCTTGTATAGGTGTAAGGTCAAAAGTAGTGCACTATATATAGAATAGGGTGCCATTTGCAGGCTCAATCCTTCTTCAATGTGTTCTCCACAGGTTTGAGCAGGCCTTTCTCAATAGACTCCTTGGAGAAGAGATCAACATAAAGACCCAGTATTTCTGGACTGGTCTCCAGGACATAAAGGCTACAGGGGAGTACCAGTGGGTCACTCAGGAAGGCTCGGGACCCAACGTCACATACACCAACTGGGGCTGGTTTGAACCAGGTTAGTCCAGACTGGGAAGTACCGGTACTCTGTATTTGGGTGAGGGTTAACCCTGTTGGGGTTTCAGTGATGAGAAATGGAGAGAAACACGTGGTGGGTGTGCGTGAGTTACGTGTGTTTACTTGTGTTACATATGTGTGTATGTGAGTTACTTACGTGTGTGTGTGTGTGTGTGTGTGTGTGTGTGTTTCAGCCCTAGCAGGGGGTTGTGCAGTGATGTCCACAGCCAAGCCTCTGGGTAAATGGGTGGTAAAGAACTGCACCATGTTTAAAGCTGGCTCCATCTGTAAGAGAGACATTGCCACACCACAGCCCCTAGACCCTGAGCCCGACCCTAACCTCCCCTGTCCTGACGGATGGACATCCAGGCCTGGTATCTCCTACTGCTACAAGGTGTGTGTAGGCCTGTGTGTGTCCTTGAAATGAATGACGCAGATCCAGTTTACTTCACTCTGCAGCATGTGTCCATTCACTGAGCCTTCGTGACCTTGTTGGTTTAAGTTACTGTATCCTTGCACATGAAAGTCTCATGATGACACGATTGCGGTATGTTAGTGTGTTATAACACATTACTGTAGGGTGTTGGTGTGTTTGGTAACAGTGGTAATGCTGTGTCAGGTGTTCCACGAGGAGAGGCTGAGTCGTAAGCGGTCCTGGGAGGAGGCAGAGAGGTTCTGTGAGGCCCTGGGGGCCCATCTACCCAGCTTCAACCACCCAGAGGAGATGAAAGCCCTGCACTATGTTATGAGAGACTCCATCAGGTAGGGGCCCTCGCACACACACACACGCTGCACACAGTACTCCCGCATACACTCGCACGCACACACAGCGATAGCACACAAACTCAAACACAGGAGTCAGACTGGTCTAGCCACCTCAACGAAAGAATGCTAATGATGTTTATAACCACATTCCAACAACAGCAACTTAATGCCTGCTTTATACAGGGCACATATACACACCACACTGCCATATCTCTTATATGTCAGAGCTTACACACTGCTCTAGATCCCACCACTCTAACTGGCACAAACACCCACCACAGTTACCACACACATCTGTGTTTTCAAATTCACACAGGATCATCATCTGTATGCTAAAGTGAGCTGATTCCTGTCAATAGTAAAAAGTATGGTACACATCCTGTTCTGCAGGGGGAAGGTGCATTCACTAGCAACAGGATACTTAAGACACTGGTAGATTGTTTAAACACTGCCATTGAGCCGATTTAAAAAATACAAATATATATGTGAGAATTATGTTTGTTAACAGTGTTTGTGTCCTGTCTGTCTCAGTGATGACCGGTTCTTCTGGGTGGGGCTGAACAGGAGAAACCCAGCTGCTGGTTCCTGGGAGTGGAGCGACAACAGGCCTGTGAGTAGAGGAAAAAAACATCATACCTCTGTGTGTAACTCCCATAGAGATACTATAATGATAATATTTATGTTGTGATTCATCCAAAGGTGTCCATGGCCATTTTCCCCCAAGAGTTCCATGAGGATGATGAGTACAACCGGGGCTGCACAGCCTTTAAGGTGGGTTGGTTCAGATGGTGGAATAAAGCCTTAACACAGCATAACAGCTGCTGGTCATGGGAGATGTCACTACTTAAACCCGCCCACATTCTGTGGTCATGTCAGCTTCTTCCTACATCACATGCTCCATTATAGAGCTCCCTCTCCCTACCTGTGAAGTGGCTACATCTCTTGCACTATCATTACAATCAGTCAGGCATTATCATCAGGTCTAGGAGTTTTACTATCTATAAAGACCACTCCGCCAAGGGTACAGAAACATTTTTGCGATGAATATCTGTCTACAGTTGTAATGTCATATCTCATGTCGATGTTGAAATACCAGTATGTATCATGGCTTGTCGTCTTGAAACAAATGTATCTTTCTCTCTCTCTTTAACCAGACACTGAAAGGAACCTTTAGGAGTTTATTTGTCTTCCTGATGCATGAATTCCCTCCTCTGCCGTTCTACGCCACCCCCTTCCACTGTGACGCTAGGCTGGAGTGGGTCTGCCAGATCCCCCGCGGTAACCACACACACACACAGGCCATGTGATTGTGAACGTGTCATAGCTCCTCTTTAGTTTCAACTCAAAGGCGTTTCTTGTGTAGTGTCTGCTTGTCCCACGTTGAACTGTTTGGCCAACATAAACAGTCCTCTGTCTATTTTTCCATGAAATCAAAACCTAATTTAGGAATCAGAGTTTGGGGAACTGTTTGGTGACCTTTACACTTTCAATCTTGCATTTTCAAAGTTGAAAATAACTGTTTGTTTGTTCATCTCGAAATAGGCAAAACTCCCAAGAGCCCAAAGTGGTACAATCCTGGTAAGTGGTGTTGACATGTAGGTTTGGTAATATTTCTTGACTTTTTCTGACGAAATTATACACCAATGTATGATAAGCCATCAGTTAAGAAGTATGAGCTGAGTTTTTTTTTTTATATTGAAGGAGTTTTGGGTCCTAAAAATAGGATGGGGGAATAATGGCATTGATCTGTTGCAGGTGGGCACCATGAGACGTCCATATTCATTGATGGTAACGAGTTCTGGTTTGTGACGGAACCAAAGCTGCCATACGAGGAGGCTAGTCTGTACTGCAACAGTAACGGCAGCAAGCTGGCGGCACCACGAAGCTTCAACGCAGCCAGACAGATCCATATGAATCTGCCACAGGTACAGTAGAGTGCAATTACAGTACCGTGGTCAACAAACCATACACCATAACTTTTTTCCAGACTTACTCTACGGTATAAGCCCAGCTAGTATAAGAAACGGTTTAAAGCTGGAATCCATAATAGTGTAACTTCCACGTTCGTTTGCAATATTACAACAACAAAGAAGTTACTTCAAACAATGAACACTGTTTTTTTTCCCCCCACTGACATCATTGCACGCACGATAGAACAGCAGAGTATGTAGAGCGATTTTTATTTTAAACCACGATGCTGGATGTTCCTCTCCTCCGTTTCATCGACAGAACAAAAACAATAACGTACTGGGGGCGAACAGTGGCGCTGTTTGCGCTTATGCAGATGTCAGCTTTAAGGCTAGTATATCAAGCTTGATTGTAATTAATATAGAGCAGCAATGGATAGAAGGAGGGAGAGAAAGTAGGTGGCCACTGAACTATCCTAATAAAATGAAGACAACATTGATAAAGCGAGAGAGCACTGTGTGTGAGAGAGCAGAAAGGAGTGGCTTTGTTCTGTCCTTGTGTTTATTTATTCATTATTTGATTTGTGACCTGATTGGGCAGATGCCAGCAGGGAAGCAGAGCTGGTGGGCGGATGTAAGAGACGCTGGACACTACTTCCCCATGAGGTGAGTGACACAGTCACGCAGTCACATGACAAGTCACACCTCACCAACCAACAACGACCCCCTGACACGGTCACACATTAACAGCAGCACACATTCTTATACACTGGCTCCAAAACATGTCTTGTGATCAAATTTGTGTTGAGTTTAACATGAAAACATGTAACAAAATTCAGTCATATATAAGTACAGTGCCTTGCAAAAGTATTCAGCCCCCTTGGCATTTTTCCTAATTTGTTGCATTACAACCTGTAATTTAAATTGATTTTTATTTGGATTTCATGTAATGGACATACACAAAATAGTCCACATTGGTGAAGTGAAATGAAAAAAAAATTACTTGTTTCAAAAAATTCAAAAACATAAATAACGGAAATGTGGTGCGTGCATATGTATTCACCCCCTTTGCTATGAAGCCCATAAATAAGATCTGGTGCAACCAATTACTTTCAGAAGTCACATAATTAGTTAAATAAAGTCCATATTTCCGCAACTTTGAACATCCCATGGAGCACCATTAAATCCATTATAAAAAAATTGAAAGAATATGGCACCACAACAAACCTGCTAAGAGAGGGCCGCCCACCAAAACTCACGGACCAGGCAAGGAGGGCATTAATCAGAGAGGCAACAAAGAGACCAAAGATAACCCTGAAGGAGCTACAAAGCTCCACAGCGGAGATTGGAGTATCTGTCCATAGGACCACTTTAAGTCGTATACTCCACAGAACTGGTCTTTACGGAAGAGTGGCCAGAAAAAAGCCATTGCTTAAAGAAAAAAATAAGCAAACACGTTTGGTGTTTGCCAAAAGGCATGTGGGAGACTCCCCAAACATATGGAAGAAGGTACTCTGGTCAGATGAGACTAAAATTGAGCTTTTTGGCCATCAAGGAAAACGCGATGTCTGGCGCAAACCCATCACCTCTCATCACCCCGAGAACACCATCCCCACAGTGAAGCATTGTGGTGGCAGCATCATGCTGTGGGGATGTTTTTCATCGGCAGGGACTGGGAAACTGGTCAGAATTGAAGGAATGATGGATGGCGCTAAATACAGGGAAATTCTTGAGGGAAACCTGTTTCAGTCTTCCAGAGATTTGAGACTGGGACGGAGGTTCACCTTCCAGCAGGACAATGACCCTAAGCATACTGCTAAAGCAAGACTTGAGTGGTTTAAGGGGAAACATTTAAATGTCTTGGAATGGCCTAGTCAAAGCTCAGACCTCAATTGAGAATCTGTGGTATGGCTTAAAGATTGCTGTACACCAGCGGAACCCATCCAACTTGAAGGAGCTGGGGCAGTTTTGCCTTGAAGAATGGGCAAAAATCCCAGTGGCTAGATGTGCCAAGCTTATAGAGACATACCCCAAGACACTTGCAGCTGTAATTGCTACAAAAGGTGGCTCTACAAAGTATTGACTTTGGGGGGGTAAATAGTTATGCACGCTCAAGTTTTCTGTTTTTTTGTCTTATTTCTTGTTTGTTTCACAATAAAAAATATTTTTGCATCTTCAAAGTGGTAGGCATGTTGTGTAAATCAAATGATAATTTTAATTCCAGGTTGTAAGGCAACAAAATAGGAAAAATGCCAAGGGGGGTGAATACTTTCGCAAGCCACTGTAATGTTATTGTGTGTATTGGTTAGAATAAGAGTGAATTACTTTTTACTCCTGTCTTCTAGGTTCCCCCATATGCGATACTACCATGCTGAGTTCCTGGGCAGGTGTACAACCATCAGTGACGTGAACTTCTTCCCAGGTGAATGAAAACGTAACTACAGTACAAAGAGTAGTTGAAATCAAGTTGGTTACTTTAGATCATGTAGAAAGGATTATAATGTAGGCTGTTGGTTACTTTGACACTTCCCACTGGTCACACACTGGTTGAATCAACATTGTTCAGCGTAATTTGTCAACGTATTGTGACGTGGAATCAAGGTGGAAAATACATTAGATTTGAAAAAAGTAATCAACCAGTACTGTTTTAATCTGATTTCAAACAGTTTTGTAAACATTGAAATTAGGGGAAAACTTCCACTTAAATACATTGACTTAACCTGACAATGTAATTTTAAGACATGCTAACCTCTCACCATTACAATGACAGGGGAGGTTTGCATTTTGGGGGGGGGGGGGGGGTGTATGATACTTGTGCATCTAACTTTCTCACTCATCATTATTCATGATTAATTTAGGATTATCCGTAATCATGGTAGCAACCACATTAATGTAGAAGTGTTTAGAAACATATTATATTCTTATTTACAATACAAGTGACTCCAAAATGACACAATACAATATTTACCATTCATTTTTATTGGGCACAAAATAATCTGACACAAATCCAAAACAAACAGTAAATGCATCCAACCAATTTGTAGAGTCACAAGCTTGATCTAGTCATTACATGCTATGAATATGGGACCAAATACTTCACTTTTTACTACTTTAATACACATACAGTGGGGAGAACAAGTATTTGATACACTGCTGATTTTGCAGGTTTTCCTAATTCCAAAGCATGTAGAGGTCTGTAATTTTTATCATAGGTACACTTCAACTGTGAGAGACAGAATCAAAAACAAAAATCCAGAAAATCACATTGTATGATTTTTAAGTAATTAATTTGCATTTTATTGCATGACATAAGTATTTGATCACCTACCAACCAGTAAGAATTCCGGCTCTCACAGACATGTTAGTTTTTCTTTAAGAAGCCCTCCTGTTCTCCACTCATTACCTGTATTAACTGCACCTGTTTGAACTTGTTACCTGTATAAAAGACACCTGTCCACACACTCAATCAAACAGACTCCAACCTCTCCACAATGGCCAAGACCAGAGAGCTGTGTAAGGACATCAGGGATAAAATTGTAGACCTGCACAAGGCTGGGATGGGCTACAGGACAATAGGCAAGCAGCTTGGTGAGAAGGCAACAACTGTTGGCGCAATTATTAGAAAATGGAAGAAGTTCAAGATGACGGTCAATCACCCTCGGTCTGGGGCTCCATGCAAGTTCTCACCTCGTGGGGCATCAATGATCATGAGGAAGGTGAGGGATCAGCCCAGAACTACACGGCAGGACCTGGTCAATGACCTGAAGAGAGCTGGGACCACAGTCTCATAGAAAACCATTAGTAACAAACTACGCCGTCATGGATTAAAATCCTGCAGCGCACGCAAGGTCCCCCTGCTCAAGCCAGCGCATGTCAAGGCCCGTCTGAAGTTTGCCAATGACGATCTGGATGATCCAGAGGAGGAATGGGAGAAGGTAATGTGGTCTGATGAGACAAAAATATAGCTTTTTGGTCTAAACTCCACTCGCCGTGTTTGGAGGAAGAAGAAGGATGAGTACAACCCCAAGAACACCATCCCAACCGTGAAGCATGGAGGTGGAAACATCATTCTTTGGGGATGCTTTTCTGCAAAGGGGACAGGACGACTGCACCGTATTGAGGGGAGGATGGATGGGGCCATGTATCGCGAGATCTTGGCCAACAACCTCCTTCCCTCAGTAAGAGCATTGAAGATGGGTCGTGGCTGGGTCTTCCAGCATGACAACGACCCGAAACACACAGCCAGGGCAACTAAGGAGTGGCTCCGTAAGAAGCATCTCAAGGTCCTGGAGTGGCCTAGCCAGTCTCCAGACCTGAACCCAATAGAAAATCTTTGGAGGGAGCTGAAAGTCCGTATTGCCCAGCGACAGCCCCGAAACCTGAAGGATCTGGAGAAGGTCTGTATGGAGGAGTGGGCCAAAATCCCTGCTGCAGTGTGTGCAAACCTGGTCAAGACATACAGGAAACGTATGATCTCTGTAATTGCAAACTAAGGTTTCTGTACCAAATATTAAGTTCTGCTTTTCTGATGTATCAAATACTTATGTCATGCACTAAAATGGGGGGGACTATGTACAAAACGTGCTGTAATTTCTAAAAGGTTCACCCGATATGGATGAAAATGGTGGTCCTCTGTAGCTAAATTGGTAGAGCACGGCGCTTGATTCCGTCTCTCACGGTTGAAGTGTACCTATGATCAAAATTACAGACCTCTACATGCTTTGTAAGTAGGAAAACCTGCAAAATCGGCAGTGTATCAAATACTTGTTCTCCCCACTGTAAGTGAATTTGTCTCAATACTTTTGGGCCCCTAAAATGGGGGGGGGGGGGACTATGTACAAAACGTGCTGTAATTTCTAAAAGGTTCACCCGATATGGATGAAAATGGTGGTCCTCTGTAGCTCAATTGGTAGAGCACGGCGCTTGATTCCGTCTCTCACGGTTGAAGTGTACCTATGATCAAAATTACAGACCTCTACATGCTTTGTAAGTAGGAAAACCTGCAAAATCGGCAGTGTATCAAATACTTGTTCTCCCCACTGTAAGTGAATTTGTCTCAATACTTTTGGGCCCCTAAAATGGGGGGGGGGGACGACGACTATGTACAAAACGTGCTGTAATTTCTAAAAGGTTCACCCGATATGGATGAAAATGGTGGTCCTCTGTAGCTCAATTGGTAGAGCATGGCGCTTGTAACGCCAGGGTAGTGGGTTCGATCCCCGGGACCACCCATGCAAAAATGTATGCACACATGACTGTAAGTCGCTTTGGATAAAAGCGTCTGCTAAATGGCATATTAAAATACCCTCAAATTAAAGCTGACAGTCTGACTTTAACCTCATAGTCATTGTATAATTTCAAATCCAAAGTGCTGGAGTACAGAGCCAAAACATTTGTCAGTGTCCCAATACTTTTGGAGCTCACTGTATGTCATTCATTATATACAATAGGCCCTGTATACTATCCCAGTAGAAGATCTCCTTTAAGTGTTGATATTTGGTTGCGTTCTCAATTCAATATCCAGTTTGTCTACAAATTAATGATTGATATGTTGGATTATTTTATTCACCAAAAATCTAACATAAGAATAGCACTAAATCAAACTTCAAATAAAGTTTGATTTGATTTAGTCCCATTCTTGAATTTAGATTTTTGGTTGAGATGGAGATGTGAATCCAACATATTAACTTGTAGATTTAATTTGCAATCAACCAACCATTCTTCATATACAATTAAATATCGAATGGTAAAAGTCATGAATATCATGAATTTGGCATCGTATTTATAGAGCTAATGGTAACTGCTTCTAAACTTCTAAATGTGTTGTGTTTCCAAAGCTAAACAGGGTACATAGAGGTAGGCATCTGGATTGTAGACTCGTTCTCACTGAAGTGCATTACCCCTCATATACCAGTAGGAGTCACTGTCCAGGCAGAAATTGGTGGACTATGGCTTCACATTTTATTTCAATATACCTCTTTATTTAGGTTGATATTGAAACAATGGTGTTGATTCAAACATACCATTTTACTATAAACATTGAAACAAGGTCAAATAAATTATGTCTAATCAAATCTAAATTTCAACAATTTCAACCACCCAATATACTGTATATTGAATATAGGAATTTCAATGTATACGTCAATTTACTTCTGATGATTATGTCAATTAGATTGATGTAACAACCTGTTAGTCAGGTTAAGTAAATGTATTTATACTGAACAAAAATACAAACACAACATACAACAATTTTAAAGATTTGACTGAGTTGCAGTTCATATTGAAATCAGTCAATTGAAATAAATTCATTAGGCCCTAATCTATGGATTTCACATGTCTGGGAATACAAGTATGCATCTGTTGGTCACAGATACCTTTTAAAAAAGTCAGTATCTGGTGTGACCACCATTTGCCTCATGCAGCGCGACACATCTCCTTCGCATAGAGTTGATCAGGCTGTTGTATGTGGCCTGTGGAATGTTTCCCACTCCTCTTCAATGGCTGTGCGAAGTTGCTGGATATTATCGTGAACTGGAACACGCTGTTGTACACGTCGACCCAGAGCATCCCAAACATGCTCAATGGGTGACATGTCTGGTGAGTATGCAGGCCATGGAGGAACTGGGACATTATAAGCTTCCAGATCCTTGCGACATGGGGCAGTGCATTATCATGAGCCTCAGGATCTCGTCACGGTATCTCTGTGCATTCAAATTGCTATCGATAAAATGCAATTGTGTTCGTTGTCCGTAGCTTATTCCTGCCCATACCATAACCCCAACGCCACCATGGGGCACTCTGTTCACAACACTGACATCAGCAAACACTGACACCGCTCGCCCACACAACGCTATACACATGGTCTGCGGTTATGAGGCCTGTTGGACGTACTGCTAAATTCTATAAAACGACGTTGGAGGCGGCTTATGGTAGAGAAATTAAACTTCAATTATCTGGCAACAGCTCTAGTGGACATTCCTGCAGTCAGCATGCCTATTGCACACCCCCTTAACTTGAGACATCTGTGGCATTGTGTTGTGTGATAAAACTGCACATTTTAGAGTGTGTTTTATTGTCCCCAGCATAAAGTGCACCTGTGTAATGATCATGCTGTTTAATCAGCTTCTTGAAAGGCCACACCTGTCAGGTGGATGGATTATCTTGGGAAGGTCGAAATGCTCACTAACAGGGATGTAAACAAAATTGTGCACAACATTTTAGAGAAATAAGCTTTTTGTGCATATTGAACATTTCTGGGATCTTTTATTTCTGCTCATGAAACATGGGACAAACACTGTTGCATTTATATTTTGCGTTTATATTTTTGTTCAGTGTAAGTTGAAGTTTTACCCTCATTTCAATGCTTAAAATGCTGGTTGAAATTTGATGAAAACTGTACTGGTTGATTACTATTTTCAAATCCAATATGATGACAAATTACATTGAAACAATGTTGATTCAACCAATGTGTGCCCAGTGAGTTGTTACCTTTTTATGGTTCAAATGTGACCGGTCACACACACTCACTCACACGCACTCCTGCCCCTCCAGAGTACGAGTACAGCTGTGAGCTGCAGCTGCCATTCGTGTGTGAGAGACACAACACCACGGCTATAGAGACCCACCCTGGAGAGCCTCACCCCAATGGTCTGCCCTGTGAGAGCGGCTATTTACGCTTCAGGGATAAGGTCAGTCTGTCGTACACACACACACACACACACACTGGAGCCTGGTGTCACTGGACGGTCATATAGGAACGGCTGGAATGGAACGGTATGAAACATATGGAAACCAGTTGTGATACTGTTTAATTCGTTCCATTCCAGCCATAACAATGAGCCCATCCTCTGATTTAGTCTACATACAGGTACATTCTGTGTAGTGATTTATTTAAGCAATAAGGCCCGAGGGGGTGTGGTATATGGCCAGTATACCACGACTAAGGGCTGTTCTTACGCACAACGCAACGCAGAGTGCCTGGATACAGCCCTTAGCCGTGGTATATTGGTCATATACCAGAAACCCCCGAGGTGCCTTATTGCTATTATAAACTGGTTACCAACGTAATTAGAGCAGTTAAAGTAATTGTTTCGTCATACCCGTTGTTTACGGTCTGATATACCACGGCTGTCAGCCAATCAGCATTCAGGGCTCAAACCACCCAGTTTATAATAATTGTTATTGAATGTTGTCGTTGCCTTTTCCAGTGCTACGTGGTGATCAGGCCTCTGTACGTTACTTTTCAACACGCCAACGAGCAGTGTCAGTCGATGAAAGGAACTCTACTCACTATCACAGACCAAGTTGAACAGGGTGAGTAGTAAACCTTCTAGTGGATCTCTTTTACCTATGTCTTTTTATTCATCATGCTTGTCAATAGACAACCTTCCATTCTCCTAGACATGAGATGACCAATGATTGATGTCCCTTCAATGTCAGTCTTAACCAGCGGTTGTTGACTAGTTGCGCCTATCTGTTTGTTGTGTTCAGACTTTGTGACCTCCCTGTTGCCGGAGCAGCCACAGAAGACATGGATTGGCCTGAAGCTCAAACAGCGGGACCCAGAGTGGGTGGATGACTCCCCGGTCTCCTACCTCAACTTTAACCCCCTGCTTCACGGCCTACTCAGGCCCATGCTCGTCAATGTGAGTTCCCACTCACTTCACTTCTCAATTGTATTCAGTGTGGCAACAGGGATCAATGAGCTATGAGTAGAGTTGAGTTAAAACATACAATTCCATCAAACCGCAGGTAGCATGTACAGTAAACATACCTCTTTTCACATTCAACTGAAATCATAGAATAGTTTTACTGTAAAAATACCAGTTACACTCCCCTCATAGGCAGTTGGTCAGAATCAGGGGTGTAAGTAAGCCGGAATAGTGGGGTACCCCATACCGGTAAAACATGAGCCTATCACAATAATTAAAACAGATTTTAAGAACTGTAGGCACTTTATTTGTTTTTAGGGGGTAGATCAGCTTTAATATTTCAAATAGATTGTAACTTCCATCAATGTAATCGTCTGCATCATTTCCAATCCCCCAAATATATTTTTTGTAAATATATACAGTACCAGTCAAAAGTTTGGACACACCTACTCATTCAAGGGTTTTTCTTAATTTTTTTACTATTTTCTACATTTTAGAATAATAATATGATTAGATTCTTCAAAGTAGCCACCCTTTGCCTTGATGAAAGCTTTGCACACTCTTGGCATTCTCTCAACCAGTTTCATCTGGAATGCTTTTCTAACATTCTTTAAGGAGTTCCCACATATGCTGAGCACTTGTTGGCTGCTTTTCCTTCACTCTGCGGTCCAACTCATCCGAAACCATCTCAATTGGGTTGAGGTCGGGGGATTGTGGAGGCCAGGTCATCTGATGCAGCACTCCATCACTCTCCTTCTTGGTCAAATAGCCCTTACACAGCCTGGAGGTGTGTTGGGTCATTGTCCTGTTGAAAAACAAATGATAGTCCCACTAAGCGCAAACCAGATGGGATGGCGTATCGCTGCAGAATGCTGTGGTAGCCATGCTGGTTAAGTGTGCCTTGAATTTGAAATAAATCACATACAGTGTCACCAGCAAAGCACCCCCACACCATCACACCTCCATGGTGGGAACCACACATGCGGAGATCATCCGTTCACCTACTCTGCGTCTCACAAAGACACTGCGGTTGGAACCAAAAATCTCAAATTTGGACTCATCAGACCAAAGGACAGATTTCCATCGGTCTAATGTCCATTGCTCGTGTTTCTTGGCCCAAGCAAGTCTCTTTTTCATATTGGTGTCCTTTAGTAGTGGTTTCTTTGCAGCAATTCGACCATGAAGGCCTGATTCACGCAGTCTCCTCTGAACAGTTGATGTTGAGATGTGTCTGTTACTTGAACTCTGTGAATTATTTATTTGGGCTGCAATTTCTGAGGCTGGTAACTCTAATTAACTTATCCTCTGCAGCAGAGGTAACGCTGGGTCTTTCCTGTGGCGGTCCTCATGAGAGCCAGTTTCATCATAGCGCTTGATGGTTTTTGCGACTGCACTTGAAGAAACTTTCAAAGTTCTTGAAATGTTCTTTATTGACTGACCTTCATGTCTTAAAGTAATGATGGACTGTTGTTTCTCTTTGCTTATTTGAGCTGTTCTTGCCATAATATGGACTTGGTCTTTTACCAAATAGGGCTATCTTCTGTATACCCCCCCTACCTTGTCACAACACAACTGATTGGCTCAAACGCATTAAGAAGGAAAGAAATTCCACAAATTAACTTTTAAAAAGGCACAGCTGTTAATTGAAATGCATTCCAGGTGACTACCTTATGAAGCTGGTTGAGAGAATGTATCCCCCATATAAATAACATTCTATTGGAAGCAAGAATTTTGTATAATAATTTAAATTGAAAAATGATATGTTTTGAATCCGGCGTCGTTTTGCGTATCAGTTCATAAACACTATGCTATGGAATCGGTACGTCAAAAACCTCTTCCCAACTATTTTGCAATCTATATGGGACGGCTGTCAATCCTTTGATCCTTAAATGAAACTGGTATACTTTTTTATTTATCACAATTTTCTTTAACCAATTATGTTCTTTAATGCAGGGCCAACAGACAAGTTCCTTACTTTTTCCCCCTTCCACTTTCCTCTTCCATTTTTTGCGGTAATGCTGCAATTATTTGGTTGTAATTTTGGGTAGAGCAGACATTTCCATATGTTTTTGTTAGCTGCATGTGCGACATAACTCCACCAGTCCTATCTATGATATCATGGTAGAGCATGGCGCTTGCAACGCCAGGGTTGTGGGTTCGTTTAACACGGGGGGGGCAGTATGAAAATGTATGCACTCACTAACTGTAAGTCGCTCTGGATAAGAGCGTCTGCTAAAATGACTAAAAATAAAAAATAAGATTATACCTTTTTTATACATTTTTTCAAAAAAGTATGTTTTTTTTATCAATTAGTATATTTGAGTTTAGCCACAATATTTGTTGCATTATTTGTTCTGTCGTTTCTGGAGGATTAAATTGAAATTGCAACCAACTTTCTATGGCTTGTTTTAGAAATATTGATATTTGGGAGATAATTTCCTTTTCAAATAACTGAAAGTGAGAGGTTGTAATCTGAATAAAGGGAAAAAGGCCATTCTTGAACATGGGGTGAGACAATCTTACTAATTTGCTAGAGAACCAGTTCGGATTTAAGTATAACTTTTGTATGACTGAAGCTTTTAGTGATAGGTCTAATGCTTTAATATTTAATCATTTCTGTCCTCCGAATTCATATTAATTATATAAATAGGCCCGTTTAATTTTGTCTGGCTTGCCGTTCCAAATAAAATGGTATATTTTTTTCTCATATAATTTAAAAAACTGTTCGCTAGGCGTAGGCAAGACCATAAGCAAATAGGTAAACTGGGATAATACTAAAGAGTTAATCAGGGTGATTTTTCCACAAATAGACAGGTATTCACCTTTCCATGGTAGCAATATCTTATCTATTTTTGCTAACATTCTATTAAAATGTATTGGAGTGTTATCATTTCTTTCTTTCGGGATATGTATACCGAGTATGTCCACATTAATGTAAAAGTTGTATTTTTTAGTGATCCAATACGTAATATAGTATACTTATCATAATTTGGTTTTAATCCAGAGAGGTTAGAATAATTATCTAGATCCTCTATGAGGCTGTGGAGGGATCCAAATTGTAGATTTAAAAGAAAACATGAATCATCAGTGTACAATGACACCTTTGTTTTTAAGCCCTGGATTTCTAACCCCTTAATATTATTGTTGGATCTGATTTTAACAGCTAACATTTCGATTGCAATAATAAATAGATATGCTGATAGTGGACAACTTTGTTTTACTCTTCTTGACAGTTTAAAATTTTCGGAGAAGTAGCCATTATTTACTATTTTACACATAGGGTTACCATACAAAACTTTAACCCATTTTATGAGAGATTCTCCAAAATTGAAATATTCCAGACATTTATATATAAACTCAAGTCGTACTTTATCAAAGGCCTTTTCAAAGTCAGCTATGAATACCAGGCCTGGTTTGCCAGATTTGTTATTTTTGCTGTAAAATTTGCGAATAGACTTGAAAACTTGTGGAATACGCTTCAAAATGCGGTGTGGTTCGATGATAACACTGACATTTTGCCATGGCAGAGATGAGGCCGAGACCGAGAAACGCGTGGACAGCAGTGTACGCATCAATTCAGATTAGAAGACTGTTGTAGGCCTAATGAATGACAATCACAGAATGCCATTCATAACACTTTTTGCTGTTTTGTAAGTGGTCTCTTTGCATTTATCAAATGGCATTGTATGGATGCCGGAATTTAAGTTGCCCAATAGTTGGAATAATAACTGAAGTCTGGAAAATGATGGTAGGCCTCTCATGTAGCCTATTATAATATTAACTCCTTCAGAATTAAGTGTTCCTCACAGTAAAATGATAGACAAAATGTTAATTTTGTCTTGGGAACAGGAGTGGAGAAATATGAGAAACCTGTTGTGTAGCCTAAACGTGCAATTTCTTTCAGCGACATAAAAGCTGACAGTATTTCATTTTCAACCACATAAAATATGCATCCAAGATTAACTAAAATACTATCAGAAACATGTTGGATCGTTTTCACAGCTTTTCATTTCCTGAAAACTGGTCAAACTGAGCAAAAATCAAAGAGAAAACTTTACTGATGTCAACTAGACTGTTGATGATGCATTGATCATTCTATCGATTTATGACATTATTCTGCTGGGAAAGGCTTTATTTAGTATTCTAAACAATCATCAAGTAATGACAGAAGAGAAGCTGCATGTATCAAATTATAGACAAGTTGACTAACAAATAGCCTACCAAATGTAAAAAATTATAAGCAGAAAGATATCTACTTGAGGCATAATCTTAACCACTGGTGTGTGCAGGTAGTCTTTTTAAACAAATGATGGGACTGCATAAACATTACTATGATAGACTATACTAAATACCAGTCTCTAACGACGTTCCACATCTGTTTCAAAGTTCAAGGTCATCATAACCTATAACTAACTCTCTGTGTCCCTGTTGTTGTTGTTGTTGTGTCTGTCTGCAGCTCCATGACCCAGAGAGCATGGAGCTGTGTGTCTTCATGTTCAACGACCCCAGCTCTGCTATGATGGGCTCCTGGGACTACACCTCCTGCTCTGACCAGCAGCATGTGGCCATCTGCCAGCACTACGCAGGTACACCACCGCCACCTGGCAGCAGAGGGCACCAAACACAACTCATTATCTGTGCTTATCTGTCAGTGTTCACGAAAGAATGGATCATGTGTGGACTCTACTGTCAGAAGGCTTCTGATAGAAAGACTTGATATTAAGTGTATTTTTTTTATATACGGATATTAAGTGTATGAAGTAGACTGATATTATTGATACTTGTTACTTGATATTGCTACTGTTTTGAGGAGTAGAAATTGAGCATATCAAATAGGGTTTGAACCCTCGTCTGACCCCTTTAAATCCCTCTCATGTTCTCAGATAAGCCAGAGGAGCCCCTGTTCCAGTTGGAGCAGTTCCAAGCCAACAACCACACCTTTCAGCTGGTTCAGAAGAACATGACGTGGTTCGAGGCTCTGGAAGAGTGCAGGAACCAGAACATGGACCTGGCCAGCGTAGCCGACACCCTACAGCAGTCGGTCCTCACCGTGCACGTCACCCGCGCAGGCAGCCCCATGTGGATCGGGCTCTTCAGCGAAGACGTAAGTGGCCATAGCTCTTCACCCAAACCCGTTGGTGTTCGCAGATCTAAAAGAAAGTGATGGGATTAAGGCAATATGGCAAAGCAAACAACCCATAGCCCATTGGAAGGCTAGGTGGAGCCATCACCATGTAGAATAGGTCACACCTATCCTGTTCCTTCAGATCTGCAAACACTGAAGGATAGTGGCTGATTCATAATGACGATTTCACAGATGCTACAGTAGAGTTATGTTTGTTCTTAATTGACTTGCTTGGTTAAATACAGGTTAAATAAATAAGGAACTCACTCAGCATTTTGTATTGTCAGGATGGTGTCCACTACCGCTGGACAGACCACAGTCACACAGTGTTTAGTCGCTGGTCCTCAGAGCCCACCGTTGGACGCTGTGTCTTCCTGGACACGGAAGGCTTCTGGAAGGCTACAGAGTGTGAGGAACAGTTGGCAGGGGCTATCTGCCATGTTCCACACGGTAAGACAACAATACAGTGGCTCAGTTGGTAAGAGCTGGGGTCTTGTAATGTAATGGTCATGGGTTCAATTCTCGCAAGGATCACATACCAAAAGTGTATGCACTTTGGATACAGTTTTCTTTTAAGTGGCATAAGAAAACAATACAGGATGAAAATCAACCAAGCACTCTCCTCAGACAGCAACTGTGTATTTTGGCAGAATTTTCTTTTTTAAATGAATGTTTTCAATGTTTCCAGAAGAGACTATTACCACCCCTGAGGACATCGCTGTGAAATGTCCTCACAAGAGCAGCGGGCCAAACTGGATCCCCTTCAAGAACAACTGCTACACCTTCCAACTGGTATCGTCCAGATGGGATGAGTTTGACAAGGGCCAGATACATCAGACATGCAAGAAACTGGGTAAGGAGCAAGGACACCGTCTGGCACAAACATCAGTCAGGAACCATTTGTATTGTGAAGACCTCCATAAACAAGATACATATTAGAAACATCTCTTATAGTCTCAATTAGAAATGTGAAAAAGGGGAGCGCTGCTTTGGCATCAAATATGAAGACAAAGAGAGATGCTCATTGGAGAACGGGGTATAACTTTTAGCGACCAAATAAAGTTGCAGCTATGTAAAAACATCATACTTTAAAAAATCCAATGCACTCTCTTGTGGAAAAGTAAAACATATTTTATTTTAGCAGCTATTGCATAGCAAAAAATCCTAACTCACCAACGCATATTGCTCACCGGCCTTCTTCAGGGTTCACAGGTGCACAGTAGTGAGCAGAAATGAAAGGGGCGTGGACAATATTAACCAATAGATAAAGAGGAAATACATCAAATACAAATAAATCAATCAATAATAACTATAGGCCAATACAATGTTTCACACAACTAAACAACTCAAGATTATTATTATTATTATTATTACAAATATAATTACAGAAGTATAATAACAAAAAAGGGGCTAAATCTATTTAATAATTCAACCCGGAAAGACAGTAGCTTTGAGTGTGTGTATCCAGGAAGTTTCCCTTTGTAGAAGACACTTCAGCCTGTAATCCCCCCTCTTGTTGATGGATGCCACCTCTATGTGCGGGCTACCATGGCCGGCTTGTTGGTAATGCACAGCCATGGGATAATTGTCACTCACTGTTTTGATGGCATATTTATGTTCTGCCAGTCTCGTTCTTTTAGCATCCTTTTTGTGCGACCAATATAAAAACAACCACATGTGCACTCCAACCTATAAACAACAAACACAGTGTTGTAATTCGCAAAAGATTGGATTTGGTAAGTTATTTTCTTGTGTGTCATTGAACGTCTTGTTTTTTTTAAATGTTGGGGCAGTGGTTGCAGTGTCCGCACAGAAAGGTGCCAGTGGGTTTGGAAAGCCAGTTGGCTTTGGCTGGGGGGGGGATTAGGTGACTGTGCACCAGCTTGTCCCGTAGGGTCGGCAGGCGTCTATAAGAAAAGCATGGAGGCTCGGTAAAAACTTCACCTTAATGCAGGGTCACTTTCTATGATACTCCAATTCAGTTTGATATTATTTATTTGAGATGCCTCTCTGCTGTGCTGGGTAACAAAATACATTTGCTTTGACTTTTGGGGCCTTTGGTATTGTCTGAGCATATTTTTTATTTTCCAAGGATTTAGCCTTAATTATGGATTGATTGAGAACACTTGACCTGTATCTGTTGTTTAAACCAGCAACTTTATTTTGGAAATCCTCCTCCTTGTCACAAATGCACCGTAGCCACTGTAATTGACCCATATAAATATTTTCAATGAGACCAGTAGAGTGAAAACTGTCTGCCCTTAGAATGGTATTACAGTCCATAACTTTTCTAAAAATGTGTGGAGTTGACCGTCTTGGGTTTTCGTGATTTTCGGGGTTCTATATTCTTTAGCGAGTTTGAGATTCTCTTTAATAGAGTTCATATATTTGTGGGACCAGGGGTGTCATGCACCTCCAAGATCTGAGGATGGCTGGAGAATTTTGCATTTTTCGAACACCTGAAACAGCCTTTTCCTGCAATCTAGAGCCATAAACATTATGCTTAATTCTATGGAAGAAATATTGTAATTATCTGCATATCTAAGCATTCCTCTTGAGCTGTCTGTATCCTCCTGACTGGTGGTTATTTTTTTAAAGAAACGAAATATGCTTCTCTGCTTCTCTGCTAAAATATGGGTAAAAGATTGACAGGAATGTGAGTCTTATTTAGTAATTGCTTGCTTTTCTAAAGTCTACCAACCTTGCCAGCAGGCATGCCAGCTAAGATAGTTAGACAAGCTAGCTACTCTAACTTGATAGCCTGAAATGGCTTCTTGGTACCTAGTTATGAGGTGTGGAGATTGGGTACCTATCTCGGATAGTTAAAGCCAAGTTCATAAAATTGCTAGGTGGCTAGGAGTATTACAGTGAAACAACAACCACAACAACCAGAAGAAGAAAAAAAAAAATCTATATATTTTTTAAACAGGACAAATTTGAGGGGGCACGTGCCCCCCTATGGGCATGACGCCTCTGTGTGGAACTGTAGCTGTTCATTTTCAGATGATCGAAACACCAAAATGATGTCATCTATATATCTTCCGTACCACATGATTTTATAAAAAAATGTATTAAGAGGACAAAAAAAATGTCTCTCCTACCATAGTCCTAAAAACACATTTGCGTAGTTTGGTGCAAAACAGGCGGCCATTGCTGTCCATTTGACTTGTCTGTAGAGTTGGTCCTGAAAAAGAAAAATTGTATTGTTTAGTGTCCACTCTGTTAGAGAAAGTATGTTGGGGGTGCGCTTCCCTCTGGCCTGAGTTGAAGATAGTGTTTTAGAGCCTTGAGACCCTCACTGTGTACTATATTACTCTAAAAGGGTTCCACGTCCATAGTCACAAGAAAAGAGGAGCCAATGTTGTTTAACTCAGCTAATTTGTTCATTTGTGTGGGTGGTGTCTTGCAAAAAATAAGGTAGTTCGGACACTAGAGGTTTAACATATTCTATGGGATTAAATTGTATTTTTTTTGCTATGCAATAGCTGCTAAAATAAACTGAGTGTACAGTCATTAAGAACATATTCCTAATATTGAGTTGCACCCCCTTTTGCCCTCAGAACAGCTTCAATTTGTCAGGACATGGACTATACAAGGTGTTGAAAGCGTTCCACAGGGATGCTGGCCCATGTTGACTAGAATGCTTCCAACAGTTGTGTCAAGTTGGCTGGATGTCCTTTGGGTGGTGGACCATTCTTGATACATACAGAAAACTGTTGTGTGAAAAACCCAGCAGCGTTGCAGTTCTTGACACAAACCGGTGCACCTGGCCTGGCACCCGGTTCAAAGGCAATATTTTGTCTTGCCCATTCAGCCTCAATGCTACACATACACAATCCATGTCTCAATTATTATTTAACCGGTCTCCTCCCCTTCATCTACTCTGATTGAAGTGGATTTAACAAGTGACATCAATAAGGGATTCACCTGGTCAGTCTATGTCCTGGAAAGAGCAGGCATTCTTAATGTTTTGTATATTCAGTGTAAAGCCTTTTTAACTTTTCCACAAGAGAGAGTGCCTTGGATTGTTTGAAGAGTGATGTTTTTACATAGCTGCAACTTCATTTGGTCGCAATAAGTCTCAATTAGACTTTTAGAGATGTTTTAAAATTGACACTGATGCCTGGTCAAATAGACTTCATATGTGGTCTGACTGAAGGTGTTTATTAATTAAATGTACTCACTGCTTATGTATGAGTAATAAAGTATTTATGAAGTGTTACCGGTTTATGTTCTTCTCAGCTGCTGATGCAGACATCCTGACCATCAGGGACTTAGTGGAGAATGAGTTTGTGAAGGAGCAGCTCCTTCCCTTCAAAGACCTGGTGCAGTTTGTCTGGCTAGGGGTGTTCAACGATGACAACGGTGAGTGGACTGAACTGGGTTCCCCATATTCATCTTCCCAACATTCAGCATGGACAGTTAGTGTGTCCTTATGTTTGAGCCGCTGTTTGGACTTTCATATTATCATTTATTGCCCTATATTATGAGGAGACACTGAATTGGACATTGTAAAATGTTCTCTGGATCATCAAGTCTTAAGCTTACTCACTGATCATTGCTGTATTATTGTGTGATGAAATGTGTAAACGTGTAGTACATTTGTAATGTCAAGTTGTTGTTCCTGTATTTGGTAGATAACCAGATGAAGTGGTATGATGGCACCAACGTCCAGTACTCTAACTGGGGAGATGGAAGACCAAGCATCTCAGCCAGCGATGAGTTCTTGGCTGGTCTCAACACTGAGGGAGTCTGGGAGATATTCACCAACAAACGCCACTTCAGTCCCTTCAAGCAGAGAAGCATTGTGGCCTGCAAACTGGATAATGGTTGGTAGACCCCATTCAGACAAACATACATTTCACCTATTCACAAGGAAAAATATATATATTTTTTACAACTAAATAATACATTTTTCATTTGATTGTTTCTATTAACACAAATGTTTTCTTTGTCCCCAAGACTCTAAGGTCGAATACAATCAGTCGGCCAGGGACTTTGAGCGCTATGGCAACCTGAGCTACCACCTGATAACCAGGAAGTTGAGCTGGTTCCAGGCCCTGGAGGAGTGTGGCCGCGGCAACGGACACCTGGCCAGCGTGCATGACACCGGGCACAATGCTCACATGGAGCTCATCGCCAAGCGAGATGGCTTCCCGCTGTGGATCGGTCTGTCCAGTCAGGATGTAAGGGAGCTTGGCCACAATGCCACTAACACGGCGGCCATTTCTAATGAGAATAACTTAATCTTTTTGAGAAATTTAGCTCAAAGCACTAAATGGCAGGTAAACATTCAATGCTAAATTTGCTAAGCACCTCCAGTGTGAAGTTTGTTGAATAACATTACATCTCCCTCCCCTCTCTGCGCAGGCTAGTGGCTCTCAGTCCTATGAGTGGTCCGATGGGACTAAGTATAACTACAGTCCGGTGGGACTCTCTGACACTGTGGGCAGGTCCAGCTCAGACCCTCAGGCTGTCTGTGTGTACATCACTCCCCATGGCACCTGGATGAGCAAGGACTGCCATGCCAAGATGGACGGAGCCATCTGCTACAACACCACCATCACCACCCCCACTCAGAGTAAGACCCAGTCCTAGTACCTAGCCTATTAGTATTACATCACCACCACCCCCACTCAGAGTAAGACCCAGTCCTAGTACCTAGCCTATTAGTATTACATCACCACCATCACCACTCAGAGTAAGACCCAGTCCTAGTACCTAGCCTATTAGTATTACATCACCACCACCCCCACTCAGAGTAAGACCCAGTCCTAGTACCTAGCCTATTAGTATTACATCATCACCATCACCACCCCCACTCAGAGTAAGACCCAGTCCTAGTACCTAGCCTATTAGTATTACATCACCACCATCACCACTCAGAGTAAGACCCAGTCCTAGTACCTAGCCTATTAGTATTACATCACCACCATCACCACTCAGAGTAAGACCCAGTCCTAGTACCTAGCCTATTAGTATTACATCACCACCATCACCACTCAGAGTAAGACCCAGTCCTAGTACCTAGCCTATTAGTATTACATCATCACCACCCTACTCAGAGTAAGACCCAGTCCTAGTACCTAGCCTATTAGTATTACATCATCACCACCCCCACTCAGAGTAAGACCCAGTCCTAGTACCTAGCCTATTAGTATTACATCATCACCACCCCCACTCAGAGGAAGACCCAGTCCTAGTACCTAGCCTATTAGTATTACATCACCACCACCCTACTCAGAGTAAGACCCAGTCCTAGTACCTAGCCTATTAGTATTACATCATCACCACCCCCACTCAGAGTAAGACCCAGTCCTAGTACCTAGCCTATTAGTATTACATCACCACCACCCCCACTCAGAGTAAGACCCAGTCCTAGTACCTAGCCTATTAGTATTACATCACCACCATCACCACTCAGAGTAAGACCCAGTCCTAGTACCTAGCCTATTAGTATTACATCACCACCATCACCACTCAGAGTAAGACCCAGTCCTAGTACCTAGCCTATTAGTATTACATCATCACCACCCTACTCAGAGTAAGACCCAGTCCTAGTACCTAGCCTATTAGTATTACATCACCACCACCCCCACTCAGAGTAAGACCCAGTCCTAGTACCTAGCCTATTAGTATTACATCATCACCACCCCCACTCAGAGTAAGACCCAGTCCTAGTACCTAGCCTATTAGTATTACATCATCACCACCCCCACTCAGAGGAAGACCCAGTCCTAGTACCTAGCCTATTAGTATTACATCACCACCACCCCCACTCAGAGTAAGACCCAGTCCTAGTACCTAGCCTATTAGTATTACATCATCACCACCCCCACTCAGAGTAAGACCCAGTCCTAGTACCTAGCCTATTAGTATTACATCACCACCATCACCACTCAGAGTAAGACCCAGTCCTACAGTCTTAGTACCTTTACTTATTAGTATTTATTTATTATACACGCAACTTGAATTATTGTGTAAAGAAGACATTGATGTCAATGAGAGATCTGAGCAGACTTTTTTGCATAGGATACGCACCAATCTTTTAAGATCCCATAAAATAAATCCCTCTGATGTCATCTGTTTGTTTGTCTGAATCAGGAGCGAACCTCGCAGCTCCCCAGGTAGACAACAACTGCCCGCAGAACAGTGGCTCGTCTAAGTGGGTCGAGCACCAGGACCACTGCTATGCCTTTGACATGACCTTTTATAACTACTCTGTGTACAGCATGGAGGATGCTAAGAGCATCTGTGAAAGGCTTGGTAAGTCGCCCACTATCTCTCCTATTTGACACATATATATTTCTGTATTATAGAAGTTGTATTGAACATTGTATTATCGCAGCATCTTGGGTTAGGTTGTTATGGTAACATCTTGGGTTAGGTTGTTATGGGAAGACAAAGGTTTCCCTATAACCAACCTGATTAAATAAAGTTATTGAATATTTACTCTTATTAACCGGGTAGTTTGGCTCCTGGATGCTAATTGGCTGAAAGCCAAGGTACTTAACCCTAATTGCTCCACTGGCGCTGTACAATGGCGACCCTGGCCATGACCCCACTCCCTGCATGTCTCAGGGGGAGTTGGGATATGCAGAAAAATACATTTCCATTACAGATTTGTGTGTAACAGGACAAATATAAACAACCCCCAAATTATTATTCGAACTACGTTGCTAACCAGTTTATAATAGCAATAAGGTACCTCGGGGGTTTGTGGTAAATTGTCAATATACCGCGGCTAAGGGCTGTATCCAGGTACTCCTCGTTGCGTCGTGCATAAGAACAGCCCTTAGCTGTGGTATATTGGCCATATACCACACCTCCTCAGGCCTTATTGCTTAATTAGTACACCATGATCAGATCAGGTGGTTTCTTACTTACAGTACATGTGCCTCCTTTTTGCCTTTGATTGACAGATGCACAGCTGCTGACCATAACGACCAAAGAGGAGAATGACTTTGTCTCTGGCTACATGGCAGCCAACCCTCTCATCACCAGTAGGGTGTGGCTCGGCATGGACTTGGACACACAAGGTAAACTGACCTGACCAGTACAATATGATAGGCTTGTTACCTATTACTGTATAAGGAGGTTATTAGACATGATATTTATATTGGACAGTATGTGCCATCTTAGGAAGTTCCGTGCACTTCATTTGGAAAGTCAGGCACTTTAAAATACATACAAATCCTACATGCCAATACATTGTATTCAAATAAAGTAGTTTATTCTAACTCAACAGCATAGAATCAGTAAGTCCTCTTGTCTTACAGGTCAGCCAGTTGGCTGGGTGGACGGTTCCTCTCTGGCCTTCTCTAACTGGGAGACCAATGGCTCTGCTAGTGGGGTGAAGACAGTGACCCAGCAGAACCCCTGTGCTGTCATGGTGTCTGCAGATGGAGGCATCTGGAGCACAGTCAGCTGCAAGGACAGCCACAGCCGCATCGTCTGCAAAGTACCCGCACGTGAGTACCATAGTTCAGTGGTTCACCAGTCCAAACTCATACATATTTTTTTTTACTATGTGGATAGCAGCATGCGCTGGTAACAGCTCTAAGCTATTGCATGTAACAAGAGGTGTATAGCTCATAGATTTCCCTGGCGTCGCTATGGTTATTACATATTAGTAAACATTGTGCTTGAAACAGGGACTTTCTTGGCCCGTCTGGAGATGTGTTTCTGACTGGCTGTGTTGTCTCCAGGGTCAGGGAACGCCCCGGTGGCTCTGGTCTTCTTCCTGGTCGTCCTCACTGCCCTCCTGGGGGCCATCGGCTTCGTCGTCTATAAGAAGAGCAGGGCCAGATTCAACTCCACCGTGCGCTACAGGAGAACCATTGATGACGCTGACAGCACTAGTATTATAGATGCAGAGTGAGACTTGTCTTGACTTCCTAGATGCAGCTTGAAGAAGCAGTTATGTGCCTATTCAGTATGGAAATATTATTATGCAGCAAACTAAAACCTGGCTGCCTTTTAATTTCAAAAGACCACTTTATTTATTTGTACAAATTCCAAAGCAGGCTTTCTAGTATTTTCTGTGACATTGTAAATATTGGCAAAAGGATTGTGATTTTTTTTTTTACTTAATAATGATGAGTTGTTTTAATTAACTTTGGGATTATTTTAAAGAGCTGGAAAATTGAACAGTTGCTGCAGGGTTGATGGACTTTGGGTTGACAAAAAAGGCACTGGATATGTGATGCTTGTTGTCAGGATATTTCTTATTTTCTCCTAAGCACTGTTTTTCTCTGTTTTCACTCTGTTTGTGATTATTTTCATGGAGGAAGACATCCTTTTCACTGATGGTCATTGATGAAATGATTGAAATTCTTAAAGAAACAACTGCACTTGCATTAACAGAACTATAATATTTTCAGGATGTATTAGCTTGGCATATTTTCATATTTCAGTTTGTAAATCATTTAAGGTCTAATACAGGTACTCTAGCAAATGCAGTCCAACACAGACTTCTTTAGACAATTTGGATAGTGTCACATGCTCATTTGCCATTCTAACTACATTTAATTCATCCCAACTGTAAATGCATTGATTTGTTTGTCATTATGACTGTAACCTTCCTCTCCTATGCACTCAAACTACTGAGAACATTTGCACTTTAAATTGAAATGTTTTATTGTGAATAATGCCTTAGCAGTTGTTTCTGCCATGTACAAGCACAATAGTTGTCTTGTTTGGTAGTTGACGTTTTTGGGTGTTCATTTGGGTTTAACGTTTTCAAAGGTTGCTATTTGCTGAGGCCTCAAACTGCACACGACTGCTGTAAATGCTTTGTAAATATTTAAATTGTATTTTTTTATTATTATGGAGAATCTAAACCAAAGATGCTTTTTGAATCTTGTGAATGTTGATAACCTGGACATTCCTCCAGACTTTATTTGGATCTGCCTAGCAACAATGCTTGTTAACTATGATTACCATTCCCAATATGTTCAACAGTATCTTCATATTTACAGTGGTCCCAAGCAGACCATCCACTCTACTCTGGTCTTCCAATAAAATAGGTCTGTCCTTAAAAGCTGGGTCGTGTTTCATTTTTTCTGTTGAGGAAATGAATAAAGATGTCAGACGTGGGTATCACTGTGACCTACCACAACTTGTATGAGCTTCGTTTTGAGGCGGCAAGGACACAAGGAATCGAGATAGGAATCATTGAGAAAAAGCCCTTGAATTCTGCTCAGGAGTTTCCCTAATTCAGGCCTGGATTCAATCCAAGGCGCTACAGCGCTGCTCTACAACTTGGATTGAATCCCAGCCTCAATCAAGGGTCGCGTTCCCCTACTCAGACGTTGCATGCATCAACCAATGGTTCCGTGCCACAGACTGTGTAGTCGGGCACCACACTGCTAGAACATGTGGCTAGCTGATACGTAAAAAGCCCTATCCAGGCATGTAAGATCTGGCATGTGTCTGCAACATCTGAGCAGAGGAACACGACCTTGTGATGAGGGAAGCTCTGACTTAGACTGAACTAATGTGATTGGTTGAAAGCTCAGTGGGCAGAGTTTACAGATGAGTGTATAAAAAGGCTTAGGTTGGAGGGCGTTACACGTTCAAATCCCAATTGTGACTTTAGTTTCCAACCTTACCAAACATTCTAAACTAATTACATTTCTAATCTACTAACCTAACTTTGAACAGCTTCAAATCTTAACACAGATGGTGCCTTCCACACTCCTAGTGCAGTGGATTAGGCACTGGGATAGGGACCAGGTCACAGGTTCAAATCTTGCCAAAACCATTTCACAAAAAAAGTATGGGAGATTGTCAATTAGTTTTGCTTGACTACCTGGTCCAGGAAACAAATGCACTTTAATGAAATTAGACTCCTCCACTAGCACATCCAGCAAATTACGTTTGCAGGAGGAATCCCAAAATGTATAAAGTGGTAACTCAATTTAGCTAGTAGTGACAGACATTTTATAAAGATTACTAGTGTATTGTTTAAACGTGTGCATGCTTTTATCCTTAGAGAAAAGTTAATTCAAAAGGGGGTGAGGCGGATTACAAAACTCTTCCCAGTAGGATACACCTAAGTATTCTCGGCCGGAGGAGGCTATCGAGCAGCTTTTCTGTTCACCTATTAACAAATTGCCACTTCTACATATGGCGACCACTTATCGGTTTCCGGGTCATGGAGAAGAGGGAGTGTACCTCAATTGAGAATCTCCCAGTCTTATTTTTTTTATTACCATAGAGGTCTTTGAGCAACAGTTGTTGAAATGTCTTACATTAACAGCTTTTTAACCCTACTTCCTATATTAACTTTAGAGTCCTTATTCGGTTTAGTTGAATGAAATGTTGCCTGCAAACAGCTGTACATTCAAAACTTTATTGCAATAATTCAATCATGAAAACAAGTTTTAGGGCCAAGCAAAATAGCATTTTCATACCGCAGACATTGAAAACAGACAGAAAAACGGAACAAATGTTAATAAACTGTCAATTATTCGGCTGTGAAAAGTAAAGTTGGCACCTTCTTCCACATACATATTTTTTAAAAACTTGCTTCAAAAAGGAAAGGAAAATTCACATAGGAAAAGAAAATTGGTAAAGGGAATAATTTGCCACTTCTTGATATATTCTCCCCTAAACAGAACCCTTTCCTTCTCCCAAACCGCTAAACTAACAAACCAGTATTGTGTTCATGATTCCATCTCCTTTTTGTTTTTACAATATCTCACCACGGTGGCCAGATCTGATTTTTTAGATCAGTAAATGTTTCAAGCACTCGTGGTATAACAGTTCAAAAAGACAACTTGCATTTTAACGGAATAAAGCCCACTCAAATCTGGAGACCAAAAGGAAAGGAAATATAAAGCATTTCCTCACCTCTGTCTGCATATCTATGACATCATTACCTCTACGTCAGGCGTGACTTCCCATCTACTTGGCATTGGCTTTTTTTTTGTTGATCATCCCACAAGCCATTGCACTCAGTAAAATCACATGAGGTGAAACAGAGCAACAGATTGGGTTGCTACTGCAAGGTAACTCCAACTCTGTCTCCCCCCACCCCCCCATCTTTTTTCCTTATCCCCTTCACTCAATTATACTCCTCTTCCAGGTCTTCATCGAGGTCACAGAAATCAATTGACGGCCGGGTATCAACCACCTCCTCTTCATCCGACTCCCCATAAGAGCCTGCAGCGGAGAAAACAATTATCAGTCAAACCTGAGACTGGTTTATTAGTAGTGAATTTCATTATTTATTTTTGAATAAAGAACGCAGTTGCAAAATGTCTTTTAGTTTAGAATGCGTTCGAAAGTAAAATATTAAGACCATTTAATTGTCAGTCAGGAATACTGCAGTGCACACCATGATATCAACGCATCTAATAACCTCCACTAAGATGACCTTGTGCCTAGCTAACTGAAGGGTAATTATTCACAGCAGTTTTGCTGGGCAAAAAAAATCTGTGCAGAGCTCTTGTCATGCTACGTATGGACCTTTAACATCAGAGAAGGTCAATATAATCAAATACTTACCCATCAATTCATTAACAGTGGGGGGGGGGGGGGGGGGGGGGGGGTAGTTTGACTAACAGCCTTGTATCAAGTTATTAAAACATGTGATCACAGCATTGGGGAGATATTATTCAAGAACGTACTTTCAAGATTGTCCATGTGTTCGTGAAGGGTTCTCGCCAGGTTGAAAAACTGAGCGAGAGAGGGGGAAATATTTTTTTAAACAATGAATCCTACTACATGTGAATTAAGTATTTTTTCCCAATACAATAGTAAGTGAATTATTGGAGGCCAAAGAAGAACCTTGGGCTTAACATTCAAAATGACTCCTCTGCGCACAGCGCCAATGAATGATGTTGAGAATTGTTTTGGCATGGTGTCGAGTGTAGGCATGCGTTATTACCCCTGCGTCGTTGGCAGCTCCTAGCACATCAGAGAACCTCTGCTCACACAGGTGAAGCAACACCACCAGGTAAAGGCCACAACTGATGAACTCATACTCAGACTGGACAGAAAGGGAAATAAAGTAAGCAGTCACTTAAACTGCAGATATGCCTTAAACTCAAGTTAGGACTGGGTCCTAGGGGGTTAAACCTTAAAGGGAACATTTTACGGAACACTTGTTTTTAGTGTTCATTCTGGTATTCTACAGTTGAATGAGCAGCACAGGAGTGATTCTCTGCGGAGCGTTTCCCATTCACAGTCTAACAGATAATGGCTGACTAGGAGATTACTGTCTGGGGTTAACTGAACGTCCCCTCACCCTCTCATGTGTCCTGTGCAGCTCGTTGATGTCAAAGTTCTCAATGTTCAGGTGCAGCTTTTCTTTGCACAGCTCACACGTGGTGATGGCATCCAGATTATTGCCTGGACAAGAAAGCGAAAGATGGCAAGAATGTGGGATCAATGCATTATACCTAGGGGCAGAAGTCATTTGTTAAGGTCAGAGAGAGAAAGAAATGTGTTCTTACCAGAGCTGATTTTGGAGCGCAGCCACTTCTTGATGCAGTCCTGGTGAACATACTGCAGACTGCCTGTGCAGCGGCAGGGTTCGATCAGGGGGTTGGAAGGAGAGTCCTCACCCATTTGGCAAATACGACACCGGTCCCCTTCCTCCTCGTCAGAGTCCTCCAACAGCAGGCTACAGGGGAGAGAGAAAGAGGTTTATTTACAGTTATCAACCATTCAAATCAGAGAAGAATGACAGAGTAAAATAATTAAAGTGGTGGTCCAGCCAAAGAGGCATTTGAATGACAAGACGAGTGTGGCCACATTAAAGACAATGGACAACACAGGGACAGTGCTATGTACAACAGATGGTGGGACACAAGCATGCAGGTTCAGCCCACTCCCCAGTAAGCTCAGAGAAGGACAGCGTCCCCACCTCTCCTGGATCTTCCTCAGTCTCTCAGGGTCTCTGGAGGAGGCAGGCTTATCCTTCTCCTGGCCCTCCGGTTGGCTCCTGGCGGCGCCTGTCATGTCCACGGCGATCATGACGTTGTCGTGGACGCGGAACAGCGGGCTGCTCATGAACCTCGCCAAACGCTGACTACTCCCCGCCACGTCTCTCAACTCTTCCTGTAGGGCGGCGCAAGCGCCCATCGCCCCCGAGGATGCCGCCGCACCTTCCTCTTCGTCTTCCTCCTCCTCCTCTTCGTCAGCCTTGGCCTCGGGGGTGTCTCCCCTGAGGGGGAACTGGGTACCACGGTAATCCTCATCGGCACCGGACGCCAGGCGAGCGCTCTCGTCCCGTCCTTCTCTTCTACGGCGGGAGAAGAGAGGAGTGCAGCGGGTCCGGATGGAAGACGAGAGCCAGGAGGAACCCGAAGTACTACTACTACTTCCAACACCACCGCTGGTGCTGCTGCTGCCCCCTCTCCAGGCCTCCAGGGGCTCCGGGGCATGCTGGGTCTGGCCCTCCTGGACCGGGGACAGGCCCTGTCTGCGACGCCTCAGGAAGGCAAAGGCCTGGGCCGCGTCAGAGCCTCTGGTAACGGATTCCACGCTCACGGGTCGGATGCTCTCCTCGCTGGTAGCCACGGGGGTGTGGCTGGGGCAGTCTCCTCCAACGACAGGGCTGTCCTCGGCTGAGTCGAAGGAGCGGGAGGCGGAGCCAGAGCTGGAGCCGCTGGAGTCCTGGCTGGAGCGCCGAGAGAAGAGGCGGGAGAGGAGGCGGCGGGTGGAGCGACGTCCATCCGATGCCTCACCACCCTCCGGGGTTGGCCTCGGGGTGGGGACTGGTGCGGCGGGAGGGGGGCTGGAGTCCCGGGCCTCCCGTCTTGCTGAGGGAGTTGTGTACCAAGAGGAGGGGCGAGAGGAGACGGAGGAGGAGACTCCTAGAGTGGGCTCTGGGCTCTCAGTGGGCTCCTTGGTGGTGCGGAGGGTAGAGGTGGTCAGGGAGCGGCCAGTGGCCCGGGTGGTGGAGAAGTCCCGGGCCAGTGGGGAACGCTGGTAGGTGGAGGAGAGGTGCCGGCTGAGGGAGCTGCTCTCCCTGCTAGAGGAAGAGTAGAGGGTCTCCTTGGGCCGGGCCCCCTGGGCATAGGTGGAGGTCACACGGTCTGGCCGGTCTGAAACACAAATATGTCCACATTGTCAGTATTATGTTTGTGTGCGAGTATGTAAATGTGTCAGATTTATGATTGAATGTGTGCGTAAATATGTAAATGCACACAAATGAGCCACTGTGTGTGTGTAAGAACATACACAGGGACGAGGTGAGTCCAGAGCTCTTATAGCTGATAGTGTCAGCCACACTGGACAGACTCCTCCCCTCACTCCTCCTCTCCAGCTCCCTTCTGGACCACAGGGGCTCTGAGGAGGAAGAGGAGGAGGAAGAAGAGGAGGAGGACGACGACCTGGACAGAGGCCGGTACGACTTCCACGACGACAAATCTAAACACAAGGTGCCAGTTTGTTATTCACCTGCATGTTAGAAAATATACATTGGCTAAAGCACGAAGGATTTAGGAATCATTAATATGTTTAATCAATGTCATAAGGTTAGCTGAAGATTTAATATAATTATTATCACTCAAAGCAATGGCAATGATTTTTTGCATGATTATCACAAGACCTGTGCTCATCAAGTGTATGGAAACTAACAGCAGTATAATAAGTACATAGGTTATAGGTTGAGAGCTTTTGTGAAAGAGCACAGTTAGAAAGATATGGCATATAGAAGCAAACCGGATGGACATCATGAAAAATGATCGGAGAGGAAGTTCAGGAGTAAAAACAAACAAAATAGAATTATTGTAAAATTGACTGACCATAAAATGTATATAGTATGTATAAGCTGGAAGTAGAGGCCTAAGCATTGTTGTTCACTAGTTTACTCCAATTAGGGAAGGGGTGGTGGGGTTGGAAAGTAATAAAGAGAAAAATATTTTTTTGATCGATATATATACACACATACATGGAAAACAATTAAAAGAGACCACTGCAAATGTATCAGTTTCTCTGGTTTTACTATTTATAGGTATGCGTTTGGGTAAAAATAACATTTTTGTTTTATTCTATAATCTACTGACAACATTTCTCCCAAATAAAAATATTGTCATTTAGAGCATTTATTTGCAGAAAATGACAACTGGTCAAAATAACAAAAAAGATGCAGTGTTGTCAGACCTCAAATAATGCAAAGAAAATAAGTTCAGTTCAAGTTCATTTTTAAACAACACAATACTAATGTTTTAACTTAGGAAGAGTTCAGAAATCAACATTTGGTGGAATAACCCTGATTTTCAATCACAGCTTTCATGCGTCTTGGCATGCTCTCCACCAGTCTTTCACATAGATGTTGGGTAACTTTATGCCCCTCCTAGCGCAAATATTCAAGCAGCTCGGCTTTGTTTGATGGCTTGTGACCATCCATCTTCCTCTTGATCACATTCCAGAAGTTTTCAATGGGGTTCAGGTCTGGAGATTGGGCTGGCCATGACAGGGTCTTGATCTGGTGGTCCTCCATCCACACCTTGATTGACCTGACTGTGTGGCATGGCGCATTGTCCTGCTGGAAAAACCAATCCTCAGAGTTGGGGAACAATGTCAGAGCAAAAGGAAGCAAGTTTTCTTCCAGGACAACCTTGTACGTGGCTTGATTCATGCATCCTTCACAAAGACAAGTTTGCCCGATTCCAGACTTGCTGAAGCACCCCCAGATAATCACCGATCCTCCACCAAATTTCACAGTGGGTGCGAGACACTGTGGCTTGTAGGCCTCTCCAGGTCTCCGTCTAACCATTAGACGACCAGGTGTTGGGCAAAGCTGAAAATTGGACTCATCAGAGAAGATGACCTTACTTCAGTCTTCTACGGTCCAATCCTTATGGTCTTTTGCAAACCTCAGCCTGGCTCTTTGCTTCTCATTGATGAAGGGCTTTTTTCTAGCTTTGCATGACTTCAGCCCTGCCCCTAGGAGCCTGCTTCAAACCGACCTCGCCGTGCACTTCACTCCAGCTGCCGTTTGCCATTATTTTTGTAGGTCACTTGATGTCATCCTACGGTTGTTAAGTGACATTCAAATGAGTTGGCGGTCATCCCGGTCAGTAGAGAGTCGTTTTCGCCCTCTGCAGCTTTGTTGTCCCCAATGTCTGCTGCTTGACCTTGTTCTTATGAACCGCCGTCTTTTACATTTTAAGGATGGAAGCAACCTGACGCTCACTGTATCCCTCTGCCAGTAGACAGAATTGACCCCTTCTTTTCCTCACTCAGATCTTTCCTTTTCAACTCTTTTGGCATGGTCAATAGTTATTTTTTGATTAATATTACTTTTGAGGTACTATTAGCACTGTTTTTGCCATCCAGCTGGTCCTATTGCAAGAGGATAGTGATGACCACAGCAGTGGTTTTTATACTTTTCCTTATTAAACAAGATTTGGTTCAGGTGATCACCTAATCAGTACCTAATTCAGTAGAATGAGGTGTGCCTGTGTTGGAATTCAACAGACACTGGAATGGAATGGCTGTCATACATGTAGAGATCCTGATTTAAGAAAAAATTGCAGTAGTCTCTTAATTTTTTTCCACAGCTCTGTGTGTGTGTGTGTGTGTATATATATATATATATATATATATATATACACACTTTTTTTTTGCGAGAAAAAACATATGGGGGTTGGAAGTGATGCTGACAATTATATTGATGGAAGTTACAATCTTTCTGCAATATTAAAGCTGATCTACCCCCTTTAAAAAAAAAAAACTAAACAGCAGTATATTTAGGCCGTCATTGTAAATAATAATTTGTTCTTAACTGACTTGCCTAGTTAAATAAAGGCTAAATAAAAAAATAAAATGTACAGGAAAAGTTCACATTTAAAACATCAGGTATTTTCATATGTTAAAAAAGGACTCAAGGAAAGAGACTGAAAACATTCATAAATCATGAACTATCCCTTTAAAAATAGAACCAGGGGTCAGATACCAGAGTCTCTGTTGAGGACACTGCTGGAGGAGGAGGAGCCAGTCACAGAGGAGGAGGGGCTTCTTGTATATGCAGCTCGGTTGGTGTAGGACAGTTTGGCCCGTTTGGTATCCCCATCATCAGTTGTGTTGCTGAGAAGTCCTGAGTACGTCCCCAGTCTTCTCTCTGAATCAGTCTGATAAAACCACCCACAGAATACCGCCACATGAATAAAAATGGGCTTGAACGGCACTTTGAACTTCAAACAAGTGTGCGCATCAGTAATATAAATGTATGGATACAGAAGTTAGTCTGAGTCAAACTGCTTAATCCTTAACCGTCTATTAACGCACATGTGCATCAATCTATGTAACATAATAAAAAAAGTCCATCAAAATCCATCAGTTTAAGCTAGAGATAGCATGGGATGCGTCTCAATCCACCACATCCGCTTATGTCGCTCTTCCTCATCTGCGGTGGAAGGTGGCCGAGCTACAGCGGTGTTGGTCAGACCATGAGACATCCTGAAAAAATAAAATGTCGGTCTTCTCGCGAAACGTCGCGTTCGAACTGGTAGGTAGCTTAGTGGTTAAGAGCGTTGTGCCAGTAACCGAAAGGTCGCTGGTTCTAATCCCCGCGCCGACTAGTTGAAAAATATGTCTATGTGCCCTTGAGCAAGGCACTTAACCCTAATTGCTCCTGTAAGTCGCTCTGGATAAGAGTGTCTGCTAAATGACTAAAAATGTAAAATGCAGTATGAGGTAGTTGTGCCAACAAAAATAAGGGGTTAAATATGGGTAAAAAAAAAAACTGATATTTCCCAAGCTTGCTTATATCTCCCAGATATAGGATAGACACTTCAAAACCTTAATCCTTATGATACATTTTTTTGACATTTTTTGCAATTTATAAAAATGTTTTATTCAATTCGTTTCTATGAGCTATCGTAGTAAAGGCCAAATTCTATATTTTAACAAAAAAAAAACATTTTTTTATTGATACCTAAAGGGGTCCTAAAATACCAAATCAAATAGCTAAATGATCCACGGTATGACCATCTTAAAACAATTCCATAATGAACAAGATCGTGTTCTATCGTGCGTTTACCAGTTTGCTGCGGCTGCTCAGAGAGGAGTCGGCCCAGGAGCGATCGTAGGAGACAGAGGAGGTCGTCAGAGGGGATTTCCAGCTGGAGTGGCGGCTATCAGAACTACTGTAGTCCCTGGTCGAGCTGAGGAACCGAGAGCTCTGAGACACACGGAGCATGAAAACACATGGGGTCATTGCAAGGCAATACATAGAGCAATGTAAGGTAGCTGACACGGTACATGGGACAAATCCAAGATCACCACAAACAGGAGATGAGTGGTAAAACAGATCATATCAAAGCACAGTGCTTCCCTTAGGATATTTTTCAGCAGCTGTGGCAAAATTATAGTTGGGCGTGGCCAATGGCATAAGACCAAAAATTGTAAAGGCCCTCTCAGACAATTTAGCTGTTACATTTTTTTTTACTACTAATCTACACATTTTGCCATGCTTCTGCAGTGTTCTTAAGCTAGCAGAGCGACTCAAACATAAAATCAGTGGAGGAACCTATTTTTTGGAGTGGCGGCAACGATTTCGCAGCGGAGGCTGCCACTGCTAAATGAATATAGGGGAAACACTGCAAAACATTTGTCTAAATATCCTTGTACCAATTATTCCTACATTCTTGTATGCTAGCTAGATAAATATAATAATGCCATAATATTTCACATAATGCCATTGATATTTGTTTTGAACATCAAACGCATTCAAAGGTACTCAAAAATGTCTACAGCCTTCTGTAATTCTACTCAAAGGCATTTGCAAACGTGTCAATTAAGTCACTTGTTTATTGTGCATTTCAGCCGGGCCCAGGACTCTTCTGGAAGAGTAGTCAAATAGACAGACACAGGCAGCCCAGTAGTAACTTAATCTAGGCTGGCCTATAAAAAGCTCCAGCTAAAGTACACAGATACCTTCTCTGCTTCTGAACACAGCTAGCTCGCCAAATAGAGAGGAGGGCTGGAGCCAAGAGGGAGAGCAAAAGAGACTCCCTTAGACAAAAGTCAGCAAAGAAAGCCTGGTGCTTAGGGGGAGAAAATAATGACCCACTCAACTGCATTTATTTGAAAGAGAACATTATTTTTCATGAAAACAGGCTAAACTTGTCCCACCTGCCTAGCCTTACCCTTCCTTTGTTTATAAAACACATTTTAAGTCTTCTTATCATTGTTAACCGGCAGAAACTTCTCATTCAAATCCAGGCCTAGAGGCCACATATTTTAGGAATCCTAAATGACATTTAGGGTCAGCAAATGTATGTGACCTGCCATTTTCTCACTCATTCGGTGTTCAGTTCAGTACCTGGTGGTCGAGGTCAGGTTTAAGGGGCGTGGCCCTGGTGAATCGATCACTGTTCAGGACATTGGATCTTCCATAGAGCCTGCTGGATCCCAGGGAGGAGGGGGAAGAGGATGAATGGGAAGAATAAGACGATGGGGTGCTGGACACCGTAAAGGGCAGCCGGCGAGGCTTGGAATCCATCACTGATTGGCTGTGGAAAGACCAAGAAGTTAGTAACAATAAATCCAACAGGATCCATCACTGATTGGCCGTGGAAAGATATTAGAAAAGCCAAGATGTTAGAGAACACATGAAATCAAACATTGTACAAATAAGTGGAGTACAGTAGGCCTAAACATAGTCCCCAGTGTTATTTAGTACACAAGTACTAGACTGATGTAGGCTACAGCAGGGGCTCCCAGACTTTTTCCACTCAGGCCCCCCATACAGCATTGAACATCTCACGTCCGCCATGCGCGTGTCACATCTATTTCTATGGGCACAAGCACTGTTCATGGACACAAACTGTTCACATCCCTCTTGTTGGCGGAGAGAAGAGTTTGCAGTTTTCAACCTAATTTTCTTGCAATTCTATACATTTACATTTACGTCATTTAGCAGACGCTCTTATCCAGAGCGACTTACAGGAGCAATTAGGGTTAAGTGCCTTGCTCAAGGGCACATCGACAGATTTTTCACCTAGTTGGCTCGGGGATTAGAACCAGCGACCTTTCGGTTACTGGCACAACGCTCTTAACCACTAAACTACCTGCCACCCCATTTTGCCATGTCTAATATGTATCCGTGTGATATTTGAGTGACTCAAACATTACAACAAAATCTATGGACTAAAAAAGCTAGCCAAAAAACGTTAGCTGCCATGGGCTAGTTGATCAGCACATTTCTGACAAGTTATAAATATCTCTAAGGTATGCAACAACTGACATGACAAGAGGAAAGCTGATTATGCACTACCTAATTTCGAAATTGCACCTTGTGTACTCTACTATTACAACCTTCCAGAGTAAGTTGAAAACCGTACTGAGTTCCTTTAAAAAAATGTTTATATAGAAATAAATAAAATGTGGGAACCATTGGGCTCCAGTACTCCATATCAGTACTCATTCAATATACAGGACTCAAGAGTTCAATGTCCTGACCCAACCCTACCTTTTTTATTGCTAAAACCTTTGGTGCCGGTTCCACTCAAATCTTAGGCTAAACTTGATTTAACGACAACAAGATAAGACGAGATAGACCTAGCTGCGTTTTGAAACCGCAAATCGTAAAGACCAGACTGAAGAGTCAGGAAATCTCCCAATCTGATAAGGCCCCAACAGTCAGGAGAAGGGGTTGACTGTTCGCTGAGGCAGCAGAAGTGTGACTGTACAAAACAGACAGTCAAACTGGCCAGAAGAAGCAGCTTCTTGGCACCTAACCCCCACACCTGTCCTTGGAGCATGATCAAAGTTACTGCATCCCAAATGGCACCCTATTCAGTGCACTACTTTTGCCCAGGCCTCTGGTCAAAAGTAGCGCACTATATAGGCATTAGGATGCCATTTGGTACACACAGTCACAGCCATTTGATGGTGACATTTCCAGAGGAATGAGAGCAGCAGGGGGGCTGTGAAGGCCAGGTCAGGCCTCACATCACACATGAGATAGTTACTGCAGGATAATTTGTTAAAAAGGTGCATTCCTCTGGTTTACATGGATCACAGCACCCGTATGGGGAAAGGCAAACAAGAGAGAAAAAAATCTGGCTTCTCCTTACAAAGCCCCACCCTTTACTCAACTGTTTGAGAAAGGTTCCTAAAAGTAAATTACCAAATGTTTATTTTTATTGCACCTAGGCTATCACCTATGGTAGCCTACAGTTGTGGCTTAGAAATACTATTTCCAAAAATAAATTAGCAATATTTTTATTTATATAGCTCCTAATTTAGCCCCAAAATAGCCCAATGCAATTGTGGCTTCTCTCAATCACACTCATGACGCATGGGTGGTGCTAAACTTAACCATCAAGAATGCAGAGTGTACACATGAGCAAAGTTGTTTTGATAACAGGTCAAGCTCTGTTTTGCTTGTATGTAGGATGTGGAGGAGGCCTAGGTAAGGCTGATGAAATCTTCACACAAGATGACAAAACTTGCTTCTCCACTGATATTTGCACAATAGTAACAAGTTCAGTCATGCTCTGCAAACATTTTACATTTTAGCAGACGCTCTTATCCAGAGCGACTTACAGGAGCATTTAGGGTTAAGTGCCTTGCTTAAGGGCACATCGACAGATTTTTCACCTAGTCGGCTCGGGGATTAGAACCAGCGACCTTCCGGTTACTGGCACAACGCTCTTACCCACTAAGCTACCTGCCGCCCAAACCTGGAAGAGTGAATTTTAATTAGGCTATAGAATATAATTTCAGTTTTTCGAAAGCACATGGTTTTGCTCCTCTTCCTGATTCAGACATGGACATAGATGCATTAGCTTTTTCTTTTTCTTCTACCAGTCTAGGCCAGTTATTTTTCCTTCTCCATCTAACATTTACCAGATTTGCTGCAGAAAACTATAGTTAACTGTCTTATGCCAACAGTTGAGTAAACACTTTAGCATCTCAGTCATGAATAGCAAGCTAGCCAACAATAGCTTCAACCAATAATTGTTTTTCGAGATTGTGCTAGGGACGTGTTGCAGCTAGCCAACAAATGCATCATGGCTAACTTTAGGTAACTGGCTACTGTAACTAAAAGGCTACCCAAATGAGCCAACCGACCTTTCAAAATGTCTGGCAGTTTCCAAGAAAGAGTTGCCTTTTCTGTTGCTGACCAGATCACGAAAGAGTTTGTCAACTAGCTAGCTACCTACCGTTAGCAATACCCATGGCAATGTCAGCAAGAAACATGCATGGTCTCAAAGTTACTGTCTGGGGCTACCTAGTCAAGCTAGCCTCCCAAACATGTTGTTGGCACTGCTTCGAAGTTCAAAATGGATGAAGAAAAACAGCTTGCTAGCTAACATTACCTACTAGGCTAAATAGCTAGTTAACCTTATCCCACGACCACAACGCATGCTAGGGCTACAGTAGCTAACTACCTTCCTAGCAATAGAAACCACTCGATTAGGACATGTCAGTCATATCCACAAATAGGACATTTACGGTCAAGACATCGAGACACAAAAGACGATGAGTGGCGGCAGGTAGCTTAGTGGTTAAGAGCGTTGTGCCAGTAACCGAAAGGTCGCTGGTTCTAATCCCCGACCCGACTAGGTGAAATATCTGTCGACGTGCCCTTGAACAAGGCACTTAACCCTAATTGCTCCTGTAAGTCGCTCTGGATAAGAGCGTCTGCAAAATGTAAATGTAATAATCCTTGATGGTTTAGCTGGCTAGATAGCGAACGGTAACGTTAGGCCTATTTTTTATGGTGCTGTTGTTGATCCGTCCTGACAGACAACGTTAGCAAGCTAGCTAATTCATTTCTTATATTGAAGGAATCCCTTTATTCGTTGCCAAATTGCGATGTAAAACAGTCGCTGGCTATAGCTAGAAACATCACGGATAAGGTGCTAACTTCGTGCAAAAGCAGCACACTCTCTCACCTTTGCTTCCAAGCTTCGCTGCATTCAATGATGACGGCGTCTGTGTGTTGATATAGAGAAGGTCATGTGATTTACAATGCAATCAGACACGCAGAGAAAGGACGTACAACTCAGGATGGTGATTGACAATGTACTCCAGCCAATAGAATATGAAACACTGTACTTGTTCCTCCCCCTTTTTAATTGACGGTTATGAGTTATGATTGAAGTACATTATGATTGTGATAGTAATTAATTGATGATGATGTTGGTGAGTTAAGATTGAAAGGATGGTTGTGATAATTAATTGATGATGATGATGATGATGTTGGTGAGTTACAATTGAAAGTATGATTGTAATAATAATGAATTGATGGTGACGATGATGATGAATATAATATATGCCAGAGGAGGCTGATCACTGGAAGATGGGGAGGAGTATCTCTTTCTGAATAAAAAAATAATTAAAAACTATGAAACGTGAAAACCTTTAGATAATTCTATAATACACTGAACAAAAATATAAACGCAACATGTAAAGTGTTGGTACCATGTTTCATGAGCTAAAATAAAAGATCCCAGAAATGTTCCATATGCACAAAAAGCTTATTTCTCTGCACGGCCCCATGTCGAAAGGATTCCTGGAAGCTGAAAATGTCCCAGTTCTTCCATGGCCTGCATACTCACCAGACATGTCACCCATTGAGCATGTTTGGGATGCTCTGGATTGACGTGTACAACAGTGTGTTCCAGTTCCCGCCAATATCCAGCAACTTCGCACAGCCATTGAAGTGGAGTGGGACAACATTCCACAGGCCACAATCAACAACTCTATGCAAAAGAGATGTGTCGCGCTGCATGAGACAAATGGTGGTCACACCAGATACTGACTGGTTTTCTGATCCACGCCCCTACCTTTAAAAAAAAAAGTGTCTGTGACCAACGGATGCATATCGTTATTCCCAGTCATGTGAAATCCATAGATTAGGGCCTAATGAATGTATTTCAATTGACTTATTTCCTTATATGAACTGTAACTCAGTAAAATCTTTGAAATTGTTGCATGTGGTGTTTATATTTTTGTTCAGTATAAATACAGATGCCACTATTATCTGGTTAAAAACAGTTTTGAAATTATCAATAGTCTCAACAGCATCCCCTATACAGTGGGGAAAAAAAGTATTTAGTCAGCCACCAATTGTGCAAGTTCTCCCACTTAAAAAGATGAGAGAGGCCTGTAATTTTCATCATAGGTACACGTCAACTATGACAGACAAATTGAGATTTTTTTTTCCAGAAAATATCATTGTAGGATTTTTAATGAATTTATTTGCAAATTATGGTGGAAAATAAGTATTTGGTCACCTACAAACAAGCAAGGTTTCTGGCTCTCACAGACCTGTAACTTCTTCTTTAAGAGGCTCCTCTGTCCTCCACTCGTTACCTGTATTAATGGCACCTGTTTGAACTTGTTATCAGTATAAAAGACACCTGTCCACAACCTCAAACAGTCACACTCCAAACTCCACTATGGCCAAGACCAAAGAGCTGTCAAAGGACACCAGAAACAAAATTGTAGACCTGCACCAGGCTGGGAAGACTGAATCTGCAATAGGTA